AAATGCCGGATTGTGTGTTGGCTTCGAGGGCGGAGGTCCCGAATCGGAATGCTCCTGATGATAGATTTTCAAAAGGCCGTTCTGTATTATTAAATATTTTACTCGACTTGGGTTTGGCTCACCGTGGCTAACTCAATCGTTCCTTAAATCACAGCCCTATCGACAAAATGGTGGTAGGCATGCTATTACACATCTATTAACCCTGATGTCCCATCCTTCACACCAAAATATCGAAGATATTTCAAGGATTTACGATTTTCCACTTTTTCCCTCCCTGTCTAAAAAAATTTTTAAAACTTTAATCAACTATATTTTTGTTCTCTCATTCCTACTTTCTTTCTTTCCTTCAACTTTTAATAGCTGACGCAATTGCTTCAAAGGAGCTGCTGACACATGTCACGAATAGCTAAATATAGCAAATTCTAGCGTATTAAGATAAAAGCAAATATTACTTTTACCATCCGCAACAAAATCCATCATGCACATTCTTCAATAATACTCCTATCCAAAAAATAACTGTTTAGCTACCTTGGGTTCTATTTTGACTCATGTGTAATAGACACTTCAGACTATTACCCCAATTATTATCAAGAATACACATATCAACAAAAAAACAAACTAACACTATAACAGGACACTGCAGATTAAATGGACATTTGAAAAAGATAGATATAATCTAACACAGCACATACAGATTTCTGCAATGAAGCAGACAAGACTCCAACAGACTAATAAACTGTGGTGCTACATTTGCCCGCAAGAGGAAGTGTTTTCGGATTTACAGCATAACTGTAGACAAAATACTAATCAAATTTCTTTATGAACTATGACCAGTGTGCTATAGTACAGAACAGGGGATACAACAGTTTTCATAGGGTGCAGTATATTACACACCCCGAATAGTACTTCTTACATCTTACAAAACTGCTGAAACTGATTTGGACATATGGATTAGAACTATAGAGCACCGGAAAAATAAAAAAAAATAAAACATTCAAAGACTATAACTTCCAATACAACGTTCTCAACAATTGCTTCCTACTACATTTCCAACAATACTCTTTACAATGACATATTATTAACAAACTAATCCCCAACAAATTTTCCACATTCAAGTCACAACCCAGTCAGGCGGCCAAAACAGAGGCCCGGTAATTTCCGCATGAAACTATTCAGAAAGCTGGGAGAACAACAATGGCTCCCCTTAAGACATATGTAAATTATAAAGTCATATTTTATCTCATTACATTGTGCAGATGGTAATTTAATTTTAAAAATATCTACCAACACTGATGTCTTTCGTATATTATTTTTTGTAGAGAAAAACGACCAATTTTCTTTCACATATTTCTTTCTGGCTTGAAACATATTTTCAATTCCACAAACTATTTAATAATTACATTTTTCAAAAATCATGTTTCTAATTTGGTGATTTTTTTCATATTTATTAGTTTCGATATTTTTCAACCCTGATGAGGGGGAACCTATATATTTGTCATGTCCAATCCTGGTCTGGTTATTTTTTATTTATTTTTTTCCCCTAACTACAAGGTTATTTGAACCCTAGGGGTGCCGGTGTTTTTGAAAAGCCCATTTGTAAGTATATCAGGTAACGACTAAACCACTGCGGCCACCGACGCCCCTCATCCTGGTTAACCTAACCACTCTGGTTTCTCTTTCATTTTTTTTTTCAATTCTTTTAGTCTTTAGTTTAATATCTTTCAGCCCTAATTTCCTCCCATTATTTTTTTTATCTATTACTTTTATATCTCTTCTTAATTATTTCAAACTATCCATAAGTATATGATAGTAAAAGTTCATAGAGATCAAACCTCCTCTTCTTTTTTTTTCTCACTTAAAATATATTTACCATTGCAGGGGTGGTTAGGGTTTAAAGGTGAAATATCTCATAAGTCTGTCAAACAAACCTTCAAGAATATGACCAGGATGGTAAGAGATGATCTAGCAACAGGTTCATCGTAAAACTGATTAAAATAGTTCTCTAGCCCTAATACAAATTTAAACAATAGAAATATGTTTAATAGTTCCTAATCACATTAATATGTTAACATTAATAGTGTAAATGGAGATATGCAATACTGCAGAAATCAGGACATTAGATTCAGAGGCAAATTACCTCAGTTGTGTGCTCTGTTGGACTTTGTTCAAGAGAATGGAATCCCTCAGGGTTCAGTGCTAAGCATTACACTTTTCTCAATCACAAATGGTATGGTGTCCCTCAACCAATTAGAAAATCACTGTATGTCAAGGACCTCTGCTTTTTCTTTTTGGGGAAAGACCTAGCAGAGATTGGAAGGGTTTGAAAGCTTGGCTAGCTACAATACCTGTTAAATACTAAAGTCTATGCACCCAATAAAGGAAAACATAAAAGTACAATTTCTATTTTCCAAATCACTATTGCTTCTTCAGGTGGCTCATCACCGCCCCTGTGCATATGATCTCCCATGCATATTGAAGATCAGATGAAGAAAGCATATAGCATATGTGGATGCGAAGGCTATGCCTACAGAGTCCCTTGAATACATATGAAGTAGAGGAAGGCGAATGGTGATGTGTCACTTATAACCTTTCCTCCCACGACCTCTTGTCTTCTCATGGCAGCCACCGTTAAGAACCTCTTCAAAGGCCGAATTAAAAGAGGATCGCACCCTGTTCATTCAGTGAAGATGTAGCAAATACAGATCGGGGCGGGTGGACTTCTGGGGTGGAGCAGGCGCATCCCGAAAGGGTGAATTTGCGAAGCCTCGGGGACATCTGTTGCCCAAAGATTAGAGAAGAGACTGACCACATCTTCCCCTGAAAATACTCATGTGGAGAAGAGTACATGAGAATGAACAGTTATTAATCTTATATGTGTGCAAGACGGGCACACAATCTCAGAATTATCCCTCAAGATCAGGATGAGCAGTTTATTCCTAAGTCCATTTGCACCTCTCTTATCCGCCCAGAGAAACCATACCCAATATTTAGGGATCACGGTGCCAAAGGGTGGTATATTGTGTCTGGGGCGTGAGGGGTAACCTGAAAAGGTGTTCTCGGGCATTCCTTTTCTCAATCCTAGTCCTACAGCATATTTCCTTAAGACCTCTCCCACTACGTTTGATAAGACCATGTGTTACGTGGGGACGCTAAAGAACCTCATTCTCTTTCTGAAGACAATGTGACCCCCCCCCCCAAGGGGTCGCATGTTGCTTCTTCAGTATTTTTTGTGAGAATTTGATAAAATATATTCTCTAAAGTCTAACATATCAGTAGACCAGGAGTAAAAAACACTTGACTATTAATAGAATGGCAATCAACCCTGATACCTCATACTTCACTCTTCTTTCTCTTGAAGAACATAAAATATTTCAGAAAAGTTACATATATTTTCTTGTTCTTGAATTTGTTTAATTCAACACAATTAATCCTGGAATTGCACCCCTGTAGACCAAATTATCAAAATAGTTAAAGTTTTTATTTTAATCATCTCTGGTTTGCATATCTTATCACAGTGCAATTTATAAGAGCTGCCCAAAGCCCTTCCACAAGCCACTAAAAGGAGGAGGAAGGAGACTTCCACTGTAGGAGGCCTGTTGGGTTTGCGCTGGACTAGAGGCGACACGTTTGATTTTCTGGCGAGAAAGCAGCAAAGATCAACCTATTTTCATCTAGCAAGAATCATCAAGCAAGTTTTCCATTTTAATTTGTTTTTCATTGGAAAAGGATTTTTTATCTTATAGTTTACAACAAAGAGTCAATTTTTCGTTTGTTTAATCAACACAAAGTCTGTCTTGCAGTTTGTTTATTTTATTTTATTAATAATAATAATAATTAGTCAAGTAAGAATTGTTTCTGTATTTTAATATAAAAAAATAATAATATCCAGTCAGTTTCCTTTACAAAATTGTCAAATTGTTAATTCCAAACTGAGACCTTAATTTCAAGTTTTGTTAATATTTCAACATAAGAATTGTTTCCGTTTTTTAATTTAAAAAAATAATAATAGTAGTAGTAATATTTAGTCAATATAAGAATTGTTTCTGTTTTTTAATTTAAAAGAAGATAATAATAATCAGTCAGTTTCCTTTAAAAAATTGTCAAATTGTTAATTCCAAACCGACGACCTTAATTTCAAATTTTGTTAATTTCTCAATATAAGAATTGTTTCTTTTTTAATATTCTTTTGTTTATTATTCATTCATTTATCTAAACAAGGAAAAGATCCACACCCTCGGGGAAGGACCAAACAGTAACACAATAATCTACAAACCCTGATTATTTAACTTTTCCAACAAATTATCAACTTAATTTCTTAAAAACCTTGATTTTTGTATTTTTTTAGTTTTATTGGCATGATTTATCAATTTAAACTTCATAGTGAATTTAATTGTTTCTCGGGAAATAACACAATTTCTTTTATAAAAAGTTTCGTTCAAATTTAAATGTGTTTAAATGCTCTAAAAGTACACAAAAACTATCAATTTCTTTCTTATCTCTTAATGATATTTCTCTGTGCGATTTGTGAGGTGATGAACCTATAATTTGGCCATTATCATTTCAAGATTGGCCCAAGTAAAGATGGCAAAATGCCAAAATGCATCTGATGAAGCAGGACAGTAAAAATAGGCAGTCCAAAATGATTGGTAATGACCAAATGGCTTTACCTCTTTTATAGATTTAAATATTGATTGATAAACAGTCATTCATATTCACCTTATTCTCTTTCTAAAAAAATTATGTAGTTGCCATATTAAAAAATATAAAATAAGAATGCATTAAACATCATAAATTGGATAATTGTTCACATAAACGTCTATGTTTTATGCTAAAATGTTTGATAGAAAAATGTTGCTACAATTAAATGTAACGATACAATTTAATATGCACTAATGAGTTTTAATTGAAAAAGTTAAAGTTGATAAATAAAACTATTTATATTAGTAAAATCAACTTTATTTTTTGAAAATAATACTTATTAAAATGTTAGTTTTGTACAATATATATATTATATTTAATTATTTACAATTAAAATTATACTGCTTGAAACTCCAAACCGGTCCCCTCGAGGTTTTCTTTGGTCCATTTGTCGAATCTGTTCGACAGCTCTTCAGACATATAGTTCCTCCAATCTCCAACTTGGCCCTTTCGGATGAAAGTCTTGTCACCTTCTTGTCTGAACCCGGGCCCATTTCGAGCCTAAAACAATATTTCCATATTTAAATACGAAATTAAAATGAAATTATGCACAAATTCTCACTTGAAGAAAAGGATCTAAATTGATTGCCGGATTTTCCCTCATTTTCTTAAAACTTAAATGTTCCTCCAATTCCACAACTTGTTCCTCGGTTAAAGGCTTTTCCAAGAAATTCGCTGTCTTCCTTATTACTGCTTTATGGTCCTACAATTTATTAAACTATTACCAGAGCACTATCTCATGCGTATTTATTGCACACAAAAAAAATAGATATTTTAAATATTGTATATAAATGCGTTTGCAATGAAAATTGTCCTATGAGTACAATAACAAAAAGAAAGATATTTAAAATGGTGAATTATCAATAAAATTATTTACGCAAAATTAGATTTGGTGGTTTAACTTTTGTACAGAATTCTTTTCAACTTTTTCTTTTTCTTTTTTCTTTCTTACTTTCAATCAATCAATCTGCAATGTATGACAAATTAAAAAATTGAACCACAGATGTTAAAAAGCTCTTGTTTATTATCAAAATTCAAACTAATGAAATATATAAATGGATAAAACACAGTCACAAGGAACAAATGAACTTAATCAAATTTAATTTGTTAAATGTTCAATGAGATTTTTTTTTAAATAATGAAAAATATCAGTATCAAATGGAGAAATGGTTTATATTACATGAGAAAAGTTGGAATTTACTCTCACAGTGGTGCTTGTCCTCAGTTCTCCTCCAGGTTCCACAAAATCAACTATCTTAAAAATAGTCTTCTAAACAACATGATGCCTTTAGCTAGAGCATGTCCTTTTTTTTTTTTTTTTTTTTTTTTTTTTTTTTTTTTTTTTTTTTTTTTTTTTTTTAACTTTAGTAACAAACTATCGTTCTTTAAATCCCAATTACTTCCACTCCTTAAATAACCCATTATTTAACATTCCCTACATTCATACTAAATTTTTAATTATTTTATCAGCTTCTACTTAATTTTATAAATACTCAATTAATTATACACAATTTTTCATTTTGAAAAAATGGTGTATAATTAATTGAGTATTCCCTGTATTCATTTATATATGTCTTTATTAGATAAATGTCCAAATTTTTATTAGTTTTTATATTCTGTACCTACTCCATTCTTCGTTATATTATTTACATTAATCTTTATATGTATTTTGTAGTCATAATTGACTTATTAATTATTTAAATTAATTACACTTTTTATCTAAGATCTTGGTTGAGATGAAAAATCCCTCAAAGAAGTCACAATAGCTCAAGTGAGCAGCAGTGTATTGAGCAGAAGGTCCTGGGTTCGAATCCCACTCACGACACTTGCTTTTTCACCATAATCAAGTCCTTAGATAAAAAGTATAATTAATTTAAATTATTTATATTTTCTATACGCATCTTTGTAACATTTAAATTATTTTTCCCTATATGTAATTAATATATGTCTTACATTTTTAATGGGTTTTGCCTGCATATAAAAAAAAACAATAAAAATAAACTCAGTCATGAGAAAGATAAAACACCTGACCTTTCGAAAAAATACTTAATATTTTTCTTTCAGGATTCTGCGCAATATTTATTTGTCCGGATTAGCATTTTGTGAATAAACCGAAAACCTTTTACTGCTATTACCAGAATATTTTACAAGTTTTCATGTTTTCACAACATTGTAGATACAAAATAATAAAATAAAAAATGTTCATTACTTTATCAAAATCTGAGCCAATTACACTCAACTACTGTTCATTAAACTCACGATACTAACAAAAACATTTTAAGTGAAAGGTTGATTTAGCTGTATTATTTATGACTTTAACGATACCTTGTCATATTACCAAATAGTCGATCGAGATGACTAAACGTTTCAATTTGAAATTTAATTTTTAAATCCCTCTTCCTTTGTCATTTTTTCCAAGTAATTTTGTTAATTTTACACCAACCTTTTACAATACCATTAAACTATTGGTTTTTTACTGGACAAAAAAGAAAATAAGGAAAAATTATTAAATTGGCTTAATCTTTTAAAATCACAGTTTCTTAACTCTTACTTTCATTCTAAGTGGGAAAAAAACTGTTTAAAATAAATATTACTTTTGCAATCCTTAAAAGGATGTATTTGTTGTACTGGGCAAATTGAGCCAACGATGGAAATAGTGTCGCACATTCAGCTAACTTCTCTGATTAATTTATGAGGTCTGAAAAAGGATATTCCAGTAAAACAACAATGAGCAACATGAATTCTCACTCAGTCAAAATGTGAGCAATACGAATCATTTCTTTAAAAAAATTTACCGGTAAAAATTACCATTCTTCCTTCCACTTTTACTATAAGCAATCAATTTTGTGCAATTAAGTGAGTACAATTAACAATTTTATGAAACTACGTTTTGTTTGGACAAAAAGGCAGTAGTTAATTAAGTAACCATCAGCTGTCATGCAAGGAGTCTGGTCGATTTATTGTGATCACTGCATGAGAAATATCATAAACCTTGGCCAGCAATTGCCTCTCATTAATAATATATTTAATTGTCAGTTAATAACAGTGTTTGTTAATTACCTTTTTCATTTCTTCATACTTTAAGAACAATACATTGGGTTCATCACGCATTTCCCAAAATGCCAGTACATGGTCCCAATACGGTCCAATTGGAGCTGGAAAAAATAAAGACCAATTTAGTTTGTTTTTTTTCTTGCTACTATAATTAATAAAAATGAAAAACTAAGTAAGAAACATGTGGCTCTGTTATCTTCAGACTCTTCTAACTAATCATAATCTAAATAATATACAATAAAGTTAAGTTGATAAATAAAATATTCATATTTTAACTAACAATTCTAGCTTGTCTTATATCATTTCTTTTTCTTTTTACGAGGGTTTGCAACAGCAGAGGTCATATAATCCCACAGGGTGCCGGTGTTTTTGAAAAAGAGCCCATTCGTAAGTATGTCGGGTTCGAATACAGGGCCACTGGATTCGAAACCAGGACCTTCACCTTACAATGATGAACACCGTGTCAATGCCTAAACTTTTGCGGCCAACGCCCCTTATATCATTTTTAGATAAATAATTTTAATGGTTTAATAGACAAACGAGTTACCTTTTCCTGCCAAAAAGAGATCACAGAATTCATCAAACGATCCGTGATAATCATGCAAGAGGTTTGTATAGTGGAAATAGGAGACGCACATGTCTTTAGCGTTTCTTGTTACATATATAATCTGAAACATAAATATCATTAAGTCAGAAATGAAAAAAAAATTCAAATTCTACCTTTGGTTTCACAGTGAACAATTGTTTGGGGAGTAGGCTACGGGGCAAATGCGTTTTGATGAACCTCGGTGATTTTGTGTTCTCAACTTGTTCAACGGAATTGCCTATGGCTTCCTTCCAAGAGCCCTTATCGTTGCCCAAAAGTGCAGTAAGCCTATTAAAAAATTGATAATTTTTTAGTCAAACTGCAAATCAAATTACAGCATGCTTTTTCACATCTAAAAACCTAAAGCCAAACGCTCAAAAAGAAACTTGTCACGAACTTTACTAGTTTTTCCAATTAATTATTCTTTTTATCTAATGTTTTTGGTTGAGATGAAAAGTTAGTGTCACGAGCAGGATTCAAACCCATACGTCACTGAGAATTGAATCCTGATTACACAACATTTGAAAATTGGCAAAAAGAGGGAAAAAAATTTGAATGGTTGTAGATTGAGTTGGGGAGTTGGTGTTTGAGAGGATCGAAGTCAAAATAGCTCAAGTGGTTAGAGCAGCAGCGTATTGAGCCAAAGGTCGTGGGTTCTAATCCTGCTCATCACACTAATTTTTCATCTCAACGAAAAACCTTAGATAAAAAGAATAATTAATTGGAATAATTAATATGATCAATTATGACCACTAAACAAATAATTTAATAATTTTTTTTAGAGATAGATGTCAACTCTTTTGGAGTGTGAAACATTACAACACATTTGGAAAAGTTTTACCTGTAATATTAAACCATTAAAAAAAAAATCATCATAGCAGAATTACACTATATTAAACTCCGACAGCTATAAAAGAACGTTTATTGTTTTATTACAAGCCTAAACTTTGTTGCAGAAGGATCAGATACTGTTTAATGTTGTAATTGCTAAACAAGTCAACAAATACAGAAAAAAAATAGTTTTTTTTTCCAGTGTACTTTGTATATTCATTTAATTTTTGTAAATAATCCAATCACATGATTTTGGATAAAGTGTTGCAGATAAATAAGAACAGATCGGTGTTTGGATAAAGTTCTTTGACTCTCATAGGAGCCAGTGATCGAAGTTATGATTTCTTGTACTTAAAAAAATATGCTTGTCTTAATCCCAAAAGATTGGCTTTATTTATTAGGTGATGCTTTTCGAATGGTGTATAATGTTTTTATAAGTTTTATTGATTCCTGATGCTTCGAAATTAAATAAAATGACAAGGAAAATAATTATTTAATAGCAGATACTAAAATAATTTTGAAATCAACATTAGATTTGATCTAAACAAATCCGTTGATTTATTATAGTTATTTCATGTTATAAATTGAATTCTGTGTGAAAAGTCTTCTAAAAACAACTTACAAAACTTGCAAAAATTATTAATTAAATGAAAATTCTGCAGTTGCATGTAAAGATTTTAACAAAAAATGCATGTGCAATATTTTCATGGGATATTTCATTTTCAAGATTTATCAGTTGGATCGATCTGAGTAAATTTGCAAATTTCATTGGCACTTTTCACACTGTAATGTGGTTATTGCCAATCATTCTGGCCGGCTTGTACTAACCAAATGACAAAATCACTCTGCGGGCTACATAGAGAAATCTCACAACTTTTAGCACTGTTTGGCCCCATTTTCTAAGCAAACTGAAGTAAAGTTTTTCTTCTAAAATCAAGAATCTAATAATAAGTTTAATTAATTAACTAATTTAAAATTAGTTCCTTTGAAAGATTTTTTACAATAAATCCTTGGTGTGTGTTTCTCTTTCTCAAAGGCAAATGAATTTATGTAACATATATGCTGATTGCTCCTTAGTACAAATTCAAATAAATAAAAATTAAACAAAAAAGTAAAAGAAAAAATGGAGACAACATATTTTTCCAGTTTGTATAACTGTATTTTATGGCCAAATTTATCAACTGGAACTTCTTTTGGACAAATAAATAATATCATGTTTATTTAATACACAAAAGATCAAATCAGCACATTTCACTTCTAAACAATAGTTACAACATTTATCAATCATTTAATAGAACAATAAAACTTTATAAGATGAGCCCAGTGGACCAAAAAATTTGATTATCTAAGAAAGATATAAACTTATTTATAACGTGCAGATCATTTTGAGCCAAATTTTATGTTATGTTTTGCTCTTAATTTAATTGATTTACAAAATTAATAATGTTTGCTTACTCAAGCAGCGGATTTCTCTGTTGGCCAACGGCCGATCTTGCGGTCTCAAAGTCCAAATTGTTGCAGATACACCAGACCATTTCCTGAGCCCAGGTGCTTCCTGTCGTGTTTGAAATTAATGGCAATTTATAGTTTCTTTAACGACCACGTTTATTTACCAGTCCTGGGATATGAGACAAGCCAGACATCATCTTCATGCACTTCCATGTTGTGTATTCTCTCTCCAAGCTCTTTGTATTTGGGCGGCAGGAGGACACCGCCTGGATTCACTTTTATGAGACAGTTCGGTACGCCATAGAGAGAATCCAATTTCTCCCTGTCTTCGCCAGTCAGCTCTTGGTATTTTATAGACATTTTGATTCCCTCTTTAAAAACGTTTAATTTATTGGGAATTTATATATTGGAAAAAATTAATTAAATAATCAATTTGTTTTAAAATGGAAGTTTTTTTAAGGGTACTAAAATTTAACATGCTGACCAGAAAACATTACTTACTTCTTTGAAGTTTTGGTTGAAACTGAGATGAATTCGGGCTAAGCTTCAACTTTCTACCTACGCCAAACAGGAGAAGAAAGTGGAGAAAGTGATCCCCTGAACCCCCGCCCCAAGGACAATTAAACATTTTATAAACTCTCTTTTTTAAACCCTTTCCATGGGAAAAGTATTATGCAAGACTTCTGATAATTTTCACAAATATTTTTCTCCTTAATGATCTTTGATTGTCTATCATTAAGAGTCCTCGTTTAATTGAAAATACTGTCAGACTTTTTCCCTTTACCACAAATACTGACTTAGTTTAAGCTCTATGTAGAAATAGCAATACGCAAAAATTAATTTTTGGCCAATTTTTTTTTGTCAAAATGACATTTTTTGCCCACCCTTATACAATAAAAGTACTGACGTATTAATTTTTTTTTTAATTTATTATTTATTGCACAAAATAAAAATTTACTATTTATTGACTAAAATATATTTGTCAATCATTAATAACGTTTGTTTACATCACAACTGTAACAATTAAACAAAGAAATTCTGTTATTGTACTTAAATGCTTAGACATTGCTTTTGAGAAATTATTTAATTTTAAAAAAAATAGAGCGTTTGAAAATTTTGTGATGTCAACAACACAAATTTAATAATATTCATTGTTTATAACATTATTTGAAAGGTTGTCCAAAGATCCCAAGGTTAAAAAAACTGCTGAACAAACTAGAAAAGAATAAGAAAGTTTCACTTTCTCTTACATTCGCCATTCATTTACACTTTCCCTCAAACCTTTAAAACCTTGTAAAACCAGTATATATATTTTTTTAAATACATATACTTATATATTCTATAAGAACAAACGATGTGTATATACCATATACAAAAATGACAATAGGAAAATTTAAAAAATTAAAATAACATAATAAACATTTCAAGATGAAAATTTGTATTCAGTAACAGACAAGAGATACTGTCATATTGAAATATTTACAAAAATATGAGTTTGTCAATAAATTCACAACTTCGGCTTAAGTCCTAATAAATAAATAAATCCTGTGCTTACAAAACATTTTTATCCCATAATTAATTTTTACTTCAACATTGTTTATTTATTTCGGGCATCTGATCGTTATCCACTGTCCCGATTTGTAACAGAGAATAATCCAATTAAATAAAATTCCTAGATCACCATGAGAATTTGAAGTCTTGGCTCTGAAAACAAGACAAAAAACCATTTAACATTGTAAATAAGTATACTAAGTTCATAAAATATAAAAATCATATCTTAATTCTTATCATCCTAGTCTAATTATTCTCGCTTAATAGGCAGAATGATAAAAGTTTTTGAGAAACATTCAATTTATTAAAAGTGAAATAGATTGTAATTATTTACCAATCTGCTTCATGTTTTTTTGTTGTCGTTGTAGGGCTTTCTTCTATTTCCATGGGCTCGGGTTCTTCCCTCGTTGTGTGGATAACCGAATCTTCTCTCTCATTCGGGTCTTTCTGTTTGGCTTCTTCGTCGGGCTGGCTTTGGTCTGCAGGCTGAGAGGTGTCGCAAGAAGTGACCTCGTTCTCTTCGGATTCGCTCGACACCTCAGACACCTGTTGTTTTTTCTCCGAGGAACTGCTCGTTTCTGAATCGGCCGAGTTGCTAGTATCGCACTCGACGAGCTGGTCCTCGACGGGGTCAGGTGAGAATTGAGGCTCTTTGCATTCGAGATCGACCTCACGCTTCTCTACCTGGGGTTCTTCTTTGGGTTTGTCTTCTTCGGGCTGTGGCTCCTTTTCTTGAGGTACGTTTTCAGAAGTGGGTTTGCTAGACTTTTTATCCCCCTGTTCCGGGTTTTTCGCTTGTTCTTTCATCTGGTCGAAGTACCGCTGAAGGTCTCTTTGCGCCTCTGGATCTAAGGCAAAAACAGTATCGAAATCTTCTACAGAAACATACTCTCTGACTGACGGTTCGTTTTCTCGAGCCGGTTGCTCTGGTTTTTGGCTCACCGTCGAACAGATCACACTCTCTTTCTCTTCACTTTTCACAGCCTCTTCCTTCTCAGGGCTTGTCACGCTATTCTCCTCGTTCGCTTTTTCCTCCTGGGCAGGTTTTTCCGCGTCATCTTCCTCCGGCTTGGCCTCGGCTTTCTCAGGGGTGTCTGAATTGACTTTGAATTCCTGGGACGAAGAATCGGGGTCGACTGAGTCGTTGCAGCGAGACACGTAGAGCGGTTCTCTCGAGTAAGGCATCCCGTTGTAAGACGCCTCGCCCTGGCCATCGCCGTCTTCCCCATGCCTCCCGGGCTCCCTCGTACTCACCACAAGTATGTTTTTCTCTATGGCCCTCATAAACTTATCAGCTCTGTTGTACTCTTTTCTAGGGTTGGTGAGCAGCTCGGATATCCTCTGCACGGTGAACGGTGCCCCGTGGAAAGAGTCGATCCTCTCCAGTAGGTTCGCCTTCATCCTCTCGTAATTGAAAACGTCGACGTTGGGACAAGGGGGCAGTTCTATCGTGAGCGTGCTCTCGTAAAAGTCTGTGATGACGTTCACCAACTTCTCCCTGAAGAGGCATTTGATGATGGACCATTTGAAGACGGGGTCACCAGTCTTGGCAACGTAGCCAAGATAGTCGTCCAGCTCTTTCGGTATGTCTTTCGGCTTGAACTTTGCGAACTCTTCCAGGGAGTGCATTATCTCCTCAGCGTTTTCCATCTTGGCATCCGTCGGAGAGAAGAACGGGTTCGGAACGGAAAAACACCCTCGTTTACCCTTTGTCCGGCCGCCGATCCGTGGTGAGGGCGAACGAAACGAGACGAGCCAATAAATGAAAAAATGGAAAGCTGCACCAACAGAAGAAGCAAGCCTGAAGCGTGTGCCCTACCAAAACAGAGACCGGACCGGTGCAATCACCATTCACCACAGGGCGCAGGTTAACCAACCGGACAACTCACATTTTCCCCGTTTGATAAACCTTTATTCAATTATTCACAGTTATCAATTATTTACAACAACAATAACACACTTTTACTCATTTGGAATTATTAAAAATTCTTATTTTACAGCATCGTTTATCATTCGACTACAATTTATCAACAATATAAAATTGCGTCTTTTGATCAATAGTCACATTCAATTTTACGTTTAACGGTCATTCCGAGACTCCCGATTTAAAAGTCAGATCCAGACAAATTATTTCATGTGATTAAAACGATTTAATTAAAAATTTGAATGATTTACTTTTTCACAACTGGAAACATTTATTTACCTAAAAACAAATAATTTTTTTTAAATAATGCAATCTACAATACATAACAATATTTCCTGAATGTACAACACAAGCATATAATATGGAATTTCGAATTTATTTTATTTATTTATTTTCAAAGGTTCAAATAGGGCATAGTTAAATTATTTCATATGATTAAAACGATTTAATAAAAAATTGAATGATTTACTTTATGAGGACACTTTTTCATCACTGGAAATTTACCTAAAAATAAATACACTTTTTTAAATAACGCAATCTTAATACATAACAATATTTCCTGTACATAAAACATAAGCAGACAGTATAGAATTTAGAATTTATTTTATTTATTTTGAAGGAACAAATAGAGCATAGGTAAATTATTTCATATGATTAAAACAAATGAATTAAAAATTGAATGATTTGCCTTTGCGAGGACACTTTTTCATCCCAGGAAATTTACCTAAAAATAAATACTTTTTTTTACATAGTGCAATCTATAATATATAACAATATTTCCTATGTGTACATCATAAGCAAATAATACAGAATTTAAAATTTATTTTATTTATTTAGTTTAAAGGTACAAATAGGGCGTAGCTAAATTATTTCATATGGTTAAAACAATTTAATTAATAATTGAATGATTTACTTTTATAAGAATACTTTTTCATCACTGGAAACATTAATTTACCTAAAAATAAATACTTTTTTTGTTAAATCACACAATCTATAATATATAACAATATTTCCTATATGTACATCATAAGCATATAATACTGAATTTAAATTCACTAATTTCGTGGTCCGCTTGACCAATTAATACTTACAATTAATTAAGGTTTTTAGTTGAGATGAAAAAAGCTAATGGCACGAGAGGGATTCGAACCCACGACCTTCGGCTAGATACGCCGCTGCTCTACCACTTGAGCTATCGTGACCTCGATCCACTCGGACATCAACTCCCCACCTCAACTCATAAGGTGGGGTTGAGGTGGGGAGTTGATGTCCGAGTGGATCGAGGTCATGATAGCTCAGGTGGTAGAGCAGCGGCGTATCTAGCCGAAGGTCGTGGGTTCGAATCCTTCTCGTGCCATTAGCTTTTTTCATCTCAACTAAAAAATTGTACAGAATTTAAAATTTATTTTATTTATTTATTTTAAAAGTGCAACTATGGCTTTATGCTTCCTTACAAGTACGTATATTAGAAATAAATTAAGTTTTATACATAATAAAACAATAATAACAGCACAGGTGCCCCTTATGGAGAGAAAGGTTGCTCGATGTGTCCCACATAATAGAGGCGTGTCATTCCTTGGCTCTATAGAGAGAGCGTGTTGGTATGCTGCCAGATTTAAGAAGGTTCTCAGGCACGGTAGCGAGTTTCACGGTCGCCTGGTCTGCTTTTTAGGGGCATTGGAAAATTTTTATTGTATATTGCCATCAAAATATGTGTTTCTGTGTTTTGTATGAGTGAGTGTATTTATTAGAGTGAATGGGGGAGGGGCTGATGGTGAAATAGCAAATAGCACACTTAAGTGTTATATTATTAATCCAAAAGAATTCGTTCCTAGCCTAGCTACCAGTGACAGTATATCATTGTACTAGATAAACTTATTGTTCAAATAACGTTTTTTTAAAGTTAATAAACTTAACTTGATATACATGCAAGTGTCAATTTGAGCTTGTATAAATCATTAATCAATAAAAGTCTAATTGATTCATTTTTACTGCATAGAAACGTAATTTTTTCAATTCATGTATTCATTTGACATGCAGGGAGGTGCATGCCTCCTGCTTAAATTGACTCGTGTGCAATATCTTAATTTTCTAATTAAAATTAATTTCATTGTAAACACTGATAGAATTTATTTCCAATGTAAAACTGTAAAACTTAATAAATGAATTCTGTCAAACAAAAAATTATTCCGCATCCTAATAAATAACACTACAAAATCGACTGATGATAAATAAAAATGTATTAGGTCAGTACTTCCATAAATTAATATAAAACTCAATAATAATTTAAAATATAAAAAATCAAATAAAATTATTTTTTTAAGATAAAATAATTCTAAAGTGTTTAATTCCTTGAAGGACAGGTGAGGCCAGGTCAAGAGAAATGCAGTCATTTATTTATTATTTTATCCTCTAACTTTTATTTATGTTTTAAACCTTTTAACTGAACTTATTTTTTTATTTTTAACTTTTTTTTTAATATGCAAGACCAGCATTAAATAAATCCATATTTAGTATATTTCCTGTTCCTCCTAACTTCTATTAATGGGAGAGTGGGGCTGTTAATTAGTGGGGCAGTAATAAATGATAATAAATTACGAGTTTTCTATTTAGGGACATTGAACCTTATAAGGGGTAGCAGTTCAAGTTTTAAGATCAAGTCATTTAATAATTTGTAAAGAAAAACAGTCAAACCTAGTTCTTCTTGCCTCTAGGCAATATTTAGAACAGACATGGGATCATAGTTGAAATCAAAATTGTGGTTCAAAACCGTTATAGTACGTAAGAAAGGCGTGCTGAACCATTTCAATAATGGTGATTTGAGAGGAGTTGAGAGGAACCAGACAGTAGACAAAAATTCAAGTTTTTAAAAAGATTTTGACTTGTGAATTAAAAACTCAAGTGTTTTTAGAGCTTTAGAGCAAATTTTAGACATACGGTATCTGAAGGATAATTGATAGCCAAAGTGAATTCCTAAATTTTTAATTATGTCAATTTTAGTCAATATTTCATTATTAATAAAGTATGTAATAATATTTATTGGCTGTTATGTAATGATTATTTAAAGTTTCTGGTGTGATGTAGGTTTAGAAAAATATTTTCTTTATCGTGCCAATGTTTCGATCTTTATTAAGATCATCTTTATGGCCTGGTATTTATAAACATTGTGTAAATTATTCAAATACATATAAGATACGACTATGAATTGATATGACAAAAAAAAAGTCAGACCCTTTCACCTCAATGAAGCCGATTCATAGCAAAATGAATTTCTATCCCTACTTCCTTCCCCACTCTTTCAATACCAAACAAATATAAACAAAAAAATTAATATCTCACTAACATCTCTACACGACACATAACCGTGACATATTTACACAGAAAACCAACACCAAGTGAGTACAAATACTTTAATTAAATCTAAAATTTCTATGCTGTGTACACCCTGTATAAATTCATTTTCACATCTTACATGTATTCATATAACGTGCACAATGTTTATAAATCCCAGGCCCTGAAGATGATCTCACTAAAGATAGAAATATTGGCACGATAAAGAAAACGTTTTTCTAAAACCTATGTCACAACAGACCACATCTCACAATCTCTAAATAGTCATTAATAAAGTAAGTGAAGTTTAAGTCAGTAAATCTGGTCATTCTAGAAAAGGAAATACATTTAGAGATTTTAAGTGGTAGATCATTCAAAGAGAAGGTTCATTCATCATTCATGTGCCGAGAAGGTTGTTCTGAAGTATGACTTGATCAGATCTTGATTTAATGGCCTTAATTGTTTAAGCTCATCAGCAAAGAATAAAAATGAAGTTTTGTAAAAAAGCAGTTTGTCCTTAATAAATAGAAGAAACAAAAGTGGACCATGATGAGAGCCTTGAGTTACACCAGATACACTCATGTAAAAGCTAATTTTAATTTAAAAACTTAAATTCTCAAGGCAAACCTAATTTCTTAGCCTAAAAGCAGAAGATGAAAAAATAAAATTAGGTTTTACTTGAACTCTAACGTTCAGATAAAAAAGTCATGTACTATCTACTAAAACTCATGTAATGCCTTTATTTTTCACTAAGAACTTAATTTCTATCTGTCATGTGCTTTTAAACCACTGAGATTCAATCTGAAAAATAAGAAAATTTTATTGTAGACACTGTATAACTTTTTGTTCATTTCTCATTTTATATTGTATAATTTCTTTTTTCACAACCAACCACTGAAAATGTCAACATACCAAAATGCAACTGATAGACAAAAGCAGTGACGATAGGAAGAGCAAGATCAAAAAATGACCTTTTTAAATTCTAATTTATTTATTTTTACTTTTGAAAAAAGTAATGCTATAAGTTGTATAAATTGATACACATAAAAAAGGCTTAATATTAAAATTTACTTAAATGATAGTCTAAAAACACTCATTTATACAAAACAATTTACGAAACTAACGGATTTTGCGAGCAGTTACAAAACCCGTCTAAAATAAACTTTTTAAAAATGCAACTCGATTCTGTCTTCTCATTCTCTGTAAATTATTACATTATTTAAACGAAAGGCTCTTTTTCTCCTAGGGTTATCACTTGTATTTTGTTCTAGTATACACATTTGTGTACTTCGTACTCTGCAGTGTGACCATTATAATATTTGCACACACCACATTTGACGTGCTTTATTTGTTCTAGACAATGCAATATTATTTAATTTTGACTTCTGTTTCTAAGGAAGGACAATACAGGAGGATTTTTTTTATAATAAATGAAAAAGCTTCTGGGAGGGTGGCATAATGGAATTGGCTGAAAAATGAACGATGATAAAATCACATTAAAAACAAACATCGCATCATTATTGTACATATAATTTGTTTACATTTTTTTTTACAATTGTTTAAGTCATGAGGAACGGTCAAGAATGTTGTAGTTTAGAAAAACACCTTTTTCATTTTTTTGGCGATGTTTCAACCTTTATTTGGGTCATTTTCAGGGCATAAAGTGTGGTGTTCTTCTTGAGGTGTCATATGGTGTTGTGAGAAAGTGTTGGACTTATAATTATAATAAAACACAAACATATTTTTCTTTTAGTGTATTATTTTAGAATCTGTCAAGACATTCTGAAAAGAGCAATTTGTCGAAAATAACCAAAACGAGCAAGAAAAACTAAATATTTAATTAAACTGAATTTATTATTATCAATTTTTAATAATCTCGACAAAATCACCTATATAGATGGAACTAATTTTGAAGAGCAATCTTAAAGTTTTTCAACACAACACTTTCACACAACACCAATATGAAACCACAAGAATAGCATCACACTTTATGCCATGAAGATGATCTAAATAAAGGTCGAAACGTCGACAAAAAAATTAAAAAGGTGTTTTTCTAAACTACCTCATTCATGACCACTCCTCACACTTCAACAAATTATGAAACAGCAGGTCACTAAAAAACACACTTTTTTTACAATCTGCCATGTTAGAAAAACCTTTTAATAAAGATTTAATTAACAAATTATTATTACTTTCTGATCAACATTCTTTCTTATTAAAGTTGAATATTTTCAATGGTAACTGAAATGCCTAAATTAATTTATTTAAATGATTTTATATACACAAACAAACAAGTGATAAAGTATAATTAAGAATAACAGTAAAACAGTCATTAGATTTTATTTTTAAAATCTGTGTGCTTTAATTATTTTATGTTTTTAATGATTGATTTCTTTCTGCTTCTTCACTCAACACAAAGAGTTTTATTTTATGAAGTTAGTAACATTTTCTAGATGAATCGATATATTTGAATCTTAGTTCAGCCTTGAATTGCCTAAACAACATGCGGTTACTATCTTGATCTACTTCCTTTTCCTCATGGAAAGAATTGCTTGTTTTAAAGCCTAAATGAATCAGAAAACCATTGTTCAAAACCGAAAACGTGTAGCCTGCAACATGGAGCTCGCACACCTAAAAATTCAAAACGTTCGGTATATATTTTTTTTTTAAACGCCAAAGTTAAATGAATTACCTGGCTTATCCTGTTGAAACCGTACTGTTTGAACCGCTCATCATACAGTGGGACGTTGTTGCTCGAGATATAGAAAGGCTCCCAGGGGTCTTTCCAAATAACATCAAACAGTGCAGCCATTTCTGCACCAGGAGGTTCATTAAGCCAAGCATCGTAATTTGTTGGCGCCTAAAATAATTTTTTAAAATTTATCATAACGAAGAATTTTTTTTGCCTTTCACTAACTTGACATTTGGAGCATAATTCAGTATAAAACGGTCTTATCTCGCCTGTTTCAACAAGATTGAGCAGCTGAGCTTTGTTCAAAGGAGGCTCCACATTATCTTTAGCCTCAAAGACAGGAATAACAAAGACTGTTTTGTCATACTGATGAGTTTTTTTGAACAGTCCTCTTTGAGTTGCAAACAATAAAAAATCCTGAAAATAAATATTTATTTTTAAAAAAAATTATATTTGTAAGCATTTAATTTTAAACTGGAGAAATGTACCGATCTAAGATTTTCATTTGGCATCATGTCAACATCAATAACAACCACAAACTCAGTTGTGGTAGCCCTCCTGGCGACATTTCTCAACAAATTGTTTGGAAATTTGTTTGTGGAGGAATAATTCTGGTTTTCTTCCTCGACCCGTGTATCACAGCTGTCATCAGTGTCAAATTCTGGCATCAACAGTGGTGGATTGTTTTTCGCCGGTACGGGCGAGACGAGCGAGAATGTGACATTCTCTTTGAAAACCTGCGAGCAGGCTATCAGTTGGGAGACTTTCAAAAGTGCTTTTGGAATAATGTCCTCTTCCATGTACAAAGCCACTGATATGGGACCCTGCAAGGCGAGATCAAATAAGTTATATATATATATATATATTTTCTTTTGTTAAAACTTTTTTTTTTTTTTTTTGTTTTACCTGCCATCTTTTTGCAAGGGAGACTAGTTTAAAAATATGATCAAAGGAACACTGAGTGACCAATGTAATATCTGGGATTGGTGTGGAAAATACGCTGTGCCTGGACTCCTGGAGAACAGTTGCAATTCTGTACACACCTGTCGAGTCTAAAAAATGTTTGTTTCTCAGTGTGTCATCCAGCAATGAAAACAGGGTCTTTATCTATTAAACAAATAAAAATGCATTAAAATAAAAATTAATAATAACTATAAATACAATGAACCTGTCTAACCTAAACCTAAAAAAACATAACAAACAATTAAGTTGGTTATTAGAGATTAAGCTTAAATAAGTAGAGATTATTTAAAAATAAATTTGATTTAAGAAATTTAGATATTAATTAATTTATAAATAAATTATTACATGTATGTAAAACATGTTTTTGCCTGAAGAAAAACATTGTTTCATACTTATTCAAACTCATTTCGGCCCTGTGTCATCTTCAGTGAGGCACTCCTCCCAGATGATGGTGTAATGCCGAAATGCATAACTCAAAAATCCACCAGTAGACCCAGTAAGTGACCCCGTGTCAGTTCAACATACCAATTATAATTATTATAACGCTATTGATAATTAACTCTTGAAATAATTTTTCAAGAGAAAGGCAGGCATTTCATTTCAGTATCGAATGTTTTCGAACTGAAATTGTATATATTCTCAAGTTTTTATTGTTTCACCCTGTGAAAAAAGGTTCAGTTCTTTTCAAGGATTAATTGCTAATTTTGCCATTTTTTGGCAGAGACAAATGATTTTCTTACATAAAACTTTAATTGATCTTTAATAAAGACCAACGTTTAAAGATTTATGTGCACTAAATAAAATCCTTTTGTGATTCTGTTTCTGAACATTATTAAATTTATTATTAAACTCATTACATCACATTACATTATTAAATGTATTACATTATCTTGTCAAACTGTCTAATTAAATAGTCAATATTGTTTCTTTAATTATCTTGGCTTCCAAAATGTTTATCTTTTTCCTTTTGGGAATCCTCTTTCTGATAAGAGAAATTAATAGACTTTTTCACATTTGACCTCTATATTCTAAAAGATCAATTAAACTCACATAATAAATTATTTATTGTATAATAATTAAATTTAAATGATTTATGAATTAATTTTAAAATAACAAAATTCGGGGGTCCTACTGATTTTTCTTATTTTAAAAATAGGTTTTTACCACCTAAATGATCAATAAATCAATATCTTCTGACCTGACCATCTTCCAGTTGCTACTAAATTAATCAAAACAAGTATGTAAGTGTTTTTTTACATGCAATTTTTTTTTACATTCATGTAATAATTTATTTATAAATTAATCAATATCTGTTCAACATGAGTTCACCGACTCACAGACCAAAACCCATCATCAACTCATTTGGTGCATGTTAAGCAGATGACCCAGTCAACCAAGAATCCTTGATACTGATAATATTCTCTTATAATTAAGTTCATATGCACTTTTAAATCTTAGAAAAGCTTTCTAAGTAAGTTTTAAAAACTGTACTCTGAAAGTTGGCAATGCCATGACCCTACCTAAAAAAATGAAACTCTTGAAACCAAGGATGAATTTTCAATATTTTATTTAAAGTTCGACCACAAGGGGAACAACTCAGTAAAACCCCTTAAAATTATTATTTAACATATTGATTGCGGAGTGAATTCCAGAAATCTAAAGAGGAAAAGCAATTTAAAAGTCGTGAAGTACTAACAATAAGCTAACAGTTTAACTGATGACCCTGATTAGAAAACAAAAACCTACAAGCCTGAAACTGCAGTAAAGAAGAGTTGCGCAAATGACCATCGAAAGTATGGCAATGAATAAACCAAATAGTTTAAGCCTGGGATGTTATATGTACTTCTAGGTATAAATTTCATTTTCCGCTTCAACAAATTAACCATCGTTTAAATGTAAATGGCTTAAAAGAAAAATTCAATCACTTGAACCAACTTCATAAAGACTTCTGAGTTAATGTCTTTAATGAGAGAAAGATCCCAAGGGATTAACGAAAAACAATTATTTATTTTTAAGATGCTACATATTTTTAGGCAAGAAAATATTTTTTCCTTTCAAGAACATAAATAACTTGAATACTGGTTTAAAAGATTGGATAAACTCTTTTACAAAGGTGTAAATTAACTTCACAGAATAGCAACAAGCAGACCTGTAAGTGAAGAACCCTAAAACCAAAAGCTCACAATAGGAATGATACAGAAATTATATTTTTAAAAATTGTGTACATATGTTTTTAATAGCTTGGAAGATAATTTGTAAATTAACCCCTTAGCAGACTGCTGAGTCAACTAAGAACTGGTGAGTTATGGTGAAGAAACCAAATACTTTGGGATTATTTTTCTTGAAGAAAAAAATCAAATAACTTTCATCCTTTGTCGTATCATCTCTCCTCCAAACTAAAGTGCTCAAAAATGAATAGGGATATTTGTAATTTATTCTTATTCTATTAATTTTCATTACATTAACTGATATATTCTTGTTAGTTGGATAAAAAAAAAAATAGAAAATACAAACCAAAAACAAATGTTAATCATCATTTTTAATAATGGATTTAACTAAGAATAATAAACATGAAGATTACTCATTTTTCAAACAAACACCTTTTCTCATCTTTTCTCCATTTTAATCCAGTATTCTCTTTAGCCATGGAAAGACATCATCTTGAACCAGAAGCTCCCAATATTATTGTGAGAATGAGTCGAGATGACCGGTAAGTGGATATCGCAGAGGCAGTCGGCGTTTGTCAGAACATGGTCTCCCAGGCTTTAGACTGATTCCGAGAGGCTGGAAGTGCCAATAGGAGGCCTGGTAGTGGATTAAGATGCAAAGGGAGGAGAAATATTGTCATTGCTGCAAGAGAGAACCCTTTTCATAATGCCCACTAGATCCTAAATGAAGTGCAAGATGTTTTGGCAAGGCTTTTATCAACACAAACTATCTACACAGTCCTCCAGCAACAGAGTATGATGCAGCGAGTACCTAGATGAGAACACAATTGGAATGCTTTTAAGTTTAATCATGTTTCTGTCTGTGATAAAAGGCGCCAAAGAATCTACCAAGAACAGGGGGTGCATACAACTGGGGTTCATGCTCCCTTCAGTGGAGTTTTGAGTTAGCATTGGTCTGGGCTGGGATTTAAACTGGACAACCAACTGGGCTCCATATTGTTGAAGGCAATCTCACCGTAGACTGTTGGATCCAAGAAATTATCGAGGAATACATCCCTCAAACCAGGGATCTCATTGGCAGGGATTTTCGATTTCTGGTTGAATTTGGTTCTGCCAGACCTAAGAGGAAGATTTGTTCATCAATCCCATTGACTGTGGTGGGATGTCGTAGAGAAGGATTTTCTATCACCATCCGTAGCCAGTTGACCTGCAATAACTGAGTGCAGCATTGCATCTATGGGGTGAAATTCCTTATGAAATTAGTGACAATCTCATTAACAGTATGGTTAACAGACAGAGGAAAAAAACAATTTCTAATAAATTTTAATGCAATTTATAATACAAATAAATACCAAATTGGGGAAAGCAAAAACTACAAAATTGTCTATTCATTTTTGAGCAGTTTACTACAACCCTGTTCCTCTTCCAACAACCGATTTCATCCACTATTTGGGACGTTAATGAATAATGAAAACTGTTCGTTTGATCACTTTAATAGACCACACTTCATGTTAAAAATGGTTTTTGTTAAGGTACATTCGTAATTAGTCGAAAGTGCATGCGAATCTACCTCATTTTCAGGGGAAATGACAACGCTGTCTTTTTCAGCGTTCAAAACTTTACTCTTTTGCAGTCTTATCGAGTCCAAGTGGTTGAGTAGGATCAAATGGATCACTTGCAGCACCGCGACCACGGCAGTCAACAGTAGAATTATTTTAGTCCATGACCCAATGAACATTTTACATTGAGATCTACATGTTTGTTTACATCGTCCTGCTTCTGCAATCAGACGGGCAAGGGTCGACCTTCACTTATCAGTTAGACGGTGTCTCCCCCGATTAACGTGGGCGTATGCGCGTGCGCCGTGAACGCACTACTAGGCCACCGATGCTGACTCATCCCTGGCGATCTTCGCGTCTTATCAACAGTCGATTCATTCGTCGTTCGGCTCTTCTCTGGTCAAAGTCGGCCAACTGATTTTCTCTACGTTTCGTCGTTAATTCGCCTAAACATGGCAGGCGGACGGCTAATCGGAATTAGCTGTTTTATTTTATTGATGTTCCTTTGTACTTTGACATCTGCCTTTTACGGAAGGACACAGGACGAGGACTTATTTGTGCTTGACCACGATGACGACTCATCAGCCATGAACCGTCTAGTACCGATTAGGAATAAAAGAGACACTGCTGAAAACGAGGACATCAAGACAAAGGTGAGCCATACCATGCTTTTTAACTGACATCATTTTAAATTCGGTTTTTATTTTTCTGTCAAGGTGTCCAAGATCAAGAACTCTCGCCAGCAGTTGGTCGTCCACTGGTCTGGCCAGGGCTCCAATATCATGATATGCCTGGCGAAGAGCTTCGAGCCTCCCAAGTTTAAGGAGAAGCCTGCACCGTCCGGAGTGTACATCTCGTACGACGCCGGAGGCTCATTTCAGAATAAGATGGACCATTTCATGGTTGATAACACCACTTTTGCTTCCGTTGACACTTTCTTTAGTCACAAAAGAGAAAAGCGATTCGTAAGTTTCCATAATCTCGAGATATGTTATCTTTGCAAATATTTACTTTGGCTATTTTAAATGTATGTAAATACAAACAAGTCGCTGCAATCTCCATTAGGTTTTTTCCTGTTGATTTAATTTAACAACAAAACAGTATTTTATTGATTTGATTAATTTCTTATACCTCGAGTAGCCAGAAGTTAATAAAATGCTACGATCTATGTGGAGAGTTAAGTAAAATAAATACCCAAAAAAATTTACAATACTGCCTAAAATTTGAAAAATGTCAAAAAAAATCAAACATACTAAAATGTAAACGATTGAAAAAACAGAGTTCATACAAATCACTACTGACCAGTTTATCGGCCAGTAAATAATCAACTTTTTATTAAAGGAATTCGTATTGAGAGGAAAAGACATGTTAGGACTTGTTGAATGATGGCCATTGTTGGACTGGGAAATAGCTTAGGTCATCATTGATCAGAATAGATGATTCATTAAATTTATAAAATCCATGTCAACTCTTACAATACAGGGCTGGGAAAATAAGGATATTTGTTAATTATATCTCTCATTCGACTAAAATGAATCTGTTAAAAAACGACCGTGAAGGTTTGTTTAAGGGCCAGCACATGGTTAAGGACGTCATTATTCAATTTTAATAATAAATTACTACTATGTTACTGGCCTGAAAACAACCAATCTTCATCAGTTAATTTTGAGGTGGATACGATACACTAAATAATCACGATTAGGTCGGTTAAAGTAAAAATCTTTTATGCAATAAAAGTTACTTGTTTATTTATAATGTATTAGAGTGTTAAATTTTAACAAGGGAACTATTCTACTGAATCAATAATTGTAACAACCATAATTTATGCTGAACAAGTATTGGGTTTATTGGGTCCCTCTTCACTAACAGGTTTGTTGAACTATTCAAACGCATTTCGGCATTGTACCATCTTCAGTGAGGAACTCATCAAATACCATTTAATCTGTAATTATCTTATTGGCAAATGATTAATTGATACATTCAAAAATGTGAATAATTACACGACTTATATAATAACATTTTTCCCCATACAGCGAACAAAAAGACAGACAAAGATAGTTTAATTTTAACAAATCTTCCGAACTAGATAATTTCAATTTATCGTGTAATTGGTTGTTGTTATTTAACATTAGGTTTAAAAAAAAATTAAATAAAATTTTAAATCTCACCTTTTTTTAACCAGTTACATGATAAATTGAAATTATCGAGTTCCGGAGTATTATTAAAAATAATCTAATAATCTCAACTCATCTTTTTGTTTGCACCATGTGAGAATAAAAGCTGTCTTATAAGACAGTACAATTATTTGCATCATTAGATTTTTTTTAAGAAAGGAAAGGAATTTTAAAATGTAAAAAAAGAGCATTTGGAGAGGGAAAAAGTTTATCAAAAGAAAGACTTGATGCATCAACTTATTAAAATTTGAATAGCACCAGTAAATCTATGAAAAATTACCTACTTAGCTTTACAATAAAATAAGCAGCAATACAATTAAGGCCAATTGCCTGTTCTACATATGTAAAACAGTGACTGACTATCAGACACCGTACAGACCAAACAGCTGCAAATAAAAGGGCTCTTATAATGATATGGATAAACGCTAAGAAAGGATTTCTTGAAATTCCATCCTTAAGGGAATCCATATGGACAATTTTTATCGTGTATAGACCGAAGTAAACTGAAAAATGGAAGAATATGAGAATCGAGACATTATATTGGAAAGCATGTGCGCGAAAAAAGATAAAAAAGAAGGAAACCATGCAGAGGTCAGCCCATAAATTTCCCACTTTATATGTATATTAGAAAGACCCACTAGCACTCTGCATCGCATTAGAAGGGTACAATAAAACAGAGTCCATGTGGTGAAGCCAATGGTTTGATTTATAAGAAAACAACCAAGTGGTTTAGGATTTTGACAAAGTAAAATTTAAATTCTTCCTATGTTCTTGCAGGCTTAGAGAAGATTGTCGCTGTGGACAATATAGAATGTTGAAAAAAAAATTGGAAAAAAACTGTTAAGTTCCATAAAAAAAAAACCTGATCTACTATTACATGAATAGCTTTTAACAAAAAAAAAAAAATCTACAATTTACTGTTGAAAAAGAATAAAATATAAATATTAAAGTTTAAATTATTAAAATAAGGAGCATTCATTGATTTATTTCATTTATGAATGTAATAAGCAGTATGATCTATGATAGGCTCATCATTTTGCCGGCATATAAACAACTTCTATTATTTAACAACTGTTTTCCTCTATAATAATTCATTTCAGATAGATAAATACGTTTTATTACTTGATTTAAAAATAATAATATATCAAAATGGGTCGAACAATCAACTGATATATACAAGTGGATCAGTAACTGGATTTTATAGCTTTCAAGAAATAATAATTTCTTCTAAGATGCAAAAGAAAAACAAATCAATATAGCACCCTTATTAAAAACAAGTTGCACCAATTGTCCCAACTTGTTTTCTCCTTATTTACAAATACTTGGTTTGGCATTCTGACAAAAAAAAATACATTTACTCCACGTTTGATTTTAACCCTCATAACAGGCAAAATGAACTAGTATTAATTGTAAATAGTTAATCTTCACTCGTAGAAGGCTTTATGTTCTTTCTCTGTTCCTCTTTGTCTAGGATTGTTTCTGATGACTAAGTGTAACAATATCAAATTAGGATTTCTTAGCAAAGCAAAAACAACGATGAGTAATTTATTAACAAATAACAAAATAAAAAAATAAAAACCTTTGCTGGCAGACAAAAGACCATTTATTTTACTTTTATCATAAATAACTTGTTTATTTTCTTTTGTAACTTACAATCCTGTGTTAGCTGGAAGACAGATGTAACTCACCTACAAGAATTATATAAAGAGAATTTTGAATAGTTAGTACATAAAAACACATAATTTGATTTAATTTATTCAGAGAGATTAGCTTATTTGAATAAATAATCCGATCAAGACTCGAGAAGCTTGACTTCTTATAACCAATCAACCACTCTTTTTCTCTAATAGTACAATTCGTTTTTGCTAAATAAACCGTTTTTAATCAATCTCAAACACCTGTTTTTATATTTTGAGTGGGTTTAATATGAGCTTGGAAGATCACAAGGCCAGATTGCTTCATAATAAAAAATTATCATACAAGTCATTTATGTAAAAAATTAATTATCTATGAACTGTCGTGCTCTACCTATTAGTTATCTATTAGAATTGTACAAAGATAATTGTTCGTTTTTCAACATAATAGAATAATATCTTTCTGTTATCTAGAATGGTATTATTAAACTTTCTAACACTATCAGTTGGGGGGAATGTATGATTCATGCTTTAATAGAATAAAAATGAAACCTTACATTCCCACTTTTTAGCCAATTTAGTCAAATACCCTCATACTGGGCATTTATCGGGTTGTCCGGAAAATAATGCAGGATTTTAAGTTTTCATTAAAAAAAATCTATATAAAATATTCTGTTTACGTTTACAGGATTACTCATNTATTGAGAGTATGGGAAATTATTTTGATTAAAGAACATTGCTTTAAAGTAACTAGTTTCTTTTTTTTTGTTTAATACCAAAATACTGCATTATTTTCCGGACAACCCAATAGTATGTGGGAGCAAAAATAGACTAATTATATTAATTAAAAATATGAAACTACAAAAAAAATCAGAAAATAAAAATTTATTGCTGACAGAAAAAAGTATTTCTTTGAAGAAAGCTTTTCATATAATCATATTTTTTCTCACGCAAAGTGTTTTCTGAATGCTGACATTTCAGTATTTATCAAACGTATATAAAAAATTCATGACTCTCTCCAATTGCAGTTTATATCAATATCCTTTATAATTATTTATATATAGATAGTATAATTATTTATATATTATTACCTTATTAGAAGTTATATAATATATAATTAAAAGCATAAATGTTTGGTCTCACTGTTACAAAATCAATATTAATTTCTTCTATTTTTATTTATTTATTTGTTTGTTTTTAATGCTCTACTCACAAACACTACCTTTGACATTCTGCCAATTTTCTCAGCATAAAATTTTGTTTTGTTTGTCGACTTTACACCTCCCCCCAGGGTTGATGTTTAATTTTAGCCCTCCCCTTGAAAAAGTTTCCATCATGAATAATCAATCCTTATCCACTATTTCAAAGCTGGTCTTAGCTAAAACGACCCTTCCTGTTGAGTAATCATAGATATATAACAAATTGGACTTCCTTTTAACTAACCCAGCTCTATGATTCATCGTTTTCCCCCTCAACATTTTTTCATCTCCTTGTTTTTAAAAACGTAAGCTGGCAATTAAAACTGTTAAATTATTGTTAAAGCTTATTTATACAATCAACATTTTAAATAAAATAATCTGTCATTTATGCAAGATTTTTTTTCTGTAGTAACACAATTTATAAAACTTGTGAAATAATTGAAAGAATTTTAGAATTTTAAGAATTAATGTTTAAGAACGGCAGCATAATTTTGACAAGAAGCTATTGATTTTATTATATACTTGCGATAATCCAAATTCCCCAGAAATACTGGATGGGTTTTGGGTTTTTCATTGGAACAAAATTAGAGATGTACTCCAAGCCTACAATTTTAAGCCGTATCACTCTGATACAGGTTTTCTATGAGTGTGACACTGATTATGACTTGCGTCTAAAGTTCAGAGTGGAAATGTTGATTTGGGACACTGAAAAAAAAAACTCTACCATACATCCTGGGGACTGATGAATCAAAGTTTACAACAAATGATAAACTGAAACGGTGGCATTTTAGATTGTGGGCAGAAGAAAACCTTCAAATTGTGTACTCTTGTCGTGTAACAACAGATGATGTTCCTCTACAACGTCAAAGAATGATACTATAGCTTAATGGATGCCCAAACAAGGGCAGGCAGTTAATATATTATAGAATGTAGATTGGAACCAACTCTGTAGAATTTTTCTATTATTTTAATTTGTCAATTAGACATTATTTTAAACAATTTCTTATCTTTAAAGAAAACAACCACAATAGACAAAAAGTTATCTTTGTAAAAATTAAACAAATTAAGCTGAACAATATTAATGACAGCATTATTTCAATTTATTTATCATTAATTTATCTGTTGTGACATTATTGTCTTTGTTTTCAGATTATATTTGTTGACAAGTTCAATAAGGTATTGTACCTTACGAAAAATTACTTGAAGGATATTACGAGGAAGAAACTTGACTTTTCTCCAAATAAAATTCTCTACCACCCCGACACTCCATATATATTTTTAGTCCATGATAACGACAAAAAGGTGAGCTTTATTTTGCTTGTGCCAATGGCAAAAACATAAGACTTTATTGTATTCAGCTTTACATAACAAGAGATTTCGGAGAATCATTCACCCTCGCACAAGTTATGGTCAAGAGTTTCTTCTGGGCGGAGAAATGGAAGGACACTTACAGTGACACTCCATCCAGGACTCTGCTTGTTCAGAGGATCGAATCAAATTCATCGGCTATCATAGCGCTTAAAGATGTCGCCAATGAAAGGATAAATGTTGTACCGATAAGGCAGGAAGTTGAGCAATTCTCTGTTGCCGGAGATTTTATTTTCACCTCTAAAAGATTGTCCCCTGTGAGTTTTAGTTATCAATCATTAAAACGTTTAGTTCAACAAAAATTTTAAAAAAATTTCAGGGTAAGAATGAAGTGTATATATCCTACCAAGGTGGTGAATTCCTCAAAGCAGAATTTGATTCCAATCTTGACTGTGCTGGCTTTTATGTTGCTGATGTGACCGAAAGACGTATTCTAATGGTCATAGCTCACACAGAAACCCTCTCAAATATTTTTGTTTCGGAATATAAGAGTGGAGTGAAAAAGTACTCATTCAGACTCAGCCTGGAAAGAGTTTTTGCGTACATCCCTGATGTTATGTGGAAGACTTCTTGGCTCAAGTAATTCACAGTACAATTATATTTATGCTCATTTGTTTGGTCTCACTGGTTTTAACTTTTTTCTCTATTTCTTCCAGTGTGGTAACTGAAAAAGCTTTTGCTGACGTTTACAAAGTGCAGGGTATGAAGGGAATTTACATTGCTTCTCAAATGCAAGAATCAATACCGGAAAGTGAAATAAATACTGCACATTTGACAAGTGTTATTACATACGATTGGGGTGGTGAATGGAACCTGCTGGATCCTCCTGTTTACAATGAACATTTTGTACCTTATAAATGTCATGTTGTAAGCATTTACATTCTCAAGAATTGAAGAGAAACACATTTCATTTTGGCCAAAAATATAATGCTCGACATTTATTTTGTAGAACGAAAGCTGTTCTCTTCATGTCGCTCAGAAATTCAACAACTTGTATCCCATTACTCGTTCTCTTCAAATATTAAGTTCTGCTTCAGCACCAGGAATTATAATTGCAATTGGTTTCATTAAAAAAGCAGAAAAAGCTGGCATCGTAATAAGCAGAGATGCTGGCCTAACCTGGTACAAAGTAATTATTTTATAAATCTTGAAATTTATCAGCTCTTGGATATTGAATATTTGTCAAATATTTTAGGTATTGCAAGAAAACTACTTGTTTAGTATGGGAGATCATGGAGGAATTCTAGTCGCAGTCAAATCGTTCAGTAGCTCTGGACCTACTAACGAAATACTTTACTCACTCGATGAAGGTGAAACTTGGCAAAAACACATTTTCATACAATCACCTATTAAAGTTTACATATTAATGACGGAACCGGGAGAAAATACTACGGTGTTTACTTTATTTGGCACTGATCCTGCTTCACAGGAATGGCATATCGTGACCATCGATTTTAGAAATGTTTTCAGTAAGTTGTTTTCATTTTTACACCTCCACAACAAAATTTTATATCAATAAATTCATTTTATTATTTTAGAAAGCAACTGCACTGACAAAGACTTAAAAGATTGGTATCCTTCAAGTAAAACGTCTGTCAAAGCTGCATGTGTTTTGGGACGAAAAGAAACATACAGAAGAAGGTCAAGGCATTCCAAATGTTATATGGGTGCAGATTATGATCAACCAATATCTACAATACCATGTGCCTGTGATTTTGATGATTTTGAGTGGTAAATAAATGTTTTTTTACAAAAGAAAAGGATCTGGGGCTGAGATCGTGGGGGATATGATTCTTGCATGTCTTCTCATTCTGAGTTTGAAGTTGGAATCCCAGATTTGGCATTTTATTTTATGATTTCATTTGTTTTATAAATGTGTCCTCTTCAATAGCTAAAATGGTGTGTTAAAGCCGTAAGACTTAAAGAGAAGCCGAGAGGTTAGCATGATAGAATCTCGGCTCATAGACCCCATGGTCATGGGTTCGATTCCCGTCGTCACCCCTTGCCTTTTTTTCAAATACACAATACCATTCCCCCCCATTAATATAATGCATTGTTAAACTTGTCTTCGTCACCTAATATGCTATGTTCATAAGGCCATTAATGGTGGGGGGAACATTGTACAATAATTTATCATTTTGATTTATTATCCCCCCAAAATAAATTATAATAGTTTAGTTTTATTATAGTAATTTAATGTTTTCAGTGATGTTGGTTTCATAAGACACCTCGCTTCCCCTGACTGTATAAGAAATAAAACTGACTCTTCAGATCCTTACCGTGTACCAGAGACTTGTAAACCTGGAGAATTTTATAATAGGACTAAAGGCTACAGAAAAATTGATGACGACGCCTGTTACTTGACAGAACAGAGCCGAACATATTTACCAGACAAGTTGCCCTGTCCTTTAAGGTAATTAAAACAAAAATTGGTTGAGAATATTACATTTAAAAGATCTGTGAATTAACATTTGATTTTTAGCGAGAAGACGCAGTTTCTTCTTGTAGCTGCAAAAGATAAAATTATAAGAGTGGATCTGGTCAGTCACAATCATGAAATTCTACCCGTTAAAAATCTAAGAAATGTTGTTGCCATCGATTTTGACATAAAGGATAATTGCGTTTATTTTGCTGACATTGGCGACAAAAAAATTGGAGTAAGTGTTCTAGAATTTTTTTTTCTTAAAAGGACGTTTAATGTGTAGAATTTGCCAAACATCAAACAGCTGCAAATTTTTAATGTGGCACAATGACCGATAAAATCTGAGAACAAATGAAAATTACTACCTATACTTAGAATTCAACAAGTAGTTGAGACACGTGGGACATGGCAAATGCTGCGCTTCCAGAGTCGGCTTTGTACATATTTATTCTTATTTAAACTTTTCTGTTAGAGACAGTGCCTTTCTTCTGGCAAAGACGACATTGAATATTTAGTCACGGATGTAGCACTGCCTGTGGAAGGCATTGCATTGGACTGGCTTTCAAATATGCTGTATTTCGTCAATGGTAAGCAGGCAAAGATAGAAGTGATCAAAACTGATGTACCTCACGTGAGAAAAATGAGAAAAACCATTCTTAATGGAACGGTTCTGGGAAAACCCCGTGGTATTGCTATACATCCAGTAGCAGGGTAAGTTTATTTTTTATTACAAAAGCTTTGACCATTTTTTGTTATTATTTAATTTGCAGGTATATATTTTGGACAGATTGGTCAGAAAACAAACCTTCTGTAAGCAGGGCTCAACTCGATGGTGAAAATATAAAAAACCTATTTGTAGCCCCAACTGTTGTTTGGCCAAATGGAGTTAGCATAGATTTTATAGGAGAACGTATTTATTGGGTAGATGCAAAGTTAGATTACATCGCTTCTGCTAATCTAGATGGAAAATACATGAGAAAAGTTGTCAAAGTATAAACAACAAAACTCTAAAAAAAAAGTTAAAAAAATTAAAACAATAATTTTTTATTTTAGAGCTCAATTATACACCCTTATTCAGTTGCTGTTTTTAAGGATGATATATTTTGGGATGATTGGTCTCTGGAAAGCATTTTTTCTACGGACAAGGATGGGACAGAAGCAACACCTGCTATAAGGACTGTTCTTGACAAATTTCGAGGACTCATGGACTTAAAGGTAATTTCAGGAAGAATGTATTTCTTGACGACCTCGAGTGTAATTACTAATGTACTTATGCCCAAGGTGTATGATCACAGCTCTCAGCAAGGTTCAAATGCCTGTTCGAATAAAAGTGTCAAATGCTCCCACTTGTGTTTTGCTGTTCAATATGACGTTGCTAGTTGTGGTTGTCCTGACGGCTTGGTTTTAAGTAAAGGCGGATGTATGTGCCCGGGTGGCAACAAACCTCTGTTTAACGACCAATGTTCTTCTCCAGGTATGCAAGCCTTTATGTTAAAATTTAGTGATAGTTCTAATTCATAAATATGATTTCAGTGAACAAATGTTCGCAACAACAATTTACATGCACAATTAACAAATCGTGCATCCCCAATACATGGGTGTGTGATGGAGATAAAGATTGTGCCGATGGCTCCGATGAGGTACAGTGAATCACTTTATTTTTTACCAATTGTTTTTCTAAAATATAGTATTATGCAGAATATCATTTATTATATATTTTTTTACACTTTATTTTCATTATGAATGTAAATTAAAAACTGCTTATGATTACAAAAATATAATATTAACAATTTTTTAGATTGATAGCTGAAAATTTTTCAGTTCTTACCTCAATTCTTAAAGAATTTTTTTAAATTTAGATATAGTATAAATAATTATGGATATTAATGTGATAATTACAGATGAATTGCCCCAAAGTTTGTGATATTACAATGGTCAAATGTAATACAACTAATGAGTGTATTCCCATTTCTTGGAAGTGTGATGGTGAAAACGATTGCAAGGACCGTAGCGATGAAACAGATTGCAGTATGAATATTTTACATAACTTGTTTATAATCAGCTTTTTTATTTTATTTTAATTGTCCTTTTTTTATTTATTATTTGTTCAAGTTAAGCGCCATTGCAGAACAGAAGAATTTTCATGCGCCAACAATAATTGTGTATCAAAGAAATATGTGTGTGATGGAGATGATGACTGTAAAGATGGCTCTGATGAGGTGGGATGTAAGCATGAAACACCGACAGACTCGATCTGCTCGTCGGGTAATGTTGAAAACCGTGAATATAAGGGGAAAATATTCATTACTTTTTATTAACTTTAGAAACCAGTTTTAAATGTAACAACCAACAATGCATTCCCAAAACATGGATTTGTGATGGCGAAAAAGATTGTACCGATGGTTCAGATGAGAAAAATTGCACGAACAATAAATGTGAAGATTTTCAATTCAGGGTAAGAATTAAATTTATGGTGTTTAGTGACAGTTAGTTAATGATTATTTGGAGATCGTGAGATGCGGTCTGATGTGAAGTAGGTTTCAAAAAAAAAAAAAAACATTTTCTTTATCGTACCAATGTTTCGATCTTTATTGAGATCATCATCGGGCTCAAAAAGTTTGTTTTCTGTGTAGATGTTTCATTTTTGTGTGTCATGTTGAGAGTGCCCAATGAACAATAATGAAACATCTACACAGAAAACAAACACTTTGAGCCCTGAAGATGATCTCAACAAAGATTGAAACGTTGGCACAATAAAGAAAATGTTTTTTTCTGAAACACTAGACTGCATCTCACGATCTCCAAATAATCAGTAATTAATTAATTAAAGTTTATTAATTTTAAAATACAAAATTATTTAAATATAAATTATATTTTCAGTGCAAAATAACAAATCACTGTATAATCACAGATTGGGTATGTGATGGAGTCAGCGACTGTGGTGGTAATGACACTTCGGATGAGTCTAATTGCACACACACAGACCACAACAACCCAACACCCCCTATTATTGTAAGCTGGTTAAAAATAAATATACTATCACATGGATTTGTTTTAAATTAAATAAATTGATTTCAGAATTGCTTGAATAACATGTTCGTCTGCAGTAATGGTAAATGCGTGCCAAACGGGTGGAAATGCGATGGCATTAATGATTGTGGAGATATGTCAGATGAACTGGGATGTTCAGCAAGCAGAAAAGAAATTTATACAATGCCTGTTACTGATAAACCACACGAATGCAGCCGGTCCCAGTTCTTATGTGAAGATGGTTTGTCTTTTTTTTTTTAATTTATTTTATTTTTATTATTTATTTTTTTTATTGCACAACCTTTTTTTGTAAACGTTATGTAAGTATTTAAAAAAATGAAAAACTCTTCAAAAAGGTTGGTTGTGGTAACTAAAAAAATTTTTAGTGTGTGTGTGTGCGCGCGTGCACTCATGTGTATATGTAGTTCTTGAAAATGGCCCAAAATCGCTGAAACATTGAAAAAAAAAATTTTCTTCAACAAAAGGTCTACAAAAAAGAAAAATTTCATATTAAAAAAAAAAGTCAAAACATTCAAATATAAGTATGTACAATAAAACAACAATTCTATATAAAAATAAAGTATAAGGTGACTTAGAAAGAAATACTCATCCCTCTCGTCGAGCTTTCAAGGAATATATCACCTTTATCAGGACTTTGAAACTATTAGCAATAATTTACTTTAAATAGTTTCACGTGTGAAGGAGCATTTCCTTTCAAATTAGCCCTAATTTTATATTTAAAAAAAAATTATAATGCATATTGAAAGTTGATATTAATTACAATGGAAATAATCAAAGTACTACAATGACCTGTTCATATTTTTATTAAACTTTTACACATTTCATAACAATATTTTTTATATTGAATAATATAAGCAAAGTTATGTGCATTATCAGTATTTTATTTATTACATATATTTTATCTATTTTTTTCTTTTTTAGGAGAGTGTATACAACAATCTTGGGTGTGTGATGGTCGAAAGGATTGCAGAGGAGGAGAAGACGAAGCCAACTGTGAAAGTAATATGTCATGCCACAACTCAACTGATGTATTCCACTGTCGACACACACAATCATGCATTAAAAAATCATTAGTCTGCAATGGCAAGAAAGACTGCTTAGATGGAACAGACGAGGAAGATTGTCACTTCAATGCAAGTAATGCCATTTTTCAATTCTTGTCGTGTTCTCACTATTTTCTATTTTGAAAGATATTAACAGAGTTTTTTAACAGCTGTAGATCGAGCAATTAAGTGTGATGAAGGATATTTCCTGTGTGATCACAGATGTCTACCATTGGAGCAAATGTGCAACAGTATGCAGGACTGTAATGGCCATTCTGACGAGAAAAACTGCACAGCTGCACGTTTCTATCAAGTATGTGTAATTTAATGTAATTTTGATTAATTTATACAAAGATTAATTACACTATTTAAAAAAATTCCGTAATGGGGAAGTATAATCATGTAAACATAGGACAAAATTATACCACCACATTTGTTTGACCAATTGTACAAAAGCAAACAAATACTTGTTTATCTGTAAATAAAGTTGCCACAGCAACTCATTACTGTAAGATAAACATCCTGGGATTGAATCCACTGGCCCTGCATTAGCCCCTCGACATGCTTACAAATGGTCTTTTTTTTTCCAAAAACATCTGCACTCTGAAAACTCATATAATCTCATAGTTAAAATATCCTAGTTGAAAAAGATAGTTCTACTCACAAACTGGTTTTTAAGTACCAGTTGTGGATATTTGTTTTGGTGTAAAACAACCATGAAAAAGTGAAAGCTTGAACCAGTGAATTTTAATTAATAATCCCACTCCATCTCAATTATTTCTATTAAAATGCTTTTTTTCATTATTATTATTATTTCACAACCTTTTTTGGAAACATTATGTAAATATTTTTAAAAAAATGCAAAACTCTTCAAAAAGGTTGGTTGTGGCAACTAAATTTTTTTTAAATATACATATACTTTGTATGTGCGTGCACACATGTGTATAGCCATTTTTATTTAATTTTTTGTATTATTTCAACTGTGGAGTAACCTTGAATTATAAACAGAACTCTTCTTAATGAAAATAAAATATTTTGAAATTTCTTCATCACGGTAAATTGAAAATGTTGTCGTAAAATGAATTCTGATTTGGAACATATGATCTTCAGGTTCAACGTATAGCCTTGGACGAATACGGCAGGACAGACACTTCCATACGTGTCTACTGGTTGTTAAATTCAGTTAGTAACGTCACACTCCTGTTCCTCCCTTCAATCAAGTTGATACCAAATGATAACACCAAGCCTGGCTGGAAAAACCACACCGAATGGATTAATGAAACTTCATTTGTCTTCAATGATTTAATACCTTCACATACGTATAATATAACTGTTTATGTCAAAAGCGTAGCAAATGACACAACTTATCCCCCAAGTATTTATATCAGCGCTGGAACTCTGGATTCATGTATGTTAAATTGAATTTACTCGAACAAACCTTACAGATAAAAAAATAATTACACTTTTTCATTCAGTGCCTTCTCCGCCTTGGAATTTTACTGTTAAACAAAAATCCCTGTATGAAATGGAAGCTAGTTGGAATCCTCCAGTTCATGAGAATGGACAAATCAGGTTTTACCATGTTTTCTCAACCCCGCCACTTCCACCAGCAAAAACAATTGTTAACGGTGGTCAGCACTCAACAAAGATTTCTGGTTATTTCACACCTGGAACCTACTACACGTTCTGGGTATTTTATTAACAATTTTAAAAAATGAGTTTAATATAAGTGAAATATAATATTGTTTATCTCATTTTTTTTAGGTTGAAGCAGTAAATACAGTTGGGTCATCTAACTCTTCCCAGGTGTTTAATCTAGTGAGCGATAATGACGCAAATGTTCAAATTGTCACTAATTTAAGAGAAGATATGTCCAAACCAAAAAACCATACTGCAGTCGCTTTGAAATGGGATGGCATTTCAAATAGCACTAAATACAGAATTACAGTAACAACTCCTCCTCCATATCCAAAATTACCATCGAGGACAACTAATGAAACACATTTTACTGGTAAGCTTGTAAATTCTTGTTGGTATTGTTTATTACTGATTACTAACTTATATAAGCTCAAATCTGCACATGCATATATGCCAAATAAGTGTCTGTGTGTCTCACATGGCCTATTCTTAATCGGGGGAGGATGACCCTTCTTTCATGAGTTAATATCTATTTTCTTATAGTTTTGTCTTATTGTATTCCATCGAAAGAGCCCTCAGATATTATTTTCATCATTGAGAATCACTAGAAATATAGACAAGGCAAAAACCTATTGAAGAAAAATATCAATTTATATTTTTTTATGATTTACGTATTGTTTCTTTTTCAGTTAACGATTTGGCACCTGGTGTTGATTACCAGTTCCATGTGAATGCATACGTCAAAGAATACCATGGTCCAATATCCACCATCACTGTTACTACACCAGGTAGGACTTGAAATTATTATAAAGTAAAACAAACTTAAATGGCGAAATTGTTAAAGGTGAAGAACTTCCGATCGTGCCTGGGCTGTCGGTCACTGTGGCAAAGCACGTTGAAACTTCGGTCAGTTTGAAATGGGATGCACCAAAACCCAACGTATACAATGCAATGTGGGTTTATGGCATTTATTATGGATTGGACACTAACGAGTTGATGGAAGGTCAGCCAAATTACATTAATTTGTTAGGCAACTTTTTTTCATACAATTATTAATTTTATAAAACAATAATAGTCTTGCAACACTTCTTTGCTCTAGCATTTAATTAATTTATTTGAATTAAAAAAGCTTGAATGACAATTTGTATCTGTTAAAAAAATATTAATTTTGTTAAGAGTGCAACAAATCATATTCTGATAATATTCTTTTTACCTTGTAACTAAAGACAATTTTAACATAATAAATGATATTAAAGAACGTTATGTGGTCATTGGAAAAAAACAATAGGGCTGAATAAAATTAGCACCTATTACAATCCAATATATCTATTAAGAATTATCTTTGTGATAAAATGATATTAACTTTAGTCAAAAATGTTTTTCCCACAGGACCCAAAGGCAATACGACAAACATGAGTTTGACTTTGGTACATCTCCAGGCCTGCTCTAAGTACATGTTCGATATCGGTGTTATCGGACCTTTGGGTAAAGGGCCCTTAACCGCTACTCCGATTATTGTCACAACAGGTCACGATATAAAGGCTCCGCCTAAGAACCTTAAGGTCACTTCAAGTACGCATAATGATACTTTAATGGAGATAACTTGGAGCTCTTCTTGCTACATCATGGCCGAACCGATACGTTATATTGTAAGTATGACCCCAATACCATTAGTTATGATTAAATCTGAAATTCTATTTTTGTTATTTTTGAAAAATTAATTTGTATTGATCAATACATGGTTTCATTTAAAAAAATGAATAAATATTTTCATTATTTCAGATTTGTATACATGATCAAATCCTAGATAGGCCATCATACATAACACTCTTCCCTTCCAATGATACTGAATTTTCACACACTCTGATTGTAGAATATGGATCAAGGTGTGTGGATGTACACCAAGTAATTTTTTTTATTGCTCAGATAATACAATGGTTTCTTTTAGGTACAAAATTTGGGTTCAAACTGAGACAGGCATGCCTAGCAAAGCAGTTGAGTATTGGGCACCGTTTTTACCAACACCTCATCAAATTCGTGCGCAGGTGGAGTCGGACGTTTACGTGATTTACTGGAACCTTCATAACAATTTGCAACACATGCCATCGTAATTGATCCAAATTATTTATGAACTATGGACAGAAGTAACACTTTTCTTTTTCTTTTTAGGCATAAGTTTGAAATTCTGGTATCTGAAGGACCTACTTTTAATGAAACGACTGCAAAGGTCTATATTGCAGACAGTTCACCTTATAAATGTAATAACATGAAATTTGGTCTTATATATTCGATCGCTATCCGAGTCTTATCCGATAGCGGCTATCGGTCTCCATTATCTGAGATCACATCAGTAGCAGTTTCTATCGGTATGCAAACTTTTTGTGTATTATAAACATTACCAGACTTCTGAAAGACATTTTTGAATGTTCACCAATATAGGAAACAATTTGCATTTGTAGTGCTGCTTAGTGTTGTAAATATTCAGTATTATCTTTATATTATTATTAAATGGCATTGATTATCCTTGCACATCGATTCTCTCCGATTTCTTCAAACGATGATCATTGATTACAAAGCACTCAATTCTGTAATATAAATTATTAAAAAAATCTACATTTGCAAACTAATGGCATAAATTAATAGCAAATCATGAACATAAAAAAAAATTACCAAACACTTTTTATGGGTTTAGGGGGTTGATGCAGAAGATAATTCTTTCAAACCCAGATCTGCAAGCTTGATTAGAATTAGAATTTAGAATTAGCCTCTGGCCTCTCCCTGATGGATCAGGGGGAGTCACCCACCTTGGTGCCTGAGCGACTCCCAGGTTGGGCTTTGGTCGGGCACCATCGACTTCTGGTCATTTCAGCGCCCTTACATTCCCTAAAACTAGTCATTCTCACACTCACTCATACAATAAATACATACATACTCCTATATACAAACCCAATCACACATGCATATTCTATGTCTAGAATCCGGGTCGGAGGGTAGTCAATATTCTGCCCCGATGCTGCTTAGCAGAAGTGGAGCCTTGAAATAATATGCTGCACAGCCGCCCTGCATACTCCTCTAACATAAACTAAATCTAAACTTTAACCTATGAGATAATACCCCACTATATGCAACCCATTATCCAAATATCTCTTAAAAACCTAAAAAGTTTTTCTTTAAACTCACTGCCATGCTCGAGCATTCTCCTATCATACGACAGTATTCCATTTCGGTCCCTATATGGGGCCAAGCTGCGACACCCCTCCAACACGTGTGACACCGTGAGTCTATCATCTTGGCATGCTGGGCACCTAGGCCAACTTACGCCAACCAACTGGTACCCATGGGTCGCACATGTGTTCCGATTCGAGATATCCCTCCGGGATCCACCAGTCGACCATCGGCTTGACGGACACCAGCACATCAGCCGAGTCGGCCCAACGACGCTTCCACTTGTATAATATCATATTTTTCATTATTCTCTCAGCGTTGTCAGGCCAAATCGAGGTGGTCTCAACTTTATCACTGTGAGGAACGAGAGTACGCGCTTTCGCAGCTAGTTCTGCTCTCTCATTCCCATCCAGTCCAATGTGCCCTGGAATCCAGGCTAAAACCACTCTTGTCCGCAAGCTTGATAAATACGAAATGAAAACTAACAACTCAGCCATCATGGACTTGCTAAATTTTTAATAATTTACATTGTAAAAGCTTACACTTTTTTAAACTATACTTTTATTATGATAATTAAATGTTGACGCATTTTAATGACTGTTTGGTGATATAATCCCAAAACATCACAAATGTCTTCAGCCACACAGAGCTTTTAAGGATTTCTACTCTTTCCTAAATTATCTTAATTATTTTATTTTTTATTTTTCAGAGAGTACGACAAATAGCAGCAGCACTGCTACAAAAGTCTTTTCCATTATTATACCAATCACTTTGGTCATAGTCCTGGGTGTTGCTATTTTGACCGTGTTCCTAGTACGACATCGCAGGATGCAAAATTCATTTTCATCGCTTGCTAACAGCCATTACAACACGCGGTCTGGTGCAGCCACCTTCACGACAGATGGCTTTGGTAATTTAAAAAATACACTTATTATTTTAAATTTGAATTAATTTAAAATGATTTTTTTTTTACATTTTCCCTACCTGGTTATAGGAACTTTTGGTAAGTTTACATTCACTATCATGCTATTAATGTTTTACTCTTGTAGCTAGTAAAAAAAAATTACAAAATAACATTTCTTGTGGATTTATCTAGATTAACTACTTTTTTAGATTTTTTGGTTTTTGTTTAACAAAAATTTCAAATAACTTTTTTAAGGAAATTCATTACTTATTTAAACATTTATTTGGATGTTTCGGGAATTTACACCCATGAGCATCTTTTAAAAAAAATAACACCATTTTGCACCAAGCTGCATGGTCAACATGGAAGCAAAACCAAATAAACAAAACAAAAACCAAAAAATTAAAAAAGACAATTACTTTTTTTAAATTATTTTTTTTAATGTTTTAGATGATGATTCCCCTGTGATACGTGGCTTCTCAGATGACGAACCTCTAGTAGTTGCTTAAGTAGGTTTCACTCTGTGATAATTTTAATTTTGTACCATGCCGTAAGTATTAATGCAGAAAAACATGTTTAAAATGCCAGGTCTTCCAGGTTTTGTTTGAAGTTTTATAATTTCGATTAGATATTTATTGTAAATTGTTTTTTACTATCTTTACCTGGTATATTCTATTTGTATATTGGTGTGATTTGATAATAAGATTATCCAATTGAAATATATGTATATTGAGGTGTAAATTAATTTGTTCCTTTTTTTATTTATATTTTTGTCATGTTTTTTAATAAGACAAAAACTAAAGTTGTAAATAAAGTAGGCGCTATCAAATGTATATTTGTTTTCTTTTTCTTCCCTAAATAAGCCCATTTTGTCTCATCCCAGTCGTGTTTCACAATATTTTCTTTACTATTTTTTTAAGTAAATTTTATATAACTACCAGATTTTTTATTTTTGTTGTTCTTCATTAAAATGACTTTTATATCTCAATTAAAATTATTAGTATACAATTCACTTTTTGCTATATAAATTGAGATTTCTCTGTGGATTGAGGAATCTGAAATTTGGTTGTTACCAATTTTGGTCTGTCATAAAAAGCTTACAGTGGAAAATTAATAAATACTATTTCAACTGAATACTTATTAAATTCAAAGGATATATATTTTATTAAGCCAAACAAGCAACATAATAGAAGTTGAAGTCTTGTCCCTACGGTTGTGGCTTCGATTACCGCCGTTGCATCGCCCCTAGCCCTTTTTTCATGCTACCCTTCCCCCCAAATATATATGATGAATTAATCAACGGAATCATACTCTTGCTAATATGCAAGCTCAAAGGCCATAAAAAGGTTATGATTTAAACGAACTTAAGGGAGGGACATCTGTGAATTATCTTCCAAACCATTATTTAATTTTTTATTAAAACACAAATTCCTGGTCTCATTTTATTTGGCTTATATTAAAATAAGTATATTAATATAACAATAAAAATACTTAATACCAAGTAATAAATGGTTAATTTTTTTTAACGAGGGTTCGCAACAGCAGAGGTCATATAAACCCTCAGGGTGCCGGTGCTTTTGAAAAAAAAGCCCATTTGTAAGTACGTCGGGTTCGAATGCAGGGCTGCTGGATTTGAACCCGGGACCTTTACCTTACAGTGATGAGCGCCATATCAAAGACTTTTAAACCTTGCGGCCACTGACGCCCCCTGGTTAAAATTTTAATCTATTGCGATGATTTTTCGATATTTTTGATGGATTATCTTCCAAACCATTATTTAATTTTTTAGTAAAACACGAATTCCTGGTCTCATTTTATTTGGCTTACATTAAAAAAAGTATATGCTGTGATTAATATAACAATAAAAATACTTAATACCAAGTAATATTAAAATTTTAATCTATCGCAACAACTTTTCGGTATTTTTGGTGGATTATCTTCCAAACCATTAATTTTTTAGTAAAACACGAATTCTGGTCTCATTTTATTTGGCTTAAATTAAAATCTGCGATTAATATAACGGAAGAAACTACTTAATGCATTCATTGTAAAACCCAAGTAATAAATAGTTAAAATTTTAATCTGCCACTATTTTCTGGCATACCATGATTTACTGTTTAGCAACCGTTAATGTTGACCATTGATCTCATACAAATTTTACAACAAAATGGGAAGACCAATCTTTGCCAACTAATATTCGTGTTGACCATTTCTAAAATATAGTTCCAATTAAACTTTAGTCCATTAGACTTGCCTATAAAGACAATTTGGTTGTACTATCAATGATTTTCAAATACGTAGCAGTTTTTTTGTGAGTGGTATATTAAAAAAGGAAAAATAAACAAAAACTTTTTTTTTAAATATTTAATTACAAACATTAATTATTTTCCAAATAATTAACTTAAAATTAGAAATAACTAATTTGTACAAAAAAATCACATTAACTGAACTTGGGATTTTATTACACTAAGATTCTCTTTCTTTTAAAGATCACATTTTAATTAATATATAAATTTCCTTAGGAAATGATTAATTAGGAAAAAAGTGCTTTGGAATAAATTGATATCAGTCTCAAAGAAATTTAATCGACTTCCTCCATTCGCGAGACGTCTTCACCTTCTAGGACAGGGATCTCTTGAGCGGCGGGTTCTTCTTCTCCAACAGGCACATCATCTTCATCGATGCCAAGACCGAGTTTGATCATCCTGTAAATCCTAGAAGCATGGACTTGGGGTTCTTCGAGAGCGAATCCAGACGAGAGGAGGGAGGTTTCGAAAAGAAGGATGGCCAAGTCTTTTACAGCTTTGTCGTTCTTGTCGGCTTCGGCTTTCTCGCGGAGGGTGTTGATGATCGGGTGGTCGGGGTTGATCTCTAGGTGTTTCTTGGCTGTCATGTAGCCCATTGTCGAGGTATCCCTCAAAGCCTGAGCTTTCATGATCCTTTCCATGTTCGCCGTCCAACCGTACTGCGATGTGACGATACAGCAAGGGGAATCTACTAGCCTGTTGCTCACGACTACTTTTTCTACTTTCTTGTCGAGGATATCCTTCATAACTTTGCAGAGGTTTTCGAATTTAGCCTTGTCTTCTTCGCGTTTCTTCTTTTCCTCTTCGTCCTCTGGGAGTTCGAGTCCTTCCTTGGTAACTGACAAGAGCTGTTTGCCATCGAATTCCTTCATCTGCTGAACGACATATTCATCAATTGGCTCAGTCATGTATACAACTTCAAATCCACGCTTCTTGACCCTCTCAACGAAGGAAGAGTTGGCGACTTGGTCTTTGCTCTCACCAGTGATGAAGTAAATGTGCTTTTGATTTTCCTTCATCCTTGCAACGTAGTCCTTGAGAGAGCAAGCTTCATCACCAGAGGCGGATGTGTGGTACCTCAACAGTTCTGAGAGTTTCTTCCTGTTTTGAGAGTCCTCATGGATTCCGAGTTTAAGATTCTTGCTGAATTGATCGTAGAACTTCTTGTAGTTGTCCTTATCCTCAGCCAATTCGTCAAAAAGTTCAAGACACTTCTTGACCAAATTCTTCCTGATCACTTTAAGGATCTTGTTCTGTTGCAACATCTCACGAGAAATGTTGAGAGGAAGATCTTCACTGTCGACGACACCTTTGATGAAGTTCAAATATTCAGGAATAAGGTCTTCGCAGTTATCCATAATGAATACTCTCCTCACATATAATTTGATGTTGTTCTTCCTCTTCTTATTTTCAAAGAGATCAAAAGGAGCCCTTCTTGGTGCAAAGAGTAAAGCTCTGAATTCAAGTTGGCCTTCAACAGAGAAGTGCTTAACAGCAAGGTGGTCTTCCCAGTCATTGGTAAGAGATTTGTAGAATTCACCGTATTCATCTTGAGTGATATCATCGGGGTTCCTGGTCCAGATGGGTTTGGTCTTGTTCAGTTCTTCATCTTCAGTGTACTTTTCTTTGATTGTCTTCTTCTTTTTCTTCTTTTCTTTGCCGTCTTCCTCTTCATCCTCTCCGACATCTTCAATCTTTGGCTTATCTTCATCCTCCTTGTCTTTCTCTTTCTCAGCATCTCCTTCGCCCTTCTCCTCTTCTACTTCTTCATCACTGATTTCCTTCTCGCGCTCTTTTTCGACAAGGAGCTTGATCGGGTAGCCGATGAATTGAGAATGCTTCTTGACGACATCCTTGATCTTTCTCTCTTCCAAAAACTCAGTTTGGTCTTCCTTGATGTAAAGGACGATCTTGGTACCACGGCCGAGGGGTTCACCAGGGTCGGGCCTGACCGTGAAAGAACCACCAGCAGAAGATTCCCACAAATACTGTTCATCGTCATTGTGTTTCGAGCTGACTGTCACCTTGTCAGCAACTAAGTAAGCCGAGTAGAAACCAACACCAAACTGACCAATCATAGAAATATCAGCTCCAGCCTGAAGTGCCTCCATGAAAGCTTTTGTTCCTGACTTTGCAATCGTTCCCAAGTTGTTTACAAGATCAGCCTTGGTCATACCAATACCACTATTGACAAAAATAAAAAATTAATAACAAACTTTAAACAAAAAGTATTTACTAAAATTTTAAGGCTAACTTACGTGTCAATAACAGTCAATGTCCTGTCATCCTTGTTCGGAATAATCTTAATGTAAAGCTCCTTTCCGGATTCAAGCCTGGTAGGATCTGTAAGAGACTCGTAGCGGATCTTGTCCAAGGCATCTGAAGAATTGGAGATCAACTCTCTTAAAAATATCTCCTTGTTGGAATAAAACGTGTTGATGATCAGAGACATCAACTGGGCGATCTCCGCCTGGAATGCGAAGGTCTCGGTCTCACCCATTTCAACGTCTTCCGGCATCTAACAAAAAAATTATTAACTTAATATTTTTATTATAAAGCTTAGATGGCGTTAAAATAATTTTAAAGTAAAAATAAATTTTTACAAATATTGAAATTATAAAGCTTAGATGGCGTTAAAATAATTTTAAACTAAACGTATCAAGTTTTTTTAGTAAAAATTAGTTAAGAATTTTTACAAACATTAAATTATAAAGCTTAGATAACGTTAAAATAATTTTAAACTAAACTGTTAATGGACAGATCACTTCGAATTATTAAAAAAATATTAGAAACAAATGATGGAAAAAGATTTGCTAAAAATTGTTTTAGAAAAATGTCACGTGGATTGATTTTCTTTTATTTCCCTAACCATTTAAAAAAATAATTCTATTAATTTTTAAATTGGTTTATTAAGCATTATAATAATAATACATTAAGGACTTACGTTTTCAAGTTTAGTAGATCAAGTTGAAAAGAAGATTAAGTTTTAGCGCAAATCGCAAGTTAACAGCTCGGGTTTCTAAACGAATCTGACGCCGCGAAACGGTGGGGCGGTTATATAGCCAAGGCCGGTTTGGTCCCGAATGTTCATGAATGTTCCGGAACTTTCCGGGCCCGCCGGTGCCCCGGGCCCAATTTAGCCGGGCACGCCATTCGTGAAAATCGACCAAAATGTGAAAATTTGGCTTTTTTTGACGGAAAATCTCATAAGTCCTGTCGACAGGACAGAAAAAAATATCCTGGCAATTCAGTGGCAAATTTAAAATTTAATCTCTGAATTGGTTTCCATAAAACAAAACAAAAAAAATTGTGGATAATATGCACAAAAACGGGAAAAACAAAAATCTCAACATATATATTTTATTTTGCAATCCTTAAATTTTTTTACGTTTGAACTAGACATTGACAAAACAAAATTGTATGCGTATATTTTATATTACAGCCCACCTTTATTAAATTATAATTTTGTCTATACTATGTATATTATGTTTTTAATATGTAAATATATTATTTATATATCCTTTACATCAATAAATTTAATCAACATTATAAAGAAATTTGGATAATTAAGGCAGATAAAAAAAATTTGAACCCACGTGGTCAGTGTAGAAAAACGACGCACAAAATCTTATTTCTAAATCCCTATAAAACATCCACTACTTTTTAAACTTTGTCTATTCTAAAATGATAATTAAACTTAAATATTTACTTTAATCGCTTTTAAAAATCCTCTTCCAATTAACTATTTTGTTGTCGTGTCGAAACTACGTTTTCAAACTTTTTTTACCTTTATCCGTCAAAGAAATTAGTAAATCAGATGTTCTGGAATCGTTTTACATGTAACAGACAAAAAGCATGGATGTTTTTTCAATTATTTAACCATATGTTTTGTTTTATTTATTAACAATTTGGCAGATTATAAAAAATTAGTTGCGTTGGTGGAACCCACGTGGTCGCTCGTCCTATCTTGTATTCTAAAACCAGGCGAAATTTGTTTTATTCACTTCCCATATTAAAACATTTATTTAACAATATATTTTTTAACGGATTTGATTTGTTCAACAATATAACTGATTGTGTAAACGCCCTGGTTAACTGTCTTACCTCCTTCAACGGTTTACTCCATAAAGTCTTAAAGACAAAGCAATAATAATATAAAGAAAATAATGCAAAATAGTATTGAAAACGTGTATAAAAGTGAAAATGGTCCTTTTATTGATCGTTAGGTCCAGGGGGTTCTGGAACATTCTTGTTTCGTCTGTTGGGACGGGAGTGGAACGGTCTAGGTCGGTTACGGTAGACTCAGACAACCCTACTTATGGTACTTTTGATGAATCATCATGATGACGGTCATCACTATATGGGCTTTTTCTTCGTAATTTTGCCATTATCGTTCCAACTTCCATGTACGATTGTGTTGCGTGTTGTGCAATTTTGCAGGGTTGTCGTCCCTATTGATTTCCGCTCTTTAAGGGTCAGGCCCTGGGTGTGACGTTCGCCGTCGCGGGTGAATTGTCGATTTTGCCGCATTCGCAGTTTAAATAGGCTAATTTTCTACCTCAGATTCAAGAGACAACATAAATTTTGATCTACAATTAATTAATCGTTTATATCAAACAACCTTCCCCCCCCCCAAAAAAAAAATGTAAGCAGGAACTCTGGTAAAAGCTGCAAAACTGAAAAGTCAAATCAAACTGACAACTCAAACTGCAAGTTCAGCTTTTTTAGGCAAACGAGTTGGTTTGGCTTTTGCATTGAACAATAAATATCACAACATTTTCATGTTTGGCATCTTAAAAGTCAAACATACCTGGTTTGTTTTTGAGAACGTTTTGAGAGTTTTGACTGCCAAATTAGTAAAACCGAAAAAAAAAATCTTTTTTGGAAGTTCAGCCTTTTTGGGGCAATCATTGCTAGGAATACATTGATTTTTGCTACATTATGCATTGAAAATTCTTTATATTTTCATACGTTAAATGTCAACCATGTCTGGTTTGTTTCCCTGGTCTTTTTCATGGATCAGACTGACAGCTTAGTAAAATTGCAAAGAAATGGAAAATATATATATTTTTTTTAGAAGATCAGCCTTTTGGAACAACTGGTTGGAATAAATTGGTTTAGTACATACTTTGCAAATTAAATATCTCAACATTTTCATTGTTAAATTTGATCTCTTAAAAGCCAAACAAGTCTTATTTGTACTTCTGAATTTTTTTCAGGATTTAAGTACACAGTAGGATTAAAACTACCAAAAATTGGAAATTCATATATACATCTATTTTGAAAAAGTTCAGTCTTTTTGAGGCATTCTTTTCTAGGGATAAATTGACTTTGGTACATTATAAATTGAATATTCTCTATATTTCCATATCAAGTTTGATATGTTAAAAGTCAAATATATTTGGTTTGTGTTTATGAACTTTTGGAGAGTTATGGCTGATAACTTAGTAAAACTGCAAAAAAATATTGAAAACATATTCTTTTATAAAAGTTTAGCCTTTTTGGGACAGCTGTTGCTAGGGATAAATTGACTTTGGTACATTGAACACTGAATATTTCCAACATTTTCATGTCAAGGCCTGATTTGTTTTTGTGGACTTATGTAGAAGTTAGCCTAATAACATAGTGGGCTTAAAATGCAAAGAAATGGGAAACTTTTCTTTTATTGTTCAGCTTTTTTAGTTTTTGTACAAGTATATGTGTCAATAAAGCTATTTATTTATTGTTGTAGGTCAGGTATGAAGGACTCATCAGTAAACTAAAAGGATGCTACCTAAGCAGTACATAGATATTATCAGTACCTACCTAACTGATGTTTTAGGGTCACCAAGAAGATCAATATTCAGAATTAAAAACAATAAATGCATGAGTGCCACAAGGTAGCATATTAGATCCCCTTCTTTATTTCCTATACACCAGTGATTTTCTGAAAATAGCAGTAAAAATTGCAATGTTTTCAAATGAAACCTCAATGATATCAGTTGGAACAACCACCAACCATTCATGCAAAATCCTTCAAAAGGCTTGGAACAAGGTAAACAAATATACAAACAAAATAATAAAATAAATAACAATTAGAAAAGGCTCAATCAGCCTAAAGTGAGTATATAAAGTAGTACATATAAATTTTATGTACAAAAAAGTGGACCGCCTCTCATAATCGATGGAACTATTATACCATTCAGCAATACAGCTAAATGTCTGGGACTGAGCTTAGATACCGAGATGGAGAGAGCACTTGAAGACAAAAAAGGAAAGAAATAAGTTCACTAATTTTGTGGTCCGCTTGACCAATTAATATATTACAATTAATTAAGGGTTTTAGTTGAGATAAAAAAGTCAATGGCACGAGCGGGATTCGAACCCACGATCTTCGGCTTGATACGTCGAGAATCCAATCCGATTACACGACATTTGAAAAATGGCAAAAAGGAGGGAAAATTCAAAAGGTGCGATTGAGATGGGAAGTTGGTGTCCGAGTGGATCGAGGTCACGATAGCTCAAGTGGTAGAGCAGCGGTGTATCAAGCCAAAGATCGTGGGTTCGAATCCCGCTCGTGCCATTGACTTTTTATCTCAACTAAAAACCTTAATTAATTGAAAGAAATAAGTTTAAGGCATATACAACTGTGATTGATAGGAAACAGCTCTAAACTTACTATCAAATAAATTATCATACAAACAAGGCCTAAAACCTGTGGTATTCAACTATGGCATTTACCAAACACAGTAATATCAAAATTATACAAACTTCAAAATAAAATCTTATGTAATGTACTCAATGCACCTTGGTACGTAAGGAGAATAAGGACATTACATAGGAAGCGCCAAAGAAACACTGCTAAAGAAAAATTACTTCTGGTACACTGACAGCTCCAAAACTGACAAGGGCACAGGGGCTGGAGTCTTCGGGAGGACTGAACTGTATCTAAACTTAGGTAAATTTGATACAGTTTTCCAGTCTGAAATCATAGTGATTGAACACTGCACGAAGGAAATAAAAATACGTTCCTGGACTGGAGACAGCAGTAAGTCATTCACGCAGCACTAAAGGCCATAGGCTCATGTGAAGTAAAGACAATAAGTGTATGTAATGAATGAAAGCCCTGGTAGAAGTCAGTAACACCAATGACCTGAGCCTGGAATTGGACCCTGGGCATTCGGGCAATAGAGGCAATGAAAAGGTAGTTGGCTGGGGGGGGGGGATTTAGGTCTCGAACCTTACTATGGCTTAGCATGGGGGCTGCGGTAGCTGAGTGGTTAAGGCGTTAGACTCTCGGCTAGTAGATCCTGCGGTCGTGGGTTCGATCCCCACCGTCGCCTCTGGACTTTTTCTGACGCCTAAGGGGACCAGTGGCTGCAATTGAAAGAAATTGGCACGGCACTCATCAATGGAAGGGGTGGGATCAGATCTCAGCGACCCTGAATTTGGTCCCAACCCCCTTCAAAAATGAGTTTCTTTGATGGAAGAACACCGGTACAATGGGGGCTCAAGTTCACATTTGTGTTGCGAGCTCTCCCCCAAAATATGGAGCCATGGATAAAGTACAATAAGCTGTACAGCTCAGCTGCAGTGCTCAGGAGGGAACTCCTCCAGTCCTTGGTATCCAAGAAAAAAAAATGGCCTATCATCATGCCACAAAAAGGGTTAAATCCTAAAATAGATCCTTAATGAATGCAAAGTTTGGTCGAATAATACCCCAGGCATGAGGCCCGTAAAAATATTCATAGAAGGACCAGCTTACAAAGGAATTACTGAAAGCCAACCACAACTGAACCAGGATTCTTGTTGTACTCCTGACAGGGATAGAAGTACAGACAGAAGAAACTCTGTGCAGTTACTGCCAGGAAGAGGAGACCACAGAAATATTTTATGCTTTTGTGAAGGTCTATGCAATGCAGATTTTTATAAATAGGAGAGGGAAAGCCATGAGCAAGATTCTACAATAGACGCTGCCAAGGATGTGGAGTTTGATTAACAACCTGAAGCTGGCCAGTGACTTGTAAAAACCAGAAGAACACAACAGTCTTACTCATTTCGAGGTGAGGAAGGCATTGGGGCCATCTTTCATCCATATCCCTATTCCTACATAGGGGAACATGGTGGAAATTTGCTGCCAACCACCAGGCTCACCTCAGCCAGCACGAGAATGTGGAAGCAACCACACTCCTTCACAAGATAGAAGGTTGAAAAAAACAAAACCATATGAACTATTGCTGTTAACAATTTGATGAATAGTGAAGTGTAAATCTTATTGTATCAATGGCTTTATAATGTATCTTAAATTTGGAAAAGAAAGAATTTACCTTGACCTCATATTTTTTTATAAACTTGTGAATAATCAGATTGAGCCTCCTTATTTTTTATTCCAAATTAAACTTTAATGATCTCCACCTCTCATCCCAGAAACAAAAAATATTCTTCATTTCTGCCCATAAAACTAATTGCACAAAAGAAAGTCCCATCAATTGGTTAATGTACACATCTAATGCTTATCCACACCTGTCATACCAAGATAATATTAGCATTTTTTTAAATTAATTAATTTCTGCACTCAAGATATAATTTTTTATATATTTTTTTAATTAATAAAAACTGCGACCTTATTGGTCATTAAGCCTTGAATCTATACAAGTCAACGGTGCAGCCCGGCCCCATCAGAGCAAAGCCTCCACAAACCTTGGTCCATTGGCAGCCCCAGGCTTGGGAAGAATGGAATCCCATGGATTTCTTGCAATTAATGCTTTTAATCTTAATATCGTGCACAGGGCTTTATCAAGGAGGAGTCGGTGTCTTGTCACCATCAACACCTCTTCCAAGGGCCAAGCTCACTGGATCTCAGAATCCAGGGAGGCACCCCTCAATCCAGCCCAAGACTGACCAGCACCCAAGGTCCCGTATAGATGTCGCCAGAAGTCAGCCACACCACACCACACCACCAACATAGGAAACAAAAGTTGAGGGGGAAATAAATGTTTAAATCAGTTTATGTTCTATTTTCATATCCATTTTATGTGTGCCTCATTGTCTTTCTGCACACACATAGTTTGTTTAATATTTACAATTATATATTTCTATGTTATGCTATTATTAATAATTATCTTTTTAATTTAAGTTTTGTTTGTATTCTATAAATTATGTTAATTGTATATATTTGCAGCTATTTTTATTTAATAATTCATACTTCCAATTATTTGTTATTATATTTATTTACGGATCGAAATCCACTATAAAAAAGACATTTTACAATAACAAAAAATATAAATAATATATGTAAAAATACAAATAATATATATAAAAAGAATAAGGACGTATATCCATGGTAATAATATAAATGGTAAATATAAATGATAAATATAAAAATACAATTAAAGAGTAAAAACTGAACAACAAAAATGAANAGATCATCAGCAAATAATAAAAATTGAGCAGAAGGAAGAGCAAGATGGATATCATTAATAAATAAGAGAAACAAAACTGGTCCAAGATGAGACCCTTGCGGGACTCCCGAGGAAGCCGCAAAGGGACATTATTTAAATGATTTTATTTTGACTATTTGTTTTCTGTCAGAGAGAAAGCTGGATAACCAATTCAAGATAGTTCCGGTGAAACCAATATTGTAATTCTAATTCAGTTGTTTCTTTAATTAACTATTTATATTCTGTAATGAATCTCTGTATTAGCTCTCCTGATTATATTTGTAACTGTTGTAAAATTTTAATAAGCTTCGCCTGTAAAATAAATAAATAAGAATGTAAACATTTATTTATTGTACTATATTATTGTAAAATTAAAGGTTGGTCTAATAAGGCCAGATTTTATAAATAAATAAAAAAAATATAGTAATTATTTATTAAAATGTAAGATATCACAGGTTTTTAAAATTATTATTATTTTTTAACAAATTGGAGTTCATATAGAAAAGAGGGATAATATGACAGGTTTTGTTTTAATTGGTCTAGTTTTTGAGTTTTTACTTTAATTAACTATTTATATTTTTTTTTAAATGAATCTGTATTAGCTCCCATGATTATATTTGTAAGTTGTAACTAATGTATAATTTGAATAAGCCTTGCCTGTAAAATAAATAAATAAGAATGTAAACATTTATTTAATGAAATATATCATTGTCAAATTAAAGGTTGGTCTAATAATGTCAGATTTAATAAATAAATTTTTAGAAAATTATTGTAATTATTTAAACAATTTTATTAAAATGTAATATATCACAGGTTTTTTAAAAATTATTATTTTCTTAAACAATTTGCAGTTCATACAGAAAAGCGGGAAAATATAAGTTTTTTTTTTTATTGTTTCGGTTTTTCAGTATTTTCTTTAATTAACTATTTATGTTTTTTAATGAATCTCTGTATGAGCTCTCCTGATTATATTTATAACTGTTGTATAATTTTAATAAGCTTTGCCTATAAAATCAAGAAGTAAATAAGAATGTAAACATTTATTTATTGTAATAAATTATTGTAAAATTAAAGGATGGTCTAATAAAGCCAGATTTAATAAATACATTAAAAAAATATTATATTATTCATTTAAATGTAAAATATCGCAGGCTTTTTTTAAACAATTTTCAGTTCATACAGAAAAGTGGGAAAGCATCAGTTTTTTTTCCCCGGTTGTTTCTTTAATTAACTATTTATGTTTTGTAATCAATATCTATATTAGCTCTCCTAATTATATTTGTACGCTTTGCATGTAAAATAAATATTAATTAATTAATATTAATTAAATTATTGTGTATATAATAATATACAGTATGTGTGGTGATTAGTGACCGTTAATCGATATTTATTTAGAAATCGTGAGTTGCAGTCTGGTGCACCATCTCACGATTTCTAAATAAATATATAGTATATATCATTGTAAAATTAATTATTTGTCTAATAAGGCCAGTTTAAATAAATAAATTTAAAAAAATTGTATTTATCTATTAAAATGTAAAATATCATAGGTTTTTAAATTATTATTTTTTTTAAACAATTTGCAGTTCATACAGAAAAGCGGGAACAATATTTTTTGTATATTTTTGTCATGCGGAATTTTTTTGATTACTATTTTTTTAATACTAATTTAATTTTTGTATTAATTTATTAGCAACAATAAAAATTATATTATTGTGCCGTTGTATAACTACTGTTTATTATAAGTGATGATGGTTTAATGGAAGGGGGTAAAAACGAGAGACAAGGTTGGCCACCCGGCAGGTTATCGGTTCTAAGGTTACATCGTCGTGGTTTTGACATTGACATTTCTCCTTTGGAGGATCTACCGTCCACGTCTGGGCTGGTTGGTGCCGGTCTTCTGAACAGAGACACAGGGTGAATAAAATAAATGGGCCTAACAGACATAATAAGCGTTGGGACGGCGTTTTCCGTCGCGTGCGTTCTGTTGTCCATTTACCTACGGGACCCGGAACAGGAACTCCGCGACCGGCTTGTCAACGTGATCAACGGCCTCATCCATGTGGAGGACAGGCATATCAAACTGTCTCCAAAAGTTCTCGTCGGCTACGGGGGCTGTGTCGACCTGTACGTAAGAGGTGGAGAGCTCTTCACCTACCGCCCGGACATCGGAGAACCGAGGCACTTCGACGGGATCAACACCATCGACGAGCTGGAGAGGTCATACGCCTACTACTTCCAGCACGGAGCTGCCACTGAGTGAGCTGACATATTTTTTTAAAAACTTTTCCCTACTCAAAATGCACATAAAATTTACATAAAAACTTTTGATTAATTCTACTTTTAATCTAAGGTCAGGGATGAGATAAAAAACAAGTGTCTCGAGTGGATTCGAACCCACGACCTTTGGCTCGAAAGAGGGAAAATTCGAAAGGTTGGTGTTTGAGTGGATCGAAGTCACGATGCTTAAGTGGTTCGTGCAGTGGCGTATTGAGCAGGTCATTGGTTTGAATCCCGCTCGAGACACTTAACTTTTTCATCTTAACCATGACCTTACATTAAAAGTATAAAATAATTATGACTACTGAATACATATATGGATTAATATACATACAAAAAATTGCCCATATAGCTGGTAGTTGGAGAGAAGCGGCGTATTCCTATTTTTGTGTATTGTGGGCTGTGATAAAGAGAGGTCCACGAGCATAGTTTCAAGCCCTACAGTTGCACACATGGAGCCTCATAAGAATGTTAGAACATTTCTACGTATGATTGCGCCAAGCTGGGTGCCAGAAGTGCCTGTCATCTTTCTTCTCACTCGATATTCTGTACAGACATCTGACCTGTTCCCTGAAACGTTGAAAAGCCCAGTCAAATCACCTAGACGCCTAGTGACTGCATTGCACTAATAATGTAACAGCTTTAACTCTATTACTTAAAAAGCATGGCTGGTGACCTGGTCATAATAAAAAATTAAATCAAATAAAATCAACTAAAGAAAATAAAAAAAACTAAGAAAGTTTTTTTGTGGAAATCAATTCAGAATGAACCTGATTACACGACACTTGAAAAATGGCAAAAAGAGGGAAAATTCGAGAGGTTGTAAGTTGAGGTGAGGATTTGGTACCCGAGTGGATTGAAGTCACGATAGCTCAAGAAGTTAGAGCAGCCGAGTAGAGGAGTCGAATCCCGTTCTTGACACTTGCCTTTTCATCTCAACGATGACCTTATATTAAAAGTATAAAATAATTATGACTACTGAATACAAATATGGATTAATATACATACAAAAAATTGCCAATATATTCTGGCATTAATAAAAGTTAAACCTTATTTTTCTTGTGGCACTGTTCAGGTAAAAGTAATGACCAACTGAAAAAGTTTCACGTCAGATTTTCAAAAATTCACATTTTAGAAAGACAGGTAAATTATTTTATTTTATATTATTTTATTACTGTTAGAAGAAATTACCATGTTCAACCAATTACGTAGGTTCTTCAAGTTATATACAGGGTGACTTGCTACTCGTGCTACAAACTTCACCAGTAGATTCTTGACCCTAAAATGAACAAAAAAGTTCATATTGACCATGGTCCGATTCTCAACCATTTCAGAGTAATTTCGCTTTTTATCGATTTTGAAAGATATCACGTCCTGGCGTCGGAAAATCGTGATATCTTTTAATCTAAACATTTCTCTTAAAATCTATAAGCACCGTTGAAATCCCCGTTAATTTTTCAATAAGAAGATGAAGGTGGCAAAACGTTTGGGTCTTTCTTCCTTGACCTTCTAGCTGTTTGTAAACTTCTTAAGCATTACATACTAAATGGGCATTAAATTAAATTAAAAAATTTCAATGGAATTATGATTTTGATTCTCTCTAAAAATTAACGGGGATTTCAACGGTGCTTATAGATTTTAAGAGAAATGTTTAGATTAAAAGATATCACGATTTTCCGACGCCAGGACGTGATATCTTTCAAAATCGATAAAAAGCGAAATTACTCTGAAATGGTTGAGAATCGGACCATGGACAATATGAACTTTTTTGTTCATTTTAGGGTGAAGAATCTACTGGAGAAGTTTGTAGCACGAGTAGCAATTCACCCTGTATATATAATAATAATTAAATAAAGATCACAGGGAAAAGTAATCTCATTTATAAATCAACTTCACGATTTTAACTGGAATGAACTTTGTTGAATGCCAATATGAAATTGCCAAAAATACTAATAATTTTTTCCTCTTTAAATTAAAATTTAGTTTCACTAGATTCACTACACTAAATATATTGTCCGTGGCTGAGAAATTTTGATTTGATTCTGATTGTGATTTTGTAACTATGTTGTTATTTATCCATTCGTTGATCCTGTTTAAAAGCAAAGCTGAATAAAAGTTCCAATTGTGTTAATTAGGGAGATTAATCTGTAGTTTGAGACATAATTTTTATTTATTTATTTTTTGTACAATGGAAAAACTTGCTTTATTTAAAACTATAGTTGTGTCCCCACTATTTAATTTCAAACTGCTCATGATACTTGGATGCTTTAAAGTAACAAAAATATTACGTTAGATTAGATTTATTTACTATTTAATGAATTAATTATAAAACTGTTTTTAACATAATGTGTTCTTGTTTCAGGAGGTACACAGTCAATTCTACACTTTTTGACAGCTTGATTGAAAGAGCGGAAAAATTGCCAACGTCCTACTACACAATCGGCGGCAATGCGCCTGTCATGGCGATGCGCCTTTTCAGAGAGGGCTGCCAGGTCATACTAGCCTCGACTATTTCAGAAAAACACAGAAATAACATACCAAAAGGAATTAAAGGTAAACAAAAAAAAATTATAAAAGATAAAAACGAACAATTAATGATAATTCTTTTTTTTTAAATTTCTTTGTGTTGAAATGATTTAATTATTTTATAACTGCAAATTATTGTCATGTTAATATAACTTGTATGAATAAACCTTACCCATTGTTACATTTGATTAATTAATTCTTTTATTATAAATATTTAATTATTTCTTCTTTTTGTTTAAATTAACAATTAAGATCATATTAATTTCTCATGGGCATTCATAAATGTTTGATTTTTTTGCTATTTCACAATAATTAGCTCATACATAATATAAGCAAATTACCTGTACATAAATATGATTTTAAAAAATCAGTTTTTTTAAATCTACATTTTATTTGAACAATTTTATCAGCAATAAAGTCGTTAAAAATTTGATGAAGTTGGCTAAAAATTCAGAAACAAGATATAATTATCTAACCAAAGATAACTGTGATGAGCTTGTAGTAATTTTAGAAAAAAAGTCTTATCAACCATACAATTTCATTTTAATTAATATTTCATGGATTATGTTGTCATTTTTCAAAAGTCTTTAAAACAACAAAAACATTGCTCATTGTTTTATTTGCTCAATTATTTATTTAAAAAAGCTTCTTAAACCTTTATTACTAAAATAATACGTACATATATTAATATTGAAATAATAAAATTTTATATGTTTGTGGCAGTATATCAGCATATTTCCATAAATGAAATTAGATGGATAGTTTAAAAACAACAATTAATATTTATTTTTAGAGATTTTTTTGTTGATTAATTTTTTTTAATGCAATTTAATGTTGCATGACTAGTGTGAGATGTAACCTGTGTGTTTCATAGTTGTCGGAGAAGCCGTGAAACGTGATGATATTCATTTAATATTGGAATATAAATCTGGAGAAAATTGGGGACCTTACAAAGCTCCAAGGGCCAACCGGTAATTGCTGTATTGTTACATTTATATTTTTGTTTTACTTTTTTATCTTATCTTCGTTTAGTGTAACTAGACTGATATTGCAACATCACAGGACAATTTAAAGATAATTTTTGTAAATGCTTGCATGTTTATTAACCAATTAATTGTTGATTTAAACGACAAAATATTAGATTCACAGAAAACAATTATTTGTAATACAAAGTTATTTAGCCTGTAGTCTGTTAACTTTTCAATTTAAATTTAAATTTTTGGAAAAATTTAATTTTACTTGTATCCATTATTTTTTTGTCAAAACTTGGAATTTTATGGCACCATGTTTAACCACAAGTTTCAAAATGAGACCATAAAAAACTTATATGTATCAAATAGAGTATATACGGTATATACTAAATGTTTGCCTGTTGTTAGTCTCAATCCTTTTTATCTGCAGCTACTGAAGTCAGCAATCAGATTATCCTGTCTTGTAAGTCCATTGCCATGTTGTAACTAGCTTTTATTTTATAATTTAAAGGCATTTTCCTTCTGACAAAGAGTGGGCCGATTTGTTATGAATGAGCACTTAAAGTAAATATTGTACCATAAAATTTTTCTTAGAATATTGTTTTTTACTTGTCATTTTTGAATTTTGATAAATGAAATTTGAAATTAATTTAAATTTGTATTTTGTCTAGGTATATTCTTCACAATGATGTCCACAATCCTGCATTGAAAACTCTTGAATATTTGGACGACCCTATAAAATCGTGGAAACCAGATCTTTTCGTCGTAAGCGGGCTGCAACTTATGGACAATTTTGTATATCCTGAAGGTACTTTTGTCTTAATTTCATGAACACATTTGATCGTGCTGATCGTCAATGATGGCATCAGGTTTTAGGACGGAGAAAATTAAAAGAATACACGACCAAATACAATCCCTTCCGAAATCGACTAAAGTGCACTTTGAAATGGCGTCTTTTACCGAATTAGCTTTACTGATGGACATGAAGAACTACGTAATACCTTTCTCTGATTCTCTTGGCATGAATGAACAGGAATTGGCCAACTTATACAGTATATATCAATATGGAAATATAAGTTTGGTGACAGATTCTACACCGCGAGTTGGCATTGTTTTGGACCAAATGAGATATATTTTTAAGTGAGTTCATTAATTCTTTCTATTTTTTTTTCCAATAATTCCCCAAATATAATTTCAGAAAAATAAGAAAGACAAACACAATAGTACCTAATAGCAAGATCTTGTCCAGAATACATATTCATACTCTCGCTTATCAAGCAATAATGACGGAGATCAATTCAAATTGGAAACATACTGAAATCGCCGCTGCTAAAGCGTCCCTTACAGCATTCAGGCACACTTGTGCATCGTCTGAGGTTTGTTCTACAATTTTAGCACATTACTTTATCTACATTTTTGTATGTTCAAGGTGGATGCAAATAAAGCTGCAGTGTTGATGGATGAGAGCTTTTCCCGTTCTGTCTTGAAAAGCGACTCGGGCAGAATCGAATTGGAGCCTTCGCATCCAGTGCCTTGTTGGAAGGAGGGAAACGTTCTTGTATGTGTCGCAGCTGGAGTCGTGTGCACAAATGTTGAACAGACTGCTGGTGGAGGTGACAACATTTCGGCCGCAGCATTGGCTATTCAACTTTGGTAAAATTTTGCCGCCTAGTTAAAATTAAACATTTGTAATATTTTTTGTTTGTTTTTCAGATAAATTAATGTTAATAAATCCACTGTACCGTTGATCCATTGCATTTATTAAGGGCCTGTATTTATATGTGTTCTACAAAACCCTAAGACTTTTAAATGTAAATTTGAATTATTTTGTTTAATTATTCTAGGATTTCAATATTTTTTTGGACAACTTTTTTCCATTATCCATCTAGTCTTTATAATTACTCAACCAGAAACATGCTATTTTCTTAGCACAATAAGAATTATAAAGTCATTCCTATTTAAAATATTTAATGTGATACATTATTGATGTTTACCAAGTTAGAAACAATGTTGTTTTTAGAAATTAATATTACAATTAATAGTATCAAAGAAATTGACTGTTAGATCTGTGGTTCTTTTTGAAAGGTATGTAATGTTTTTTTTAGAACCAGTAAAAATTGTTACTCGAATGTGTGACCATGTTGGATTGCTAGTACTCAAGGTTTTGATAATTGTTCTTTTAATTTTATTAGGATTTTTTGGGCATTTATTATTTAAGTCTGTTAAATTTGACTTACCGCATTTTTGACTGGATGGGATCAATTTTCACTTTTTTTGTTTGTTTAATTAAATAGGCTAAACAATTAAAAATTAATAATAGACAAATAAATCTATTTTTCTGAGAAAGCTGTTTATCTTTATTAATCCTGTTTATATTGATGTTTTAAGTCTGCTGTATATAAAACTTTGATACTTATCAAATATACAGATACAGATGGCTCAAAAAAACAAATGAAACGGATCAGGCATTTTCTGTATAAGCCCAAAATATGAGCAGTCGAATTCTTTAAAGTACACCTCAGTCTTTCAAGCTGAAATGCATACCATCAATGCTTCTAGCTTAGAAAATTTTAAAATACATCGCACTGACAATCCTCATAACTTCAGAAAGCCAAGTGTTTAACAAAAACATCACAACTAAATTAATGAGTGCATCCAAAATCTCCAAAACCTGGGAAAATGCAACAACTTGATGATGATAACTAGCAAGTGGAGGATCTGCAAGTTATGTTAAAGCAACTCTCACTAAGACTGGCAAGCAGTTAAGAGGGCTAAACTCAAAGGAGTGATACGACTATATACTGGCACTGGAAAACAGCTACCCATGTTTGAATACAAAGCAACTGCTCAATGGAGATGTAACCCGGGATACAAAGAAAACCAAGGGAAAGGAATTGTAACAAGGACAGTAAGTGACCTAATACTTCTTAAGAGAAGAACTGAATCACTTGAACTGAACTGAGGAACTAGGAAAAGTACAAGCCAGAAGGCTGCAGTGCTTGTGGGGCTTAAAATCTCCACTTCCTAAAGAATTTACATCATCATCAACGTTTCTAATACATATGTCCTTGACATTATTTCTGATTTCATTATCAGACTTTGATATTTTAATTATATATTTAAAAAAGAACAGGGTAAGGCTATATAATATAAGACAATTAATTAAGGTTTTTAGTTGAGATGAAAAAAAGTTAATGGCACGAGAGGGATTCGAACCCACGACCTTCGGCTAGATACGCCGCTGNGTGGATCGAGGTCACGATAGCTCAGGTAGTAGAGCAGCGGCGTATCTAGCCGAAGGTCGTGGGTTCGAATCCCTCTCGTGCCATTAACTTTTCTTCATCTCAACTAAAAACCTTAATTAATTGTCTTGTATTAATTGGTCAAGCGGACCACGAAAATAGTGAATTAGCTATATAATATATTCCTGCCATGTACGGGAGAATCTTCAGACTACCCATTGTAAGGACATGATGGCTGTTCGGTTTTGGATGAATATGTGAGAATTTGCACATCAGGATGATTGGAAATGATAAAATTATGGATATATTATATTTCACACCTAAACACAATATTACATAATAATGCAGATTTTATTTTTATTCAAATTTTGAAAGAAAATACCAAGAACCGATGCTGTGAATTGAATCAGAGGAAGTCGCATAGCAAATATTTGAATCAGACCCCTAATAATCTTGGCCCATTTTACCTAATTTATTTCCTGAAGTGTTTATTTATTTAAGATTTCATAATTTTTATTTTTTATTTTTAGGATAGTTTTTGTTTTAGTTTTTTGAATATTGGCTCCTTTTTGCTCTGGCAAAACTGAAGTTGAACCTTGATGAAACCTCTTAGGGTCTAAAAAAATAAATACAAAGTTTCAACTCATCCCCCTGCAATGTCTGTTTATCAGTGAAACAAAAAAAATCAACCCTCTGCTGCGTTTTTTCTAAAATTTCCAATTAATATGACCTACCCTCTAATGATCACTATGAGCGATTCAGACAGGGAAGCGGGTACGATAGACAAAAATTGTCTTATTTCACTACAGAGCGATTGGAATTTGGCTTTAAAGTAAGTAAAACCATGTGTATTGAGTTGTCAAAAACGATGACACTGTTTAAAATGAAGATTTGATTTTTATGCAATGATAACTTTACAGTAAGAAGTAATTTATGAAGTTGTCGACCAAACGTGAAGACAATTTCTTACAGTTTTACCCTTAAACGAGGTAGTTCCTTTAAATAAGAGGCGAAAACCTTTCAGCAACTCTGTCTCTTAGAAAAATTCTGCTTGGCCATGTGCACGATGCTATGTAGATAAAGCTGAGGTTTAAAAATAACTAGCTTTATGCAAACGTCTTCAGGTCAATGATACCTACAGGTGAGCTCTTCAGTCGGGACCAAAAAAATTAATTATCAAAAAGATGGTCTGTCTGAGTATAAAAGAGACATGGGAACTACATCAACTGCTGCCCTAAACCCTGTCACATCTAACGTACATTCAGATATATGTTTAGGGTTCAGCTCCTCGTGATGTTTCTGACAAACCCACCCTGCTTGCATATGCAAATAACATATATTCAGACATTCATTCATTTAGTCTGGGAGAAGTAAGGTAAATCACATATAAGCTCATACAAGGCCAAACAATTAAAACTTAAAATGGAAGTTTGAAAATATGCAGTGGTTTATATGCCCATGGACATCATGACTCCCTGACTATATGGCACAAAGACAAAAATTTAGGGTTGATGTGCCATTTTCTTTTGGAAAATTGGCCATGATTTTAGCTTGAAATAGGGCTTTTTGCCAAAGAGATTTAGGTATAAGGCTGGAAATAGGCAGAAATATTTCATTCTACACTGATAACCAAATGCTGCTCAAAAGACTACTGAGATAAAATACACAGTGTGGCATTGTCTGAGTGCACTCGGTGAATAGAAATTAAGAACCTATTATCTCTTATCTCCCAGGGCACGCAAATCCACAAGTTAGCAAAGACACTGACAACTAGCAGGGTTGGTTCGTCAGCAACATTGCCAGGAGCTGAACCCTAAAAAAGGTGGGTGACTGAATTGAGTTAAAGACCTGCAGCTGGAGTACAGTGACAGGTAAAAGACATCGTAAAACCTGCTTTTGCAAAGTTGGAGATTTAAGACTATTAAATATTTTTTTTACTCAAAGAGTTTATGAAAATACCAAATTGCAATAAATATTCTATGTAGGTCTACCAAGAACTGAAAGAGAAAGCCACAATACATATTATTTGGTACTGTGATTGACTAATAAGAAGCTCTACTCATGAGGAATGAAAAGCTCAGTCCATCAATCATAACTGTGAAGCGAGGAGAATAAAATAAACCTGAAGTTAGATAGTGATCAACAATATAGCTAGTTCTGTTTGATAGTTGCAGGACAAAAGACTCTTCAATCAATAAGTCTACAATAAAAAATCTTCCATTCGCATATTTCTGTGTTTGGATCTGGGCCATTCATTAACTTTAAGTTATGCTTTCTGCTGGCGTTTAAATGCCTTACCAGAACCAAAGCCAATTATTAAATAGAAGTTTCTATTGAATAGATCGATCAGTGGGCTAAGGTTGTATAATGGTACCAAATTGTTAGAATATTTTCTTTGCTGAATTTACAGCAATAAAATTATTGCTTTTATAATCATCATTGTTTCAAATGGATTGCATTGAGATAATTTGCACAATAAGCAACCACTCAGTTATTCTTGCTGTCATGTGTATACAGTTAGAATGTTGAATTTTGAAATATTTTTGGTAAGTTTTGAATGGTTGCTAATGTTGTTGGCTTGGGAACTTCTATTTTGAATTGAGGACCAAATTAGTCCTGAGATTTTCATTAATATTTCTCATATACATTATTGGACTTCGTGGTTGCCACGATTGGTAGTACAGCTTACATGGAATAGTACAGAAACTATTATTCTTAGATTTTTTTTAAAGAAAGTATATTAACCTTCGGGGTACCGAGTTTTTAGAAAAAAGTCCATTTTGTAAGTATGTTGAGTCAAGCAGGGCTGCTGGATTTGAACTTGGGATCGTTACCTTACGGTGATAATAGAAGAAGGGTTTGAATTGTAATTTCTGCTTAAAGCATGACTTTCATGTTGCTGCTATACATGCTGCAATATCAGGATATGTATATACATGTAGAAAGGAGCAAAATTGCATTTATAAAAGAAAACATCATTAATACCACAATTGTATTTATGTCATTAGTACGCAATGCTATCAATTTTTATATATATTTGGTTTTGTCTCAATTACATGTTTTTTATTAGAAACATTGGCGAGGAAGTGTGGGTAACTTGGAAATCAGAAGGGAACCCGACACTCCATGGTACGATTAAAAGGATCAACGATTCTAGTGACTGCCACACTTCAATCGGAACCAGCAATGGTTTTAAAGTGGTTCATTTGAAGGGAAATATGATTCAAGTAGGGCACTGCATGTCCAGCCGCTCAACAATATTTGTAGCGCCTTCGCAGTATGTCACGTCGGTGCACGAAAAAAAAAGTGTAAGTGTATGACTGACTTAGCTGAAATATTTACTTACAATTTTAATTGTTGCAGATCAGTTCTGTTGCTGTGAATGCTGATGGTTTAGTGGTTTCTGCAATAGGCGAGAAAATGGTAGTCTGGGATACAAAAACAGAAGAAAAGAACGTGAGTAGTTTATACATTTAATTATTTACTCTTGACTTTACTAATCTTATGTTGTTCAGCTCCTTTTAGAGGGCCACTTGGCGGATATTTACAAGTGTAAATATTTTCCATCCGGAAAAGTTATAATTTCCTGTGGAAGTGATATGCTGTTAAAAATTTGGTGCCCGTTCACAGGAAGGTGTGCTGTTACCCTGTCTGGTCATAAACTAGCTGTGACTGACATTGATTTTATCAGTCGTGGGAAAAACATTGTATCAGTAAGCAAGTGAGACTTAGCCGTCATGAATCAAGTCCGATAAACTAAAACAAAACAATAATAAATATGTTTTAACAGAGACGGTACGGTAAAACTGTGGAATTGTGGTGATGGCTCATGTATTGCGGATGTTGCCCAGGCTTCATCAGTGATTAATTGCTGTGAAGTTATACAATCACCCCCTGAATTGAAATTAAACGAACCTCCAAATTACTTACGTAAGATAACATATAAATACAGTTTTTGAAATAACTTAGATTTTTTTTTTAGATGAAAAAGAAGTTCTCACAGAGGGAAAAGTCGTTTTATTTGGCTGTGAAGATGGCACGGTGAGTTGCTCAGCAGTGAAAAGCCGTTCAAGGATCAACACATGGAGATTTGACAGCCCCGTTAATTGCCTGACATACGTAGGGGGCAACAAATTTGTCATCGGATGCCAGAATGGAACTATTGCTATGTTTAAGCTTTCATCCCAAAGCACTACGCCACTGAGGAGTTGGAAAGAATCGCACAGTGCTGTGTTGTCTCTGTTGAATTTTAAAGATACCGGATTCATAGCTTCAAGAGCGGATGGAACCGTATCTTTCTCATTTATCAACAGCACATCTGTAGCGATTTCTCTTACGGGATCAAATTTTGATCCAGTTAACTGCCTAGCATTCGATGGCAACAATGTATATACATGCTGCAGGGATAGCTTTGTTAGAAAGTACTCAGTTGCAAAGATTATTGATGATGTTGCTCATAATATACTATAAATATATTCTGTAATTTTTACACTTCTTTTGCTTCAATCCATTCATAGTTTTTACTAATTAATTAAGATTTATAGATTAAATTAATATATATTTTCTATCTTGTACCTTTACAAATTTATGGTTTTGTTAAGGGTTGAGTGATATCTTAAAATTTAAAAACACGATAATGAATTTTTTTTCGATGAATTTTTCATTTCTGGCAGGAAAAAAAATGAGAAATAGCTATGACCATACTCAAAACTAGTAATGTTAATATATTATAAAGGAAAGTGTTTATAAACGTTTAATGGTTAAATTATCTCGTCAAACAGTTATTGATATTGACGTCAATTCTTTGAAATACTGTTCTTGAAACTATAAGAAAAACAAACAGATTGAATACTAAAATGTTATCTGCTACTGGAGCAGATACCAAAAACTATCCTGATCATTTAACAATTGGAACGTTCCTCCTTATTGTCAGGCTCGATTGTATTTTAATTAAACGGAATTGAATTGACATGGCAAGCGATATTTGATCGGGATTTATGTATAATTCTACCTCTGTGATTTTTTCCCACCAATTCAAATTGAATTCGGGATCTTGAAAGGGGGCTTTAGTAAATGTTGATTAAAGCGTTAGATAACTATTTAAAAGATAACCTAGGGTCAAGGGTGTCTGCCCTGATATTTGGATGAATGATTCACTTGTAATAAGACCGTTTAGTGTAAAGTTGTCAGGCATTAAGTGAAAAGTGGTTAAAATATAGTGTCTGTGGGGAGTTTTAAAGAGAGGCGCTAAGGATCGAAAGAAAAATTATGCTAAACTTTTTATGAAATTACAAGAGAAGAAATGAAGCTTCTTCCGATTGGTAAGTGATATTAAGAAACGATGAGACGTCACACTATATTTTGCATTACTGAATCAGATTATATAAAATGTACAAGAAACTCGTAGAATAAAAAAAATTACATTTATTAACTAATGCAAAAACAAACATCTTTAGTGAAAATCTAAAGAAAAAGAGATAATTTCATTTAAAAAAAGTACTTTGCCCAAAGTTTATATGTATGTGTTGTTAAAACATTATTTGATATTATGAAACTAAGTTTTTTGGGCCAACAAATATTTTGCAAGAAATTAGACATACTTAAAAATTTCACATGTTTTAACAAACACTAACCATATTTGGAAATAATTAACAAGTATTATATTTAAACAACAATGAAATTGCTTTTTTATTAATAAATAACTAAAGATAATAATACAAACGGTGCGTTAGAGCAAGAAGTTCCAAATAGAAAGAAAATACCATTAACCATTGTATGAATTTAGAAATGATGTCATTGTTATGTAACGGGAGAATTTTTTACAGTTTCACACCACGCTTCTCTTACCACTAAGATTATTGTATTTATAATATTTTTAAATATTATAAAAGAAATAGAAAAATATAAGTGTTGATTTCTTTATGATATTTGGCGTTTTATTCTGCTTGAAAGGCTGTGGTTTTCTCCAAATAAACCAGTTTCATCATTTCTATCTTCTTTTTATATCTAAATCACATTTTCCTTGCCTTTGCATTTAAACTGTATTATTTCAAAAGTAAATTACATAAGAATGATAAACCTCGGGTAATGTTATATTAGATCATTACAACAAATGGTACAGTTTAAATGGTCGGCGTAAAACGAAGAACGTTTATATTTCAGGTGTTTTAAGCTGTTGTCTGATAGTAGTCCTTGGTCAGAGAAATTCACTTTTTCCTGAAAACAAGAAGCTCTCTTACTTTTGGGAATCAGGAATCTGGTCGGGCATTATTTTGCCATCAACATTAATATCAAGTTGGGCACTTAATGCTACCGTTGAGGTTCAACAAGTCGATGCGAACAGGACGCAGTTTAAAGTATGCGGTTTTATTATTTAGCATTATAGCACAGACTTGTCAAAACAATATTCTCTCAGATTTCAGGAATCAAATCAGACCATGAATTTCTAGATGTAACATCTTTAGAACTGCCATTTTATGGCACGTATGTTTCTGGAAACCTTGAGGCTTTAGAAGTCACTCAAGGTGATGAACTATGGTCGGTTAATATGAAAAGAGCTTTACTGTCTCTTTTCCAAGTAAGACTGAGTGCTTTGAATACACCCGTACTCATTGAAAAAGAGGTGAGGATTTTAAAATAATTTCAATGATACAACTTGTAATAAACTGTATTCTAGGTTGGCCTGTATGGAAAGTGCAATGTAGAGTATTCGTTCAGTAAAATTAATTCCGAAACTGTCAAAATAAGAAAGAGTATAGATTTTGACTCATGTGAAAATTATCCGTTTGTAAACCAAGCGAACTGTCCTTTAATGGGATGTCCGAGCAGTTATCAGGTAGTTCCTAAGCTAGGCCCACTTCAAACAAATTGAACAATAAATTAAATTATCAATTTTTATAGAAAATGGTAGTTTCACATAGTGAAAGAGACTACTTGGTGACACCACAGCAAGATGTCTTTATTCAAAATATTTCATCGATTGGAAGAATATTGGTTCAGCCTTATGAATCCAGTGCAGAGGCTCATTATGCCAAAATGAGGTAAATTAAATTCACTTATAAATGCACAAACGAGAAAGTATTAAAAAAAAATCGTTGATATTAGTCAATCGATTACAATTCAATCAGTAACCAATCGGGTTGAATCCACATTGCCTGAATTGAAAAGTGTGAACCTTGAGTATGAAATTCCTGAATTGGATCCTACCAACGGTAAAGAACCTCATAACAGGACCGAGTTAGTGTTAGAGGTATTGAAACTATAAGCTAACCAACTGACATAACCCTAATGGTTTTTAATAAAATATAGATATATAATCTGCTCGGTGAGCTGGGCGACAGTCTATCTAGCTGGGAGGTTGGCGTAAAAGGCCTGGACAATCAGACATCGTTCTATATTCTCGACCTCATGTGGTGGCTACAGATGGAAGATTGGGAACAACTATACAACAGCGTTTCAGTAGGAACAAGCTATCGCCAAGAGACGATACAGTGAGCCTTATTAACATTAGATTCATATTACTTTTTGTATATACTTTGAATAATTCACTTATAACTATATTTTAATAATTTTGTGTTTCAATAGCTAATTACAATGTTCAGTAAATTTATCTCATTAGTTATTTTACTTTAAACATCAATAAGGGTAAAAAAAATTGGTGAATAATGATTAAAATTTGCAACCTGAGAAATTCAACAATATTTAAGTAAATTTGATAAAATAAGCCAATTAAATTTATTTTTCAACATCTTGCAGGCATTTATTTTGGGATTTAGTCCCTCATGTAGGATCAGAACCAGCGGTTTTGTTCATAATCGATTTGGTCAAGACTTCTAGGATCAAAGGATTCTCAGCTGGTAGACTGTTAGTCAGTTTTCCATTTTATCTTAAAGTTGATTCTGAAGAATTCCTCACAAAATGCGAAGTAATAATTTTGGAAATATTTTCAAATAAAAACACTTAAATAAACTAATTTTCACAGGATTTATTGAGGCTGCACAATTCAATAGCAGATGATGTGAGAAATTCAGCAATCCTTACATTCGCCTCGATAATCAACAAGATTTGTCAGACCAATTGCAAACAGGACACCTTTGACAGATATGCAAAATATTATCTCGACAAATTTACAAGTAGATAAATAAACATAATAAACCTATTGAATTAATTGTTTAATTATTCGGTGTTTAGGTAGCACAACATATGAACAAAAAATGTTGTACCTACAAGGATTGAACAACATTGAACTCGGCCATGTTCTGGATTTCCTAACTCCAGTAATAACTGGCAAAGAAAGCTCAGATAATAATATAAGATTCATAGCAGTTTGGACCACGTTACAAAGCATAAACACAAACCCTAGCAAAGTAATCGATCAAAGGAAAAATAAAGCAATACAATTACACAATAAACAATTTATTCTTTCAGGTATATGACGTTTATTGGCCTGTGTTTAGCAATAAATCAGAAACTCTTGAATTAAGGGCAGCAGCCCTTACGCTTTTGCTAATGTCAAACCCTTCGACATCGAGATTTTTGTCAATTTATTGGTTTATGCAGGGCGAGACTTGTGAACAGTTGTACAATTTTTACTACACTTCAATACAATCACTTGCTGTTACTAATTTCCCGTGCTATGCTAAAATGTAAGTATGTTGTTAATAAAGTTACCATTAAGTTGTTAAACACTTAATTAATCTTAGAGCAAGGGAAGCAAAGAAGATCTCCCGATTTGTCCCAGCAAAATCACGAATCTGGGCGACAGGCAATTATATTTTAGATTATGAAGATCCCGAAAGAGCCAATGGAGGCTTGTTGCAGACCTTGTTGATAGCAAGTGAACAGACAGGACTTCCAAATGTCTTTATATTTCTTGTTGAACAACATTCTTTGGGCCATTCAAGAAGTTACTTAGTAAATACAAATCAAATCAAAAAGATACACTTCACTTTTTTTTATATTCTAACTTTGATTTTCTGCAGCTGCATTTAAAAGTTGGAGGTCTGGCATCAGAACTTTGCAACGAATTTGATAAAATTTCTAAGAGCAATTATGGAGGGGATAAAATCTCAAAAGTACTTCAAATCCTGAACAACATGAATGTCCCGCTTAAAAAGGCTGAGGATCTCCACTTAGAAGTCATTTTAAAAGTAGATAGAAGAACAGTTTTCTCACGGCACTTGAACAAAACAACTTTTACATCTTGGACAGAGAGTAAATTATTTTTAATTTGCGATATTGTGTTAATTTAAATGTTTTATTTATTTATTTTTCAACAGCTACAAAGAAATTGAGTTCACTTTATTTTGAATTCAGTATCAACTATCAAAATCTCAATTTCCCAACTATCATAACAAAAACAATCGCCTCTGACATGGGAACACCGGCACTAATGCAAATTAGATCAGCAAGCTTGATGTCGGCAAGGGGCAGCGTCAGTCAGGAAAATGAAGGCAGGGCTAGAAATGCTGAAATCGATTTGAGGTACAAAATGGCGCAAATATAATAAAAACCTTTATTAAACTTTTTTTCTTTACCAGATATTCTTGGAACGGCGTTACAGGGCTGAAAATGTACAATCCGCTCAGCAATAAATGGCACGGTGCAGAAAGATGTAGGAATCTTCACATCCGTCTTCCTTTCGCTACACAGTTGATAATAGAGATTGCAAAATCGGTGTTCAAAGCTACGGCAGTTAGGCACAGAGGTAAAAGCACAAAAAAAAGTGATTTTTCTATTTTAAAAATACAGTAATTAACTGGTTTTTCATAAATCTTCGGTTAATGTTCTAGAATAATTATCTAAATTAAATTAATCGTTATTCACAGATTTTGTAACTGGTACAAGGTTGGGTCTGGTATGGCATGCTTCTTCGAGGCTGGTTACGAGAAAGCCTACTATAAAAATGTATCCAAATATCAGTGATGTAAGTGTTTGAAAAATTAAAGCAAACTGTGTGAGTTTTAATTCGATTTTTTTTTTAAACAGGAGTGGACTCTGGATTCTGAGGACCTAGGTGCTAGGCTAGGGGCTAGTGTTTTTGACTGTCCACATCCTGATACTATCCCAGATGCTCTTAACTTACTTAAAAAAGCATTTTTAACTAATCATAAAAATTATAAGTATGTTTTTTCTTTTATTGTAAGCATGCTTCCTAAAATTGTTTCAAATTATTTTAGCATGGTGCCTGGAGGTGTTGTTCTTCTTGGTTTACTTTCCTTGAAACACCAACTTCACTTTCAGCCTCATGGGAACAATTGTGGTGTTATGTTATATTTCACACCTTTACTCACACAGGTATTAATTTAGTTTGAAATTTAACTTACAGCATGGTATCAATTGTTAAACACTTTTCAGGTGGAGCCAGTTTTAGAATCTAAAGGAAATATGCTGAAACTGTCGATTACGAGGAAGGACGGGATATTATGGGAGATTCAAGCTGGATCAAAGAGATTAAATGACGGGAATAAGGAATTTACATTTAAACTGTATAGAACTCCAAGCGTGAGTGTGACTGTGGGGCATATTTGGCGTGTCATACAACTAGAAGGGGCTTTTATCGTTCCATCGAGAATGTCTGGTGTATTCCATCCACCCGCCGCTCTGACAGGATACGCTTTCGTCTCATGGGGTGATGCAGCCCTTAGTCATTCTGACAAAGCATCGATGCTTGATCTAAAAATCGTACCAGGTCACAATGACACCGGAGGTGCTTTCTGTGAGGGTTACCACCCAAGGTGCTTACAAGCAAGTAGTGATCTTGCAGCAAGGCAAACCGCAACACTTCAATATACTAATGTATATATATTTAGTGTATTTTGTTGAACGGTTTAAAAAACAAAACAAAAAAACTTTAAATTACAGCTGCCGACTTGGCTTAAGATGGCTGCACACGCTCTCTTCCCTGAGCATGTTCAAACCGAAGGCACTCACACTCAAGTAACATTTGATTACCCTGTCGCACTTTTACCATGGAATACAAAAGGTAAAATGCAAGTCAAAAATATAGGAATTTGTAAACTTTTATTAATTTGTTTTAGGACTGTGTGCTCTCAATGATGAAACTGTTCTGACATTAGATAATGTGACAATGTCTATGTCCCTCCATTCTTGCTACTCACTCGCTATCGCTGATTGTTCAAAAAACACTAGTTTCGCTATTGAAATCAAAAAGTCTGAAAAATTCATAGTAAGTTGTTTGTATTTGGTCAAATACAAGTGTATACTTGGTTTATTCTTTTCCAGGGTGTTCGTGTTCATAGTGGTATCAACACAGTGGAACTTTTACAAAACATGAATGAAACAATTGTAATCAACGTCAATGACAATGAAGTGGAATATACCAAACCAGATTACCAGCTTGTTCACGATAAAAAAACAGAAATAAGGTATTTCATTTTTGCATATAATTTCTTCTCAAACATAACTTTTAAAACATTTTAGCATAAGAAGACGACCACAAGGAATTCTAGAAGTTGAACTGCATACAGGCGTCGTTCTACAACATTACAACACTACCGTTGTTATACTCGTACCAGCAGTGTTCCGAGGCTACACATGTGGCCTTTGTGGAAATTTCAACGGAGACACTTACAACGAACCGAGCATTCTTTACACAAACTGTGATGTTGATGGTAACATATAAAGAACTCGAGCAGAAAACTTTGTGATTTCATGACAAAGGAATTACACTTAATATTAATAAATGTTAAGTTCAATAATAAAATGAGTGTGTATATTATTTTGTAAATAGGTTAATTAAATGAACTTTAAATAGTGTCAATAAATATCCTTTTTCTAATGGCTCTTGTTTTGTGATACCTGAAGAAAAGTGATGTTTAAAAAACAAAACAAATATTATTTGCCTAATATTAAGTATTTAAGTAATACCTAAAACAAACATTGTAATAATTCGATATTGAAGGAAATATATAGAAAGGCTATAAGCATTCTGAGAAAGAAATTTTTCCCATAAAACAAACTGTTCAGTAGTGATAAAAAGTTCTTACTTTTTATTTTTATTGTGGTGTAAATCGTGAACTGGAGTTACCCCTGAACACTGCAGCTTGTACCGGTTATTGTACTCCTTCCTGGCTCCATTTTTGGGAGCTCACAATACATGTGTGAATTGAGTGCCAGAGTGCTAGTACTCTTCTGTCGAACCCACAATAGCTAGATCTACTAGCTGAGAGTCTGATGCCTTAACCATTTGGCTCCTGAAATCCCCTATAAACTTTCTTCGTAGTACCTGGATTTTTTTTAAAGGTGAAAACTGAAATACACAATCTTTCTTTATTAGTAGAGATATGATGCTCCTTCATTCACTTTTCTCCAGGAAGGTATATGATTATGATGTCCTACTTATGCATAAGAAAAAAAAAATTATGATCTAAAGCCACTAATATATATTTGATTAATAAGATGATGGGTAGAAAATAAAGGTATTTTCCACAATAGCCTGTTGTGGAAAACTCAATATATTATGTTGTTTCGCAAAATTAGGATGGACTCTATAAAAAAATCTGATTAATCAATATTATCTTTTTCTGAGAGATCAACCCACAATATACAGATGATGAGGAATAGTATTGAATAGACTGTGACCCTAATTGGATCCTCTCCCTCATCATAATAGAATCTTCTATTAAATTTTGCTAAAAAATACTTTAAAAGGTAGTTCTGATAAATAAAATGAGAGCTGTGAGAGCTGTTACAGTAGATAAAATATATTTTGGTCTTAAATTTACAGTGGTTAAAGATTGCTAAATTGGAACAATGCTGTTTTTTAACTGACCCAACTGGATCTTATTTAGGAACTGAGCTGCTTTTGGTGAGAAGTTTCCAGTCGGATGTAAATTATTCCTTAGCTCATCTAATTTCTCAGCGACACTCTGGTACTTGAATATCGCCCAGAGAAAATCCCATACCGAGAATTCAGGCCAAAGAACTCCAGTGAAATGAAGATAACTGCATGAGCTCTAAAACCAAATGATTTATGTAGTTTATGGTTTTGCGTGTATTAAATTAGTTTTTAAAAAGAACACTATTTATTACACAGCAATGCAATACAAAACTGGAATAACCAATTCCAATTAGGGATGGTTAGGGAATCTTCGGTCTATACTTGATGAGAGTCCGGATAGGATTAAATTAAAAATATTAATTTTAGCAAAGGATTGGGGATGTAACGAAGGAGGGGGTTTGTTGGAAGTGAACACATCCAGGTGTGATAAGAGAGGAATGTGAAGGGTTGCAACAAAAAAGGGTCGAGTGAGTATGTAACATGTATTAATAATATAAAATTATTCAAATTTACCATATATGACTAAATTCTGATTAAAAGACTACCTGCCAAAGAAGAAAGTCACTTAGCCGTGTTTCCCCTGATGTTCTAATCACTAATTCAGGATGTGGTGAATCAGCGGTGTAGAGACATCGAGAAAGCAAACTAACATTCAGGTCTTCTTCATTTAAACTACCTTCATGCAAACCTCTTAGGGAAAGATTAACTGCATTCGTTATTTCATCTTGAGCTAAATTAGAAAAAAAAATTATAAAACATTATACAAACAGAAGAAAACTACTCACCTGAGTAGGAAAATGCAATGTTTAGAATTGTTTTATTATTGTTTTTAAACATATCTTCAGCCTCTGTCATCAGTTCAGTTATGTCTTGTGGAAGTAGACTTCTATTGCCTATGATCCGTATTTTCATGCCGTATTCGTTTATGACTTCCCTGAAATGACAGAATATATAAAATTTTATTTTAAACTTGCCTTAATTTTTTTTCTGATTACTTTTCTTCCAACAGTCGTTTCAACTTCTCTCTTGATAGATTCATAAGGTCATCAACTTCTTCTTTGGTCCTCTTGTAGTTCTCTATGCTGAATGCATAAACAGTAACCTCTTTCACACCGATATCGAGACACCACTGAAGCGTCTCTGACAATTTGTCAAACCTACACAGGGAAAAAAAATTAAGGGTCATATACAATTTGAAAATTTTCATTACAAACCCCTTCGAGTGGCCCTTGACTTTCTGAATATTGACTTTCTTTGCGAACCGCCTGTTTCCGTCCATTATGAAGGCGATGTGCTGTGGTATCCTGCCACATTTTAGGATACGCAGAAGTAAAAGGCTTGGCCATGAAAGTGAACTATCTCTAATCCAGGACATAATCTACCAAAAAAAATAAAAAATAAAAATTGATATTCAAATTAATTCAACCAAGATCTAACCATTTTTTTTTCTGTGTTAAAACATTAAAAATTATATAAAGTATAATTTACAACCAATTCTTGGACAGGATGTCAGGATGTATTTTATGTTTATATGCTATTGATTAACAATATCTCATACTAATTATTGTGGAAAGTCAAAACCAAAAACTAATAATGCTGATTTTTTATTTAAAGAAAAAAAAAACAATTGTAATAAAATGTGATCATCCTGACCTTTGTATTATCGTTGTACACTTTGCTCATATTCATTTTGGCTTTTTCCATCTTTAGTGAACGTATGATGGTACAAGTAACTGAATTTACAACCAGTTTTTGAAAGAATCTGCCTTTTTCTTTTACATGCATGTGCTAACCGAAATTATCAACAATACTGTTTGTGTTAATGATTATCTATTTTAATCTAGTTTGCCAGTCCTGCCTTTCACCTAGTCTGTCTAGTTCCTTCTTAGGTTTTTATAAAGGCCACTAGACACTGCAGACTAAAATTATCGGCTAATAGTATAATCAGATTAGGTTCAAACCACACATACTAGGTCATCTAAACTGTTTCCTTAGCTGTGCACTATATCCAATATAATAAAGCAATTTCTAGAAGTGTTGGAAGTCAAAGCTACAGTGAACTGCCTTGGTCCAGTGGAGCTACAAAAGTTTATGTTCAACTCTACAAATGCATGTACATTTCATACATACGTGTACAGAGTTGAACTTATCACTTCTTGCAGTCCGCTGGTAATTCCCGGTTCGTATTTTTACAATAAATCACTGACAGACTGCAAGAATAAATATCATATTTGCTGCAGTATTTTAACATGTAATATAAAGAGGTTTACAACCATAAATGCATTTACTTTATTTTATTTGTTCAGAATTTTTTGTTAGTATCAGCCTTAAATTTGAGTAATGGCTTCATAGTTTCGAGCGTTCTAGAAAGAAAACATACAATTCTCCATAATTAAAGCCTTTATCAGAACTCAACTTTAAATATAGCCAAAAGCAAGATAAAGAATTGTGTTTTCTTCCTGCATGCCTCATGCCAGATCCTTTTAAACCAATTTTATTTTGTTTTTTTATTTAAGAAAAAATAAATAAAATCAAGTAGTAAATAATAAAATATTTTTAAATTTCAGTTTTTGTGTGCAATGCTTTGCTTTTTTTCCCCCAAAGATTACATAAACTACAAACCCATCTAACCGAAATTGGTGGATTAAATTAGATTAAAGCAGAATAAAGGTTTTTAAAAAAAATATATTTTTGGGGTAAAAAGCTGAATCATCATTGCCTTTGGAGCTTATTTCGGTTGCCTGATGACTGGAACATCCAGCTATATTGACATCTTCAGTCATTATGGGATGTGGGTCTTCACCTCTTTGGATCATTTGCCAATCCACCTTTCAGATTTTTACCAGGCATTAAATGAGACTAGTTTATGTAATGTTTTTGTTAACACTTTTATTTCAATGGTCAGCATGATTAATTAAAAATACTTATTAAAAAGACAAATCAGCAATGTAGCTCAGGTCAGTTGAGTGATGACTGGAAGGTCTGCTACATTAACATCTTTACTCATCATAGGATGGATCTTTTTAATCTAATTTTCCAGTCCTGCCTTTGACTTGACTGTAATCTCATTGTAAGAGGACTGCAACAGCTTAATAAGCCTAGTAGGTAGGATGTCCAACTCGTATTTGCAATCCTGGGTATAAATCCCAGCAGAGCCAATGGTTTTTTTAACTGAAAGTAGTATGAAAAATGAATTGTAAAGTGATCTGATCCCTCATCCGAGACACCCAATGAGTAATGGACGTAAAGCACTTCTTTAAGATAGGAATTACTTTATTGTAATTCCATTGAAGGTTTTTGTAATATGGATTTTGCAGGCATGATTTTGATAAAAAACATAAGTCTCTTTGTCTTTTTCCCGTTTTAATTTTTTTTTAAATATTGAAATTAGTATGAAAAACATATAGTAAAGTGATTAACCCCTCGTCCATGACACCCAAGGGTAGTTGGACGTTAAACCTTCCTGTACGCCAGTAATTACTTTACTTCAATCCCATTGTAAGTTTTTGTAACATGCATTTTGCTGATATGATTTTGATAGATAAAACTGAAGCGCCTTTGTATTTTACATACTATACCCTAACAACAAATAGCAAATTTGCTGTAAAGTTATATTATAAAGAATTTTTCCAGGATCATCTCTAAGAATGAGTGTCTGATTTTGTTAATTATGATTGTGTACCTGAATTGTTTACTTCCCATCCAATTTGATTATTTTTGGAGGCTAAATGAGCTTTACCTAGCTTCTCTTTGTATGAATATTTCCAGTGGAGGCAGGTTGAGCATTTGTAGGGGTTGTTCTCATTGCCCCTGAGATACATAAGTTTGCTAATCTTTGTATGCTGCCTATTGTTTGTATAGCTATTTTCTGTTGAGCTTTTGGTCCACCAGATTAATGATGCATAGGTTATTTTTGGTCTTATTACTGCCGTGTATAGCCAATGAGCCATTTTTGGTTTTAATGCCCAATAATGCCTGAAACTTACTAATGCAATACTGTTGTGTATGTGTATGTGTATCACTGTACATAGCATAATTTTTGCTTGTTGTAAAATGTAAAATAATCTTTATAAATAAAACAGTTACTAACTGACAGACAACACACAGACCAAATCGCTGGATCTAAAGGTCTGAAATTTTGATAGTGCATTTCTATAATGACACGGAGGAAAGGACTTTTTGAAATTACACCCCTATGGGGATCATATGGACAATTTTTTACCTTGTATAGACTGAAGTGAACTGAAGAAGAGAAGAATTTGAGAAATGTGACATTTTCTTACAAACCCACCGAGCTCTCTGCATCACATTAGAAAGGTACATTAAAACAAAGTCCTGTGTGGAGAAGTCATGAGTAAATGCTAGTAATGAAGCTTAAAAGCTAGTAAAAAAATGAAAAAAAAATTTTTTTTTGGGCAGAGTTTTATTTTGTTATTGTGCTGAGTTGTGGAATCGTTCAACTCAGAGATTGAGCATTAAAATAAATGATATACATACTGATAATGTAGTGAGTTTTGCACTATTACATTAAATAATTGGAAAAAAATGCAATAAACAAAAATTTGGATTGTTTTAAAATGTTATAAATGATAGTGAGCCATGTTGGGGCAATACCTTGATTCAGTACGTCATTTATTTCTTTGCCTGTTTAATTTATTGCTTTTTTTTAAATTTTATTTTATTATTAATGCATGATAATTTTACTTAGTTTATTTGTTTTATTGTATTTTGCTTTATTCCTTTACCTATCTTTTTTTATTCATTTTCATTTTTTATATTTTTTTATTCTATTTTTTTTTAAATTAATTTATTTTATTGTATACACATTGTTTTTGTTATTTTGTCTATATATATATTTAGTATATGTTTTGCTTTTATTTTTCTTGTTTTTTATTTTGTTTATATTTCTTTGAATATGTTTGTATTTGTTAGTAATTCAAACATTTTATTTAGGCATGTTGACTCATTGCTAGGGATTTCTTTTAGGCTTTTTGGGAGGTGAAATACTTCTCTGGCGGTTTTTAAAAATTGACATTCAGTTAATATATGTTCTAAGTTAATAATATTGATATGTTGCATTGTGGAGGTGTTTCTCCGTTTATAAAGTGGCTACACGCGTCTATCTGGTGTGTCTGATCCGTAGTCTGGCCAGAGTTCTTGTCTGCTTTGTCAGAAAGACAAAGTCCAACACCTGACAATTTGTTGAAGTCACAAGGAGCGGTCTCACAACTTCAAAAAATTATGAAACAACCGGTCACTAAGAAACACACCTGACACAATCTTCGACGCTTGGTAGTTCATTGTCTATGATGTACCATGCTTGTCCCCAATCTATCCATATTTTATGTGATTCTGAATATCTCCCTATTATTTTGAATATGATTATTTATTTTGATATTTCAATTTTTGGATTTGTATGAGGATGTCCTTAATGGGTTTTATGGCCAATAATGCAGACAAAGAATCTCTACTTGAAGTAATTAATTATCGTTTTTATATTTCAATGTTCGGCTGTTCAGTCATGCTCGACATCATCGGTGCAATATCATGATGATGACGGGCTAGTAGTGTTGACAAGCTTCACGTATTCAAAAACAAGTTATAACAAGGAATAAACAAAAGTCCATATTAAAATGTTAAACGTTAGGTTGATTTAAATAAATCGCTTGTTTTGAATAATTTTCAACCACTTATTATTTTTTCCTGAATAAGAAAACTTGAAATGCTATGGTACTTACGGTGTTTTTGAAATTGAGCGGAGTCAGAGGATAGCGTAAGGGGTTTCTTGTGCACGATAAAAAAAGGCGATTTTCCCCTTGAGAATCCTTTCGGAAGAGGGTTGGAAAAACTATTTTATGCTTTATGGATTTTTATGGTCAGGGGAAATCCCGTTATCAGACATCCACCGAGATGAACCTGAACAGAGCCTTACCTCGAGTGTTAATTCGGGAGGTTCCGTTCCTTCTTGCCCTAGTGTATTTTGATTACTTTCTCAATAATTGTTAACGGGCGGATCGAGAAATTCGTTAATCGTATTGAAATTCGAGTTTGGCGAGGGATTTAAGATGTGACTGGCCCGGTTAGGACTTTTCGACTGCCCGAACGGCCTGGAGGCGTTTTTGGACGGTGGCTGGTTAGTATTTCAACTTCGTAAACAAACTGGATTTTAGTTGGAAATGTCAAATGATAAGTGATGATGGCCAGCATCTCGGAGACGACTTCGGATCTGCAGACTCAGCAAGGTAGGCCAGCGTTTATTATTATTATTATTTTTTTTAAATGTGTAACTCTGCTTTTGCACCGTTACTACTTCTATACGTTTCTCTGCCAACAGAGCTCTACTTCCTCATCGCCAAATTCCTTGAGTCAGGTCCATGCAAGAAGACACTTCAGGTCAGTTAGGTTTTATAAAAACTTCAAAAATTTTCTTTCATATTCAAAACTGAACAGCTCATGTGTGCTTCCATAGGTGCTGAAAGAAGAACTGACTGAACACAAGGTGAGGTTAAAATTAGACAAATTCATCTGTTTGTTACACAATAGCATTAAATATTTATATTAAAACGCAATTAGAAACACTCATATTGTGTCATCTTCCATTTTCGCCAGTATTAAGAATATTCTGTCAGAAACTACTTTGATTTCTCAAGTAATTTGATTTGTAAATATTTGATTAAAAAAACAGTCACTCAGGCAATTCAGGAACAATAAATGGATAGATAGCTGAAAAAGGAAGGTGATTTGATCGTCTCTAGTGTCCATACTCTATAATTTTGTTTGTGAGATGTGTTTTAGTGTTTCGCCATCTTCACTGTTGATTCTGGGGATGGTTAGGGGACATTAAAGAAATAAAAATAATGAGATACCCATTATATTTAGTGGTCTATAGACCAAATTATTTCTTTCAATTAATTAATCTTTTTATGTAAGGTTTTGGTTGAAATGAAAAACAGTTAATGCCACGAGAGGGATTCGAACCCATGAGAAATGACAAAAAGGAGGGAAAATTTGAAAGGTTGTGGGTTGAGATGGGAAGTCCGAGTGGATTGAAGTCACGATAGCTCATGTAGTAGAGCAGCGGCGTATTTAGTCGAAGGTCGTGGGTTCGAATCCCGCTCGTGACACTAACTTTTTCATTTCAACCAAAACCTTACATAAAAATATTAATTAATAATGAGATAGTCGTTGCACGAATGAGTGGCACTCTGTTATATTTATGTTTTTACCTGTCCCCCTTGGAGATGCACGGACGTTTTTTCACACATGCAATTGGCAGAAAGAGTGGGAAGAGATCCTTAAGCTTTATTTCAGACAATGAAACCCCAAATCTTCAAAATTCCTCGGTTCCACCGCACACACATGATAAAAAAAAGCGTGCACAGCAATCAACAGGCTAAGACGTAATCACAGAGTTTGTGGGGTTTTTCTATATCGTACTGGAGTTAGGGAAACCCCGTTATGCTCAACTTGTCACGTCCTAAGGACTTAGAACACACGATAATGCACAGCAACAAACATTCTCGCAGAACTGTAACTTTCAATGACATGCACAGAATACAAGATATAGGAGAAGCCATTCAATTACGAATAACTGTTGGCTGTGGAGAAAATTTATAAAGCCCTCCTGAAATAAATGCATGATGTGGAGATGTCAATTTAAATTGAGGAGCGTAATTGTAAAAAAATAATAAATAAGGAAGAAATTAAAGAAGAAGTTATTAAAAAAAAGAAGAAAAAGAAAGCAGAAAAGATAGGGAGCTCTGTCTAATCACTATAATAAAATTATGACCAATTGGTAATAACAAAGGTAAAAAAAAGTATGAGTCTGGTGAGCAATATCAAAAAATGCATTTTTTATGGTTCATTTAATCTTGAAATATGGGGATGAGTTTACGAGATGAAGCTTGAGTTTGACCTTGATTTGTGCCATCCTGGCCTTTCTATTCTTTCTTGTTTTTTCTGTAAGTGTCTTTCGTTGTAGATCTGGTGGTCAGTCAGTATGGAAATGACACATCTTGCCCCAAAAACTGCCAAACAATGCCATCTCTGCTACATTTTACAGTTAGGCTTAAGCATTTGGAAGTGATGATCTTGTAGCTTGGTAACTTTAGTATGCATTTTGGAATGTCAATTTGTTTTTTTGTGTCTGGTGGTCAGGAAAGATAAGACATCCTGTCCAAATCAGTGCCATAGTATGTTATTCACTGTTGGACAAATTTAACACACCATTCAATTTATTTAGTTTAAAATTAAATCCAGTATCTTTTTATACTAGTTAAAGGTTATTAGGAGTTATCGTAGTCAAAATAAACAGTAAATAATACTTTATTTACTTCCTTTGTTTACTTTTGCACTGATTAATCCCATTTGCATTCTGCTATGCCTAAAGTTCCCCAAGCCCCCATAAACTGCTAAACAGTACCCAAGTAAGTCATTCTTACAATTTGGCTTAATGTTACAATAATACTCATTGGTTCACTCGGCTGAGTCCTGTTTTTGCCTACACTGACAGAGTATTCCGAACTTCACTGTCTTGCCTTAAATGAGGCTTGAAAAGAGGGAATTGAACAGTTTGACTACATTTTGAGATAAGTTTTTAAAAATAAATTTCCAAAATTGTTTTATAATTTTTAGTATATATAAACACAATGTTTAATGATTAAACTTATCAGATTGTTATTTTGTAGCTTGGTTTTGTCTGTCATTTTATTCTGCCTACCCTTGCTGTTTTAGTCTGTCAAATGTTTCCAGAATTGCACCAGATCCAACACTGAAGATGACAAAACAGCAAGGACAGATGCACCAAAATGATTACCAAAATACAGTTTCATCACCTCGCATGTCCTAAGAGGATATCTCACAATGAATTGTAATGATATAAAAGATCTTGACAAACGATCTTGAAAAATGAGATATACATAACTGTAAAACAAAAAATGAAGGGTTGAAACAGATAAACTAGTCTAGCCATTTCATATTTGAGTATAAAAAAATCACAATTTTGAATTAGACTTATTTCGGATTTCTTTTTCCAGATCTTGCCAAAGCGACTCGACTGGGAAGGTGAAGAACATGAGCAGTCCTTTGACGAATATGTGAGATTAATATTGTCGCTCGTACTCTGTAAGTAATCTGCATTTGTATTTTATTTTTTTTTTTGTTCAAGGAGAGTAAAAACACACACATTGGCCCATTGCATCTGTACAATATATGCAGGCGCCTTGGCATATTTTTGGACAGGGAAATCAAACCGAGTGTTCCTGGCATTAGGTCCCTTTTGGGTGTAGGGCGACAGTCACTTCTTCGCACTCGAGGTACTGATTTTATATATATATATATATTTTTTTTTTAAATTAGATTGTACACTTTTACATTAGACATAAAAAAAAGAAAATTATAAAAGATGGAAATTTCCTTGTAGAAATGTACATAGTTCAACTAATTATGAATTTTCCAGAAGTCAAAAAGTCATTGCCATTAGTCGGTTTTGTTGCCCGGAGGCATGGACGTGCAATTCAGAGCCCGCTGTATTGCTTACAGCACAACATTGGTAATAATCGTTCCAAAAAAATTACTTCAAAAATAGTGAAATAATCATTTTCATGTATAATTTTTTAAAATTCTAGTGCAAGTCCTGTATGGCAGGGAAACTTCAGGCCCTTTGAGCAGGAAACAAGCGATTGCCCCGAAGTTGTACGCAAGAACTCATCTGCTGAACAGAACACTTGGACACTTGTCAGCGGTTTATTGTTTGCTATTTGACAGGACTGGAAGATACATTATAACTGTGAGTAGTTTATTACCGTTGTACGTATTCTTTACTGTATTTTATACACAACAATCAGGGAGCTGATGATCTGCTGGTTAAAATCTGGAGTGCGATTGATGGAAGGTTGATCAGTACCTTTAGAGGTGCTTCAGCTGAAATTACCGACATAACTGTTAATGTTGAGAACACACTTCTCGCAGCTGGAAGCCTGGATAGAATGATTCGTGTTTGGTGCCTTCAATCTGGATATCCTGTCAGTACAATTAATTATATCTTCAATTTTATTATCAATTATAATTAAATCAACACTTTTATTTTATTTTTAATGTTTTTCAGGTTGCAACATTAACAGGGCATACTGGTACGGTTACTGGAGTTAACTTTTGTCCAAATCCAGTGAACGATGTACATTATCTCGTCTCTACTAGTTCTGATGGTTCTGTAGCTTTTTGGAGTTACTCTGTATTCAGTGATGGAGGAGTAATATTTCAGTGAGTTTTTAAATACATTTTTAAAACAGAATTGCTGTATTAATGTTAACAATTTATTATAGACCTAAGCCAGTTCAGTACCATGAAAAAATGAGACCAGGCCAAGCACAAATGCTGTGTGCGAAATTTTCCGTTGGAGGACTATTTCTTGCTGCAGGCAGTGCTGACCACCACGTGCGAGTTTATTCTATGTTCGGTGAAACACCGCAGAGGTATATGAGATAAATTTTGTATAGTTATGCGAATATACCTTTCATTGCAATTTTCATGTAGGATAATGGAGATGGAAAAGCATACAGATCGTGTTGATAGCATCCAGTGGGCGAATAAAAGTTTGAGGTTCATCTCAGGAAGCAAAGACGGTACAGCCATAATTTGGAATTACCAGGCTCAAAGATGGGTTGCGAAAAGGCTCTTTATGAACACCAACCTTCACAGGTAAACATCAGAATGAATATTTCAAATAAAACATGTTGTTAAAATTGTCCGTTTCAGTCTTAAGCCGACCGAAGAAGAAAGTAAGATGAAACTGAGAGTAACAATGGTTTCGTGGAGTGCCGATGACATTTTTGTAATTACTGCAGTCAACGATTATTCCTTGAAAGTCTGGTCTTCAACTACAGGCGATTTACTTAAGGTGCTCAAAGGGCACAAGGAGGAGGTTTATGTCTTGGAAAATCATCCTTTCGATCCAGTGAGTCCATTATAAGACGTGCATATCCAATGTAAGCTTACATTTCTGATTATGTTTAGGTTTTACTGAGTGCAGCACATGACGGTGTTATAATACTCTGGAATCTACTGAACGGTGAAACATTAGCCATGTACCAAAACCATATAGAAGGTCAGGGAAATGGAGCTGTTTTTGACGCAAGGTGGTCTCCTGATGGAACAATGGTTGCTGCGACAGATTCACACGGTCATCTATTGACTTTTGGCTTGTCACCTATCTCTGACAGATTTAAAGATGTAAGTAAACAAATTGCCCCTAAACTTATCAAATATATAAACATTCTAAAGAAAAAAACACAATTTGAAACTTACCATGTTTGTGTTTCAGCTTCCAAAAGAGTTATTTTTTCATACAGATTACCGTCCATTGGTACGAGATGCTTTAAATAACGTTCTTGACGAACAGACGCAAATCCCTCCACATTTGATGCCTCCTCCGTTTTTAGTCGATATCGATGGCAATCCTTATCCACCGAGGTTACAAAGATTGGTTCCTGGTAGAGAACATTGTTCGGTGGACCAGCTTATCCCTAATATAGTTTTCAATGCTGGAGGTATGTTCTTAGTATTACATAATTAAAAATTATATATAAATCTATTCAATTAGGGCAACAAGAAGTAATTCAAAATGTCTCCGAAACTGTATCAAACATTGATCAGATGATAGAAGAACTGGCAGGAATGGCATCGACGACTTCTCCGAGAACGTCTCATTCTGCTCAAGGAAGTAAGTGCACTGAATTAACAACACTGATATTTGATAATTAATGATATTATTTGTAGTAGTTTTTGGTGGTCCTGGGCTCAGGCTTCGGGGTGACATAGAAGGGGTTCGACAGTCGAGTGGAAATTGGCAAAGGGATGGAATGGATTGGAAACAGGGTGTACTCGTCATGCCCCTCAGCATATGGGCGCTGCGGACAGTGAGGGAAAAAATGTTAGTAATTTTTATACTTAATACATTTTATTTTTGTGTTAGTATCTTCACTTAAGGCAATTTTCTCTGGAAACAATATTTTTATTAAGTTGGTATTGCTTTTTATTTAATTTAAAATTAAATTATCCACCTAAAGTACTTAAGTAAAAATAAAGTAATTCCTGTAATACCCAAATTTATATATGACTCCATACTCTTTTTTGGGTTTGTGGATGGGGGGTAGGATCACTTAACCATAATTTTTTTTTGGGGGGGACTGAGGTGGCTGAGTGATTAGGGTGACCAACTCATGTTTGTCTGGTTTTGAAATTAATTGTAAAATGAATAAGTATTGAAAAGTGGGTCCTCGCTTGTGACACCCAACGGGTAGTTCAGCCCTCATTTTTGATAGGAATTACTTTACTGTTTTTACTTTTAACCATGCTTTTTTTTTCGATATCATATAAAATTGCAAGAGCAATACCAGGATTTGTCCAGGATTCCTACAAAATAAATTAATGCAAGACTAATGTGTTTATATGTACATAAATAGTTTATTAAGTTGATAAATTAACATTCGCAAATATGTGTTGGCCAGTTCACAGTACGCTGAATTGGAGCTTGAAGAGTATACAAGAGAAAGCAAAAGGGTCGCTGAAGTCATTCCTGAAATACCTGCTGCTCCTGTTAACAGGAGAAACCATAGAAGAAACATGCATTCCTACCGCACGAGGGCAGCAAGGGAACAACAGTTACAGGATGATGTAATTATTTGATTTATTCACTCAGTATATTTTTTATATAAATATTGTCTTGTACATTTTTTTAAATTTTATTTTTTTTATATTTTTTTTTTAAGGAGGCTGATGATGGGCAAGTCAGCAGTCCCAGATCTGGAAATACCAGTGATGTGACAGCACATTCTGAAGACATGCTGAGCCCATCTAGTTCTTCAGAATCTTCCAGCACTGAGTATTCTGACTGGGTGGCCGATCATGGCGTTTCTCTTGAACCGCCTCAGCGTAGTAGACGTAGGAGGAAGAGACTGCCACCACCTCCGGTACACGTTCCGACACCGCCAAGGCCGCGGAAAGCACCAGTTCCTTCAACATCGGCAGGCCCATCTACCTCAGCTTCTACCTCTTCTCCCTTAGCTTCTACCTCTTCTCCCTTTAATGCCGTGCCTTCTACTTCAACTGTAATTTTTTTTATTTTCTTTTTTTTACAAAATAAAGAGAAATTACTTTGTCGTTTATTTTCCAGGCTACTCCTGCACTGGTAGAGGTGCCAGATTTATACAGGCCTTCTGAATGGCTATCTGAAGTTATTCCAAAGAAATTTCCTTACTATCCCCAAATGGGAGACGAAGTCATGTTCTTTGCTCAAGGTTATAATGAATACCTCAAAGCTGTCTCCGACAAATCTCTTTATCAGATTGCAGAATCTCAGTACAAACCTTGGGGAAAGCTCATTCTTAAAGTAAGTAGGTTAAAATTAGTTTAAAAATTTATTAATTTCCTTTATTGTTATTTCAGGAACCAGAGTTTGTCAAAATTATTGGTATTAAGTATGAGCTAAGGCCTCCCCGTTTATGCTGTTTACGATTGGCTGTGATAAAAAACAATGGAAGAATTAGCAGTGATAGATTCACAATAAAATATCATGATATACCTGATGTTATTGACTTTTTTGTACTTAAACAAACTTATGATACAGCAATGGAAAGACAATGGAAGCCAGGTTTGTTATTGTATAAATTTATAGGTGCTGATAACTCAACATTGTAAAGTTCTTGTCAAATCATGCACTTATTCTCTTACAATTTGCTGAACAGTCTGTGTTGCAACTGTTTTCAACTTCACATTCTCGTTTTACAGGTGACAGGTTTAGAAGTATGATAGATGATGGTTGGTGGTGGGGCACGATCGAGTCCAACCAGCCTGACGCCGTGTCTGCTTTCCTTTGTCATCGTATAAAGTGGGATAACGGTGAGTCCGAAGGGATGAGCCCATGGGACATGGAACTAGTTGAAGACATTCGTAAGTTTATGTAAAATTTGGAAATTACGTTTTCTTTTTATTGCTCATGCTTCTTCCAACATCTTCCTTCCCTAACTTTCACAAGTGTGGCTACTAGGATCTTTGATGGACACATATTTTAACAGGGGAGCCTGAGCAGTACGGCGGCTCCATTCCTGTCCAGCCGGATGAGCTTTCTGCGATACTGTACCACCCAAGAGGAGACGAATGGCCTGGAGGAGATCGCGATGCAGCTTGTGCACGGATTGTTTCAAGCCTTGAGGAAGTTATGGGATTATCCATTGCTGAGCCATTTATTGCACCAGTCGATATAAACTTGTATCCTAGATATTCATATGTTGTTGAATTTCCTATTGATTTATCTACTATCAAGGTAAATTTTTTTCCAGTTAGTATGATTTATTTATTTATTTTTGTTTGTTAAAGAGATAAACAATTTTAGGCTCGGTTTGAGAATAAATTTTATCGAAGAGTTACTGCTGCCCAGTTTGATATCCGTTATTTAGCAACGAATGCCGAAAAATTTAATGGCCCTCATAATGCTATAGTTAAACATGCACGAATTATTACAGACCTATGCTTGAAGATTTGCAAGTAATTATTTTGCCTAATGTTTAAATAAAAATTAACTGAATTTAATGAGACGAATTTCTATGTTAATGTTTTCAAGGGACTACAATCAAATAGATGTTTCTCACATGTACCGACAGTTGATGGAGTCATACCAAAGTTCTGGCAGTGAGAGTGATGAGTTGAATACGCCATCTACATCAAACAGGGAACGAGCGGCTGCAAGTAGATCGCTCAGGGCGATGAGAAGAGCCAACCACCACCAGCCAGATTGGAGAAGAGACTGCAGGCAACTGCTTGAAGTTTTATGGAACTGCCAAGACGCCGAGCCTTTCAAGTATTTTGCTGCTAGACCATCCTGTTGCATTTTATACAGCCTCTTATTAATTTCAGGCAAGCCGTGGACCGCCTTGAACATCCGGATTATGATAAAATCATTGACTCGCCCATGGATCTCAGTACAATAAGGGAAGAGCTGAGAGGAGATAACTACACATCCCCGCTTGAGTTTTGTAAAGATATCAGGATGATATTTAGCAACTCGAGGAATTTCAATACGAACAAAAGATCAAAAGTGGGTTTTTAAATTTAAGAAAATCTAATTTTCTACCTAATATTTACTTACTTCTTTCTTTTTATTTTCAATAGATCTATGTCATGACAGTGAGGCTTTCAGCAATGGCTGAAGAGCATATGAAAAGGATAATTCAAAATTGGAAAAATTCAAACAAGAGAGTGTGCAGAGGAAAAATTAATTCTAACTTCAATGGTAATTTTATTGTTTTGTTTCTATTCCGAGTAAATGACATTTTTGCTCTAGTTGTTCTGACTTCTGCTCAGAATGATTTTCTTGGACAAATCCACTGATAACTCCTACAAAATTTCACAAAATTTAGGAAATTGACCATTCCATTGTCCGAAAGTATTTAGCAGCAAATGTGTAATTCACTGTAAAATAATGGAAAAGGTAGTTTGAAAATGTCTCTTAAAGAAGGAGGCTACCAAATTTGGTGTTAAAATTTTTTTTTTTGTGTGTGTGGTGTTTAGTGGCCGTTATTTAATGATTATTTGAAGATTGGGAGATGTGGTGTGGTGTGACGTAGGTTTAGAAAAACATTTTCTTTATCGTGCCAACGTTTTGATCTTGAGTGATTTCAACTCAGGGCCTGGGATTTATAAACATGGTTTAAATTATACAAGTACATAAAAGATGTAAAAATGTTTATAAATCCCAGGCCCTGAAGATGATCTCAATAAAGATCGAAACGTTGGCACGATAAAGAAAATGTTTTTCTAAACCTGTCACACCAGACCGCACCTCACGATCTCCAAATAATCATAAGTTAAAACGTTAAAAATACTGAAAAAGGAACATCAGTTCATGCAATTTTTTAAAATGCATTTTTAAACAGTTTATTAACACAGAACAACTTCTAAAATAACTGTTGCATTAAAACTTCTTTCAACAAGTTCACATAAAAGCCGTGATTAAATTCAAACCAATAGTGCTATAATCTGACTATTAATTGATGAGTTATTAAAGGAAAAAGAATCCGAGAATTGGTTGAATTGATAATTAGTTTTAATATGTGCTTTAATTAGTAAAACTACTGTTGTAAAGCTGACGGTAGTTGAGTAGGGTAACAAATTTTTCTCATAGGAGCTCTCTTTTTTTTTTTTTGCATACCATTCTACTTTTTTACATTTTTACACAATATGTTTGCATAAATAGCATATTATTTTTTATGAAATTAATATAGAACAATACCATATATTTTTAGGATTGAGAAGGCGCAGGACAAATCCTGTTTCATACAACGATAATGAGAATTCAAGTTCAGGAGAAGATTCTGATTATTTAGCCACTAGAAGAGGTATAAAAACTAACTGTTAAAGCAACAATTTTATTAATAATTTAATTGTTTTATTACAGTGAATAGTCAAGCACAGAGAATTAAATCAAGTGAGGAAAAGAAAAAAGGAGAATCTTCAAAAATGACAAATGGTCTGGCTATTTTAAAATTTGCAGTTTTTTGATTTTGCTAATCGGGGATTTGATTGTAGGACATTCTTATTCGAAAATTTCCCCAAAAGTGCCTTCCTCCTCCTCCTCCTCCTCCTCTTCTTCTTCTTCTTCAAGTGATGATGAAGAGGATGAAGAAAACGACGATTTGAAAGAACAAGAGGACGAAGTTGCCTCTAATCGGCAAAGTAAGTCATTATAAAAAAGTTTAGGCGTTCTTGTGAAAAAGGAACATCAGTTCATGCAATTTTTGAAAATGCATTTTTAAACAGTTTATTAACACAGAACAACTTCTATTCATTTTAAAATACTAATTTTTTGTTTGTTTTATAGAAATAAAAGAAAACAGAAGACCTCAGAGAATAGTTGTACCTAAAATATCGCATCCGGTCAATGGTAAATCCACAAAAATCATTATTAGCACTGCTGGTAAGTTGTGGCGTATATATTTTGTGTAAATCAGATTTTTTTTTACAATTTATATCTGTAGATTTAGGAAAGAGGAATAGTGGAAATAAAGTCATAAATTATAAGGAAAATGATTCAGGCTCCTCTGATGAAGAAAGCTCAATGGGTAAAGGTGTATATAATTAATGCTAATTAATAAATTGTTTTACAAACTTATATTTTTCCCTCAATAGAAGAGGCTGAAAACAAATCAGATGATGGGGATTCTCCTTCAGACAATTCAAATTCTTCAGATGCTTCATCAGACAGTATGTTAAAGAAATGTAAGTTTTATTTTTTTAATAATCACACACAAACACACCAAAAAATTAATATCAAATAGTATGTTTATATAAATAAGAACCTTTTGTTTTGATACAAATAAATATGAAAGAGTTATTTTGGAATGGGAAAAAGTCACATTTAAACTTTTTTGTGTGTTAATATTCTCGTTATTTAGGTAAGAGAAGAATTCATACGAAATATAATACAAGATCTAAAAAAGGGATAGATTCCCGAAATTTTTCGCCATCGCGGTTGTCATCATGGTCCAAGAATTCGAAGGGAAGTGCAGAGAAAAATAGTAAGTCAAAATAAAAATTCTCAGCTGACACCATTTTAATGTCTATTACATCTCAGTACCTGCACAATTTCCTGGGAATATGTTTTCAAACGAAAACATAAAATAGGACTGATTGTAAATGTTCAATAGATGGTTAAGTTGTAACAAAAGTCGGTGCTTGGTTGATCGAGTTAACAAAACTTTTTACAATACAGCTTCGTATAGGGACATTGTCAGGATGCAAATCACTAAATCTTGTACAATCTACATTTAGCACATTAAGGCTAGGCGGACACATGCAATTTTTATTTGCGCAACAGTTTGGTCCCAGGGGGTTTGTTTGAAAGCGTGCACTAATATGCAACTGTAAAGCTGACCAACTAAACAGTTTGGATTTTTTTCGCAAACTAACGGTTGCACAATTGATGCAAATTCACTTGGATCACAGAGTTAAAGGCAACTGTGCTCACTGCAACAACTAGCCAGCAGATTGGCAAGAAAATCCATTTAGTTTCTTGGTAGGTGATGTAAGCCTGTATCAGACAAACATTCATTTGATATAATAATTTGAAATGAAACCTATGTATCACAGGGGCGATGAGAACAACTCTTACAAACGTATTAGAAACTTTGTTAAACCTACCTCCACTGGATATATTCATAGAAGGAGAGGCTAGGAAAAGCTCACTTAGGCTCCAGAAACAATTAAATTGGAAAGAAATAAACAATTCGGGCATACAGCCATAATCAACAAAATGAGACACCCATTAGAAATATGATCTCGAAAACATTCTTCACAACTTCCTACAAAGTCTCAATGGACTATAAAGGAGAGGAAGAACACGAGAGCATCAGGTACAATGATATGGTACACAGATGGCTCCAAAACAAACGGATCAGGCGTTTTCTGTACAAGCCTAAAACATGAGCAATCAACAAACTCATTAGGGAAGTACACTTCGGTATTTCAAGCAGAAATACATGCCATCAATGCTTGTGTCCTGGAAAATCTTAAAAGAGGTTACACTGACAAAAAAAATCCTCATAAGATCAGATAGCCAAGCAGCTATTAAAGCATTAGCATGTATAAAAGAATCACATCAAAATTATTCAGTGAATGCATCCAAAATCTCCAAAACCTGGGGAAATACAACAACCTGATGATATCTTGGGTGCCAGGGCACAGGGGAATTTTGGGTAACGAGAAAGCAGACAGACTGGCCAGAAGAGGATCTGCAAGACCATACATAGGCCCCGAACCGTTTCTTGGGGTAACAAAAACAAATAATCCTCCATCGCAGAATGGATCCAAGCAAAACAAAAGGAGAAGTGGATAAACTCTAGCAGTGCTAGACATAGTACATTTAAGATGAAACAACCCTCACCGAGACTGGCAAAAACACTGCTGCAATTGGAGAGGGTCAAACTCAGAGGAGTGGTAGGACTACTAACCGGTCACTGGTAACTGAGAAAACATCCACACAACATGGGTATATACAGCGATGATCCCATTTGCAGATTATGTAACGAGGAGGAGGAAACAGCCACTCATATCATCTTCAAATGCGAAGCAACAACTCAATGGAGGTTTAACCTAACATAGGAAAAAAATTTAGGGAATGAAATTGTAGCAGCGGCAGGCAATGACCTGATACTTCTAAGAAGAAGGCTTGAGTCTATTGACTGAACTAAGGAACTAGGAAGGTACAACAAGCTGGAAGGCTGCAGTGCCTGGGGAATACAAACCCCGCTTCCTAGTAACCTTTTCCACCATACCATATACTCTCAATGAAGTCCATGATAACAGTGCAATATATAAGTTGCTTCTGTGCTCACAACCCACAACTCAACTATTTAGTTGCTCAAATGTGTGCAGTTTGTAGATAACAAACAATAATAAACAACTAAAAATTGAATAAGTGCGTCTAGCTTAACTACTTAGGTTGAACTATACTTCTACCTTAAGCCATTCTGTAAGTAGCAAGTCCCTTTGCATATGTGATTCTTCTCAGTAGGGTTGGAGAGTCCAACTAACTTGTTCTTGTTGCTTGCCCCTGTGTCAGGATATGTTCTTTGTGAACAGACCATTTAGTGGTGCTACCAGGATCCTTGATAAAGCACCCGAAAAACCTCGCGAGTCCAAGAAGCTATTACAGTTCTGCTGATTCCTGGGTCTTTAACTCTAGGTCAGTTAATAATCCAATTGATCTTCAGTCCATGATAGCTTCTGGAATTCATGTTTTGACATTCATCCTCAAAATTTACTTAGGCTGTTTTCACGCGACTCATAACGTTAGACAGAATACATGTCTCTTCAATGAACCAGTTGTTTAAACAACTTACAATTACAAACTGAAATATTTCCACACTTGGATAAATACCCCTCAAAAAAAAAAAAAAATAAAAAAAATAAAAAACTGATTATTTGGCAAGTTTCCCTCAAAAATTAATAAAGCAAATATATATCCTAATGATATTCAATTTGTGAATCGTCATTTTAACAGTTCTTTAAATAAATTATTGGGTTGTCCGGAAAATAATGCAGGATTTTGGTATTAAACAAAAAAAAAGAAACTAGTTACTTTAAAGCAATGTTCTTTAATCAAAATAATTTCCCATACTCTCAATACATTTCTCCCAACGTGTTGGTAGCTTATTAATTCCGTCTGAGTAGAATTCAGAATTTTTAGAATTGATAAAGTCAATAAATGCATTTTCCAGTTCCGTTTGATTTTTGAATATTATGTGTTGTAAGTAGTGGTCCAGGTGTCTAAAAAAATGGTAGTCAGTAGGCGAGAGGTCCGGAGAGTAGGGTGGGTGAGGCAAAGTTTCATAGCCAAGCTCCAATAATTTTTGTGACGTTACACGTGACACATGTGGTCGAGCGTTGTCATGCAACAAAATGGGCCCTTTCCGATTGACCAAAGAGGGCTTCATTACTGCCAATTTCTGATGCATGGTATTAATTTGGTTACAGTATGATTCAGCATTGATGGTTTCGCCAGGATTTAAGAAGCTGTAGTGTATTAAACCAAATGAAGCCCACCATACCGTAACCATTACCTTTTTTTGATGAGTTGGGGGCTTTGGAAAATGTATTGGAGCTTCTCCTTTGTCGAGCCACTGTCCAGAACGTCTAGTGTTATCGTAGAGAATCCACTTTTCGTCACATGTAACAATTCTGGCCAGAAATGGGTCATTTTTGTTTCGACAAAGAAGTGATGCACAAACATCAAAGCGCTGATTTTTTTGGCGATCGTTTAATGAGTGTGGAACCCAATTTTCGAGTTTTTTCACTTTTCCAATCGCCTTGAGGTGGTCAGCGACGGTCGTTTTACTGACTTTGAGTTGCTCTGCAAGTTCTCGAACAGTTGTTTTGGGGTTTTCTTCCACCACTGATCGCAGAACATCATCATTAAGAGAGGAAGGCCTTCCACGACCTTCTTCATCTTCAAGGCTGAAATCTCCCTCCCGAAATTTTTTAAACCACCTTTGCACAGTGCACTCATTAACACAACCCTCGCCCCAGACTTGGTTAATGTTTCTAGCCGTTTGGGCTCCGCTTCGGCCGAGTTTAAACTCGTAAAAGAAAATCGTACGAAATTCTCGCTTTGACATTATAAGGATGACTGAATTATTTCCAAGTAGCGGAATGCTACAGAGGTAAACAAACAATATCATTTGGAAGAGGATTAATAATTGTTGACATTCATACAAATGAGTAATCCTGTAAACGTAAACAGAATATTTTATATAGATTTTTTTTAATGAAAACTTAAAATCCTGCATTATTTTCCGGACAACCCAATAGAAAAATGCACTGACTTTTGTTACAACTTATGTAATTTGTTATTTAATGTGTGTAATAAAAGATGCTGTTTAATGTTAGTTGCTAAGTTGGAATTTTTAAAATGTACAATTGGCCATTGAAAGCTAAATGTGACTATGTTCTCCATCAAATCGTGTCACCACATTTTTGTTTGATTATTTAAATATTGCCAAACTTTTAAACCCAAGTTAAAAAATTGTAAATTTAGGTTCAAGTTCAACAGAAATGCTGATCAGTTTTGTCACATGGGACCCATGTTTATATGTATTTCTAATATGCTTATCTCAGTAGTTAGATGTTAGATTTGATAATTGTTTGTATTTAATAATTTTGGTAATTTGATTATGTCTATGTATTACTTTTTACAAATATTTTGTGTCTATTGTGTTATGACTATGAGTAGTTCAAAAAACAGCACAAATTCATGTCGTTTATAAATTCTCCTTAGTTTCCATTGAAACTTTAAAAAGCACAGTTCAAACCAATTTCCATTAACAATTTTAAAAAAATTTTCATGAAGAAAAAATTTATAAAATTATTTTGTTGAATAATTATGTAATATTTGTTTTAGGGGTGATGAATGGGCATGTAAAAGTGTTGAGGCCTGTAACTAGAAATTCAAATACCAAAAATGAATCTGAACCTAAAAATCATCAACCGAGTAAAAAAGATGAATCAGAAGAGGACGAAGATGAGGAAGTTGAAGTGGAAAGCAGCGAAAATGAATCGGGTGAGGATTACAAAGGGAAATTGGAGGAGAGTGGGAGTGAAGTGGGGATGAATGATGAAGACAAAGAATCATCTCCAGTACAAGATGATAAATCTGATAGCAACTATTTCGAAGAGTCGACTTCAGAAGAGTCAAGTGGTGAAGAGTTCAACATTAAAAGCGTAAATAAAAGTAGCAAAGCCCCTAAGGGTAAGAAGAGAGCTCGGGAAAGTGAAACAGACTACGGCAGTGACTGTTCTTGGAAGAATACAAGCTCTAGCAAGATGAAGAATAGAAAACCGACTAGGCCGAGGCGGTCGATCAAAAAGCCTAGTTACGCTGCTGATAGCGAAAGTGAAACGGAAAGACTGAGACCAAAAAGGGTACTAAAGAAAAGACGTTTTTCAGAAGATAGCGAAGAAAATTCCAATAGCTCTCGAGGAAAACCGAAAATCAGTATCAGCAGCCGTGGTCGTATCAGAAAGATAACAGCTCGAGCAAGGGCTTTCCTCAGGGATTGATATAAAAGTAAAAAATAAAAAAAAACTTCACAGACTGACCAAATCGACGTTCAATTATAGGTCGAACATTTTTTGTAACAATGGAACAAATTGAATTTTCACTAGCTCATCTAGTCCCAATATAATTGAATTTGACCAATTTAAGCATGGTTAATGGCATTGAGTCATTGGTTGTGGTCAATGTGTAAAAATGTATAGATGTACACATGTAATCTTTCAATGTACATAAAATCAAATTTGGGAAATTTAATGCCAAAAGTATTTTTTTGAATTGTATATATTACTTTAAATATAAACTTTTTATACACTTGTATCTTATTACTGCTTACTATCATTATCAAAATTCATCTAATTTGGTAAATTAAAATTAAGCTTATAAGAAATTACAGTTAATTTTGTATCTGTCCATCGTTTGAGGTAAGCTTTATTATTAATATAAGTTTATAATTAATTAAAACTATAACTCTTCAATTTATGGATCAAGTCATCCTGTATAACAGGGAATTAAAAAAAAAACAAAAAAAAAAAAACGGTACTTCATGCTGGTAAGAGATTAAATTTCAGAATTACAATAAAAGTCCTTATATACAGGGTGAATTGCTACTCGTGCTACAAACTTCTCCAGTAGATTCTTCACCCTAAAATGAACAAAAAAGTTCATATTGTCCATGGTCCGATTCTCAACCATTTCAGAGTAATTTCGCTTTTTATCGATTTTGAAAGATATCACGTCCTGGCGTCGGAAAATCGTGATATCTTTTAATCTAAACATTTCTCTTAAAATCTATAAGCACCGTTGAAATCCCCGTTAATTTTTAGAGAGAATCAAAATCATAATTCCATTGAAATTTTTTAATTTAATTTAATGCCCATTTAGTATGTAATGCTTAAGAAGTTTACAAACAGCTAGAAGGTCAAGGAAGAAAGACCCAAACGTTTTGCCACCTTCATCTTCTTATTGAAAAATTAACGGGGATTTCAACGGTGCTTATAGATTTTAAGAGAAATGTTTAGATTAAAAGATATCACGATTTTCCGACGCCAGGACGTGATATCTTTCAAAATCGATAAAAAGCGAAATTACTCTGAAATGGTTGAGAATCGGACCATGGTCAATATGAACTTTTTTGTTCATTTTAGGGTCAAGAATCTACTGGTGAAGTTTGTAGCACGAGTAGCAAGTCACTCTCAAACATTAGCAATCCTTGAACCACCATTTTTTCTCTTTTTGTCATCAACATCTTGGTCTCACAACCACTAAATAAGAAAATGACGAGTGCGTTGGAAGCGTTATTAAATCAGGTAGTTTTCCTCAAATTTGCTGCCTTCTGAGACTAAAATTAGAAACTCTGGATTACTTTATACACTTTCCGATTTACACAATTTTCCACTCTTTTTGTAGTTCTGGCTGAAATAAAACACAAAAAATTAGCCCAAACATTTTGCCACCGTCATCTTCTTATTGAAAAATTAACGGGAATTTCAACGGTGCTATTAGATTTTCAGAGAAATGTTTAGATTAAAAGATATCACGATTTTCCGACGCCAGGACGTGATATCTTTCAAAATCGATAAAAAGCGAAATTACTCTGAAATGGTTGAGAATCGGACCATGGACAATATGAACTTTTTTGTTCATTTTAGGGTGAAGAATCTACTGGAGAAGTTTGTAGCACGAGTAGCAATTCACCCTGTATATAAAAATTTGTTTATAAAAAAAAGTAGGTAGATAGAAAAAATAAGTACAAGAGTTAAAATTGAAAATTATGAATCTTTATTTTTTTTCTCTTCCCTCCTTTTTTTCAAAGCCTTCAACTTTCTCGTTTGCAATTTATTTATATTCTGCTGCTTAATATGCACCCTGCCCAGTTTTGATCCAAACGGATCCCTTGATATGTTCTTCACTTTCTTGACCTGAAAAAAAGAAAAAATTAATCTCCCAAGATGTGAAAATACAAGTATAGAAAAGATAAGGAAAGTACCTTGAGCTCCTTCGGCTTTTTGCAAGCCAATTTGAACAGGTCCTCAGATGCTAATTTCATCCTCCTTAGGCTGAAGTCAATGGAAGGTCCGATTTCTTCCAATTCAACCCTAGGGAGTCTAGTTCCACTCTTTTTCAACAAAACCCTAAAGAGATTAAAACAAAAAGTTAGTATTGCACATTGTGAAAAGGAAAAAAAAAATCCTTGCCTGTAACTGCGCATAAAAATCTTATTTTCTGATTCAGTAAAGGTCAAAACATGTTCCAATCCTTGTAGACGAACTGATTGCACATTTTCCCTGTGGAACATGTCGACGAAAAGGTTTTTGATTCTCATTAAATTCTCATCTTGAGAGAATTTGGGCCCTGAGAATACCAAACAGGGTTTTAGGCCTACACTAATCTTTTCTGTATCAAAGTCCTTGAGGCCTTTGTATTCATCCACACCAAGCTCGACAATGTCTAAAACTTGATGGTCATACATTCTGCCTGCAAAAAATATATTAATGAACAAATGGCTCAAGACATTAGTTAATAAGGCAAATACCTATGACTAAATTGTTTGGCCTTTTTTTTGAGTGAGAGCCAAAGAAAAATAATGAAGAATCGCTCTTTTTCGATAAAGTCTCAAGAGGCGTGGCGTTATCCAACGGTACAAAATCGTTTTTTCCATTCATCATCACAGCATCAGGCTTTTTCAATTGATACTAGAATATACAAATGCCAATACAATAAAATTCCAATGTAAATAGTTTTCGTTCTAAATTACCAAATCTTTGAGACAACTTAAAAGAGTCTCATTACATTTTCGGCCTCGCAGAAACAAACTCTGCTTGGTGTTCTCTATCAGCTTGGGTTCCTTGTCTATCAACGCCTTTTTTCCTTTGTGAGTCAGCGGCCGCCTAATAATGGTAAAATATGATAATATGCCCATATTAATTATTTCTATTAATTATTCTTTTTATCTAAGGTCTTGGTTGAGATGAAAAATTGTCATGAGAAGGATTTGAACCCACAACCTTCGGCTAAATATGCCAGTGCTCTACCACTTGAGCTATCGTGACCTCGATCCACTCAGACACCAACTCCACATCTCAACCAACAACCTTTAGAATTTTCCCGCTTTTTGCCATTTTTCAAGTGTCGTGTAATCAGGATTCGATTCTCAGTGACTTACGAAGTGGCCACCAATTGTTAATTTTCACTGTACTTCTGTTCATATTAAGTAGTATAATGCCAACTAAGTTACCATCATATAAAATTAGGGAAAGATAAGACATACAAATCTTACTTAAGAAGGAAACGCAACAGAAAGAAATTCAAAGATTAAAAATCACAACAGTTCAAGAGTAACATCCATACTATTACTTAAAAACTCAAAAATATTTTTTTTTAAAGCCACTTGACTGTCAGCAAATAGATCAATGCATGACACATTCAAAGTACGGGCATAAACACATTTCGCGGATGGAAGATTAGTTCTGCAAGTGGAAATGTAAACCATGGCTTGGTAGGCTAAATTATGATAGAATTTCTTGAGCATGAATAAAATGATTATAATCTTCCATCCAAATAGTAAATAAACCAGCACGACGATGAGCGACCGAGGAGTCCATATTCAATGTGTCTAAAGCTGCAGCATATGTAGTGAAGTTGGGACCAGATTTGAACATTAAGTATTCGGTAGTTTTTCTCTGAATCATTTGAATGGGTTTTATAAGAGGCCAAATAAAATCACCATATTCAAGAATACTCCTAACCAAAGACTGATACATTTACTACAAAAAAAGAAAGCATTTTTGTCTTGGCCTGGATACCGCACTGTCATTTTTAAAACGGAACCAGTAAAGAACATATCAAAGTGACAACTAAGAAAATTGATGAATTTCTAAAAGTTCTATTAGTCTCATAAGTATCATTGATCTACAAATAGTCAGGCCTGGTTGATGATGACTGCAAAACACTGGGGATATTATAAAAACAATCGCAGAAAAATTCTATTTTTGGCGTCATCATGTATTTATTTCATTAATGTTGTTTTGATTAACTGTTGTGCATGCATGAAGGTGAAATTAAATACAGATTTTTAGTTTATTTGTCAGAAGTTCAAGTTATAAATTCAATACTCCAAGGGGAATGTAAATAAAAACTTAATGGACAATTAAACCATGCAAAAATATAAATAATATAAAACTTACTGTACTCTTAATTTCAAAGCCATAGTTTCTTTAATAATTAAATATCCAACTTGTCATAAACACCAGACCACCACGTGCTGTCAACAATGTTGAATGTATGATAACCTGTTCACCAACGCCTATCAGTGATCAGTCGATACGGAAGGTTAAAAACCAATTGAATAATTTAATTAATTAAATTAAAAATAAATAAAACCCAACACCTTTTGTTTGTTTTTTAAATTCTAAAATTGGAATTTATTTCGTCCGGGGATAAATGCGAACAAATATTAGGGGGGAAGAAGGTACTTGAAAGTTTGTGTGTGGTGTTTGATACTTGAAAGGTTTAATAATAATAAATGAATAATTGCATAAGATATAGTTTGATTTATAATAAAGCTGAACATTCTTGAATAAAAACAAAATGTTTAAGTTGATTTTTTAAAATATTATGTGTTTGGTGATTTGGAAATTTTCAAAAAATGGAGGGAAGCCATCTGTGAAGAACATAAAAAAAATTAATCTTGTTAAGTATACGGCTGTATAATATACTAAATGATGATTTTTCTATGTTCTTTTTTTCAGTGATTTTTTGTTTGTTATAATAACAAAGATATGTTCCCAATAAGTTGAGGTCAGTTTAGGCCACCTCGAGCTCAACAGCCGCAGTCACAACTCTCAGCCGAAGGTTACTTATTTTGGTAGTCAATCTTCAGATATTATTTTTCGAAGTCTCAAGTTTGGTAGCGGGTTTATTTTCTTTTTTTTTACGAAAGATATGTCACTTGTTAAAAAACCGAGGCGGAACATCAGGGCTCGGGGGTTCACGGAAAGCGAAGAGGCCGAATCCGAACAGACGGAAGAGTGCCACACGTTAATCAGAGACACGAAGCCGAAAAAGGCCGGAAAACACGCACACCAACCGCTGCTGAGCTTCGAAGAGGACTTGAACGAAGGTACGGACTTTAAAAAGAGTTCATGCTTTGTAAAGTTGATTGACCGATTCAATAGTCTTGCTGTTTAATTACGAAGGAAAACAAGACCTGCAGATGATGGCGTGATGCCAAATTGCTACGATAAGAAATATAGTTGGGTTTTGTCCAGTTTTTAAAATTTAGGCCTTATGCTAATTGTCCTACTTTGTTTGAAGTATGGTCGGATCACCATTCCGAAGAATCGATAGGTTGGTGAACAAGATCTATCCCAATGTCCCAAAGTCTTTACGATGCAGGTTCATTTTAAAGAATAAAGGGAAACGAGATTCCCTTCATCCAGAAATTGAACAAATATCTCACCAGAAAGATATCACCACACTTTATGCCCTGAATAAAGGTCGACATTTTGGCAATAAATAAAAAAGGTGTTTTTCCAAAATACTTTATTCCTGACCACTCCTCACAACTTCGATGAATTATTGAACAACTGGTCACTAAAAAACATACAATATTGACATTTTATCTTGAGGTCTGTCAGGTACTGCAGTTAGACCATCGTCAGTAGTAGCTTGGTGAATGACTTCTGTCCCAATGATTATTCGGAAATTATGAGATGCGTTCTGGTGTGATGTAGGTTTCAGAAAAACATTTTCTTTATCGTGCCTACGTTTCGATCTTTATTGAGATTATCTTCAGGGCCTGGGATTTACAAACATTGTTTACATATAACAATTACATTTTGGATGTGGAAAAGTGAATTTATACAATGCAAAAAATATTATTTTATAATCAAAGTATTTTTACTCACTTAAAGTGTTTGTTTTCTGCATAATTGTGCCATTCTTAACCACTGACAGCCTTCCCCATCCCTTAAAAATCCAACATACAATATCTCAAAACAGCAATATCTCACTGGCACTCTCAACACGACACGCAAGAATGGCACAATTACGCAGAAAACAGTAGAAATACTTTGATTGAATATAAAAAATATTTTTTGCATTATATAAATTCACTTTTTCCCACATCCTACATGTATTTGTTAAATTTAAACAATGTTTGTAAATCCCAGGCCCTGTAGATGATCTCAATAAATATCGAAACGTTGACACGATGAAGCGAATGTTTTTCTAAAATCTATGTCACACCTGACCGCATCTCACAATTTCTGAATAATCATCGACTAACAGTCACTAATCACCACACATTTCTATCCCAATGTTTAGAAAGGTGCACAACATTTCAAAGCTTAAATGAAGACCCAAGGCCCTGCTGTCATTCCCTATGGTGTGCACTGTAGGTTTATTTGTACACCTTTAACTAGAATATCCCGAAACAATGTAAGATTTCATCTTGAGGTCTGTGGGTATCTGCAGTTTGACCTTCACCAGTGGTAGCATGGTAAATTAGTTCTTTCCCAATGTTTAGAAAGGTGCACTTTTCCATTTCAAAGAAATGAAGGCCAAAGGCCCTTTGCCATCCCCAATGGTATGCATTGTAAAGTTTATTTGTACACCTCTTATCGGAATACCCCAAAACAATGTGAGTTTTCGTCTTGAGGTCTGTGGAGTAATCGGCCTGTAGTTTGGCCATTTAACCTTCTCAGGACTGATTTTCAGATGATAAAACGCATTCCCAGCCTGATTGTTTTGTTTTATTCATCAAACTTCAAAGCGTTCTTCACTAGGCAGACAAGACGCAAAAAATCAAAAAGGCAAAGGGTATTGAGTAGAAGGTTGGGAAGGGCAAGGGTGAGAGGTAGACAAAAGTAGGACATTCCCAGTGAGACATAGATATTGTGGCCGAATGGTTTTCTAGAGAAAAGGAATGTGCCACAATTATTCAAAGTTTGAGAGAGAGGCCAGATTTTGAACATGAGGATAAAGTAGTGGTTCATTGATGATGGGGACGGGAAAGGGCGGTCTCCATTCATTATCGAGGTTCTCTGCTTCATTGGATACAACCACAACTCAATAGAAGCCGGTAGTACAAGGGCTCCTAAAAGGCAAAAAACCTTAAGTACAAGATCACTCGTCACTGGGCCTGGGAACCTCCAAGCCTGAACAAAACTTCCAGCTTTTGTTTTTACATTTCTTTAATAAAGTAGGCTTGTTTTATTGCTTGTTTCTGCATTAATTGTAAATTCCTGCTATTCCATATAGGCCTTGGTCCCAATTAATTTGGGCTGGTGAGACCACCATATATCACTTTTCAGACTCAAACGATGATAGTATCGACTATTTATTATTATTAGATAGTAAGCTTGTTTTTTTAAAGTCAATTCTAAATAAGAGGTGATCTTAGGTGATAAAAAATAAAAAATATTCTAATGAATTTAAAGCATATTTATTCCTATTGATTTTTGACTGAAATATCTAGAAAACGATTATTCAGAGTTCGTGAGATGTGGTTTTGTGTGACGTAGGCTTTTAGAAAAACATTTTCTTTACCGTGCCAACGTTTCGATCTTTATTGAGATCATCTTCAGTGCTCAAAGTGTTTGTTTTCCGTATAGTTGTGTCATTATTGTCTGTCGTGTAGAGAGGCACGACCTTCAAATAATAAACAAAAATTAAAGTTTTGACTTAAGTTTTGTTAATTATTTGTCAATTTTATTGAAATGTACTGTTTTATTTATATAAATATCTGGTAATATGATTCTGAAAAGTTATATCTCTGGTCACTTAGATATGTTTTAAGTTGTGAATAATGTATCACATTTTCCGACGGCTTGGAAGTTTTATTTGTGTGTTTAATAAAACATTTTTTGCCAGTTATTTAAGTGGTTTTAAATATGAAGACAAACGTGCCCGAATAAACGATAGATCTAAATGTATTTAGATGGTATTTAAAATAGCTTTTTGTTGAAAGTTATGTTTTGTTTAAGAAAGCAATTCGTTATGAAAAAGAGAATACAATAGGTCTATTGGAAAAAAATAGTAAAGGGCAAACATCTTGTTAAAAACTTCTAAAAGTCTTAAGGTCGAAAAGTTGAAAAAGAACGTGAGTCTGGACCCGCTTGACTTTCCTGTCTCGCTGGTCTCGAAATACACCAGACATTTCAAACTCGTTGCTTTCTCTTTAAAATAATAAAAAAGTTTTGGCTGACGTGTGAGAGAAAGAAAGAGAAGGATACAATTTTAACGTTGTAGAAAAAGAAAAAGATAGAAGGAGGGTAAATGCAACGTTTTAGTAAATTTTTTCACTTATATATTTCTCAGTTTAAACTTTAGGAAACCATGTCATATTATATCGTTTGAAAGAGGAACAAAACAAGCCTAATTTGAAATTTATAAACAATTGATATCAGTACTTATTATATTTGTTTGGATTAAAATTTTGAAAGATTTTCAGCGAGGGATGAATCTTTTTTTTAACATAGTATTAAGAGAGTTAATTGTCAAATGGTGTGAGCTTGCGAAGCTTAAGGTAGCCCCCGAAAAGTGCCAAACCCTAATGCTCATTCTTGTGTGTCGTGTTTTGTTGTCAACACGACACACAAGAATGACACATCTACACGGAAAACAAACACTTTGAGCACTGAAGATGATCTCAATAAAGATCGAAACGTTGGCACGATAAAGAAAATGTTCTTCTAAAACCTACGTCACACCAGACTGCATCTCACGATCTCTGAATAATCATTGACTAATAGTCACTAAACACCACACATATCTAGAAAACGTTTTAATTACATTACTGCCAGGTAGTATAATTTGTTTATCATTCTTTCAGGTGATGATGGAGAAGTGTTCAAAGTCAAAAAATCAGCTCAGAGCAAGAAAATCAAAAAGCAGTTGGACAAAGAGAGAAAGAGGAAGAAAGAGAAACCCGATATTAATGCAGATCCGAACAGTGAAAAAAATTTAATTCCTAATGCATTAGATGATGATATTGTGATTAAGCTAAAGAACACATTTGTAAGATACTCTATTATAATGAGCATAAAAAGGATTAATGTTAAATATAAATTATTATTATTTTTAAATAGCCCATTTTAAATGGCAAAGAAGCAGAGGCAGCGGTCCAGGAAGGTATGAGCTCAGATGAGGAAGAGGATAAGAGTGTACATAAGTTTACAAAACGTCCAGATGCTGTGAAACTAATATTGGAGAGTGAGTATAACTTTTTTTATTTTTATTTGTTATTATTAATATATTTGTTATATTAATTAAAAAATATATATTTTAGGAGGTAAAATTCCCGATGCTGCTACAATTCATGCAGCTCGTAAACAGAGGCAGCATGTCAGGGAAATGGGAGAAATTGTACCTGTGCCCGATGAAAGCTCGAGGTATGAATGAATTTTGACTTTTATAAAATTTCGTATTTTAAATGCATTGGTTTTAGATTTGAAAATGCACAGTCGCGTCTAATTAGGGAAGATGACAACGACGTGAGCGACGGGGAAGAGGAGAGAATCAATATGGCTGTGAATCTTGCTGCAGAAGATAGAATAAGACGTAAAGCTGAATTTGAAGCTGCTCAAGAATTAGGTATCTGGACTAATTTCTCTAATTTTCAAATAAGACAGATGTTTATTAATATTGTTTAAAGGATCGGAAGAAAGTGATAAAGGAGAAGAAGAAGAATGGGAAACACAACAGATAAGGAAGGGTGTGACAGGAGCCCAAGTAATATTTTATTTATAAATACAAATTTACTGTTTAAATTAAATGATTGAATTTTTATTAGATTGCTGCAGTTCAGCAGGAAACCTTGTTTTACAATCAGTATTTGGGGTCAGGAGGATCAACTGGAATGTTAGGAGAGAGGGATATTGACAGCAGAGCTGAATTTGGTTCTTCTGCGTTTCCACCTTTACCACCTTCTGGCATAACTGACCCACAAGTCGTTGTGTCCAAATTGAAGGATAGGTAACTTTCACGATAGACAATACACTTTTATTTTAACGCTTGTTTCCCTGGCCATTTCATTTGAGATATATTCCAGATTAACCGATCTCAGAGAAGTGCATAGAAGGCACACTATAGACCGCGACAAGGCTACAGACGAGATCAATACACTGAAAAGGGAATGCGCCGAGTTAAAGGAGAACGCACCAAAACTAGCTGAGAGATTCCGTTTTTACCAAGACTTGCGTGGGTATGTCACTGACTTGGTAGAGTGTCTAGATGAGAAGGTGGGTCTCCTTCATAAACATTAGGCGGGTCATATTTTCACATGATCAAACAAGGCTTTCTTTTTAAAATTTAAATTATGTATATAAAAAATATAGGTAATAAAATCAGTTCAAAACTTTGCAAATTATTGGAGCAATTTAATAAGCGTACTTGTTTGATCGTGTGCCGGCAGGGGCTGTGCTTTGAGATCTTCTCTAAATACCTTCATGAAAATTTACATCTTTAATTAATTTAAAAAGTTTATAAAAAGCCAAAATGTAATTAGTGTCATAGAGATTGATGTCTAATTATATATACATTAATTATCCAGGGCAATCAGTAATAGTATGAACGCCTTTTCGCAGTTGAATATTTTCAGATGAAGTCAATGTTTTCTTAAAAAATGTGTTTGATCTCGAGAAATAATCTTCTGCAATAGCAAAAATTTAATAACTTTATTATAAAAACAAAAAAAGCACAATTTTGTACAATCCATTCCATTGAAAAACACTAAATAACATCGACTAGGCAATACTCAAAAACCTTGATTAACTATTTAATTTGATTGAAATACGGCTACAATGCAGTGATTGTTCTACCCAAGTTTTCATTGTTCTGACAGTCGGAAGGCCAGCTGAACATTTCCTATCAGATCTGCTTATTTCAAACATTTGTCGGCTCCAGCAATTCTAGTACACTTTCTACAGTTGTCAGAAATGATTGCCAGATGTAATAGTTGAAAGGCCTTACAATCATTAAATTATTCCACCTTATTGACAAATTTAAAAAAAAGTTGCTTATATCATTTGAATTAATAGTTCAGAGTATGGAGGAAAATACTCTTTCTACTTGATTATTAAGGTTTTTCTAGCTATGTTTTATTGATTAAAATAAATAACCAACTTGACTCTGTTAAATTTATCGTGTTTTGAAAAAGAGATGCTATACAAAATAACTTCCAATTGTCTAAAAATGCTCTTTTAAACTTGATCTGAATAGACCCCATTTATAACGATGCATTTTATGATTATTCAAATAGATTCAAGTATTGTACTATTTGCATTTTACACCAAGGCTCTTGGTAACTGCAATTGATCAGGTCAATTTAAACTTATGATCCTTACATTGGGGCAATGTATAATTTGTCTTGTTTATAAGTTGTTTTTTTTTGTCGTATAACTAACGCACATTCTCAGACAGTTGAAATGCCGAAAATTATTCTTAATGCTTTCTATAAATTCGAATATTAAATATTTCACATGAGTGTTTTGTTTATCCAAGGAATTTCTTTTTTAACAAAGAAATAAAACTAAAATTGATATTAAGGGTAAGGATCTCAAACATTTATCCCCCCTTTTAATTATAATTATAACACTAACTTTTCTTCATTAGCAATTGCTAAATATTTGTTAAGTTCTACTTGTTCTTGAATACAACAACAGAATAAGTAGAAATTATAAAATACATGATAACTCAAGGTTTTTTTTTATTCTTTTAGATTATGATTGTCGAAATGCTTGAGCAAAGGGTTGAGTCTTTGTTCAGCACGAGAAATGCCGATTATGTAAACAGACGGAGGCATGATGTCATGGACCAATCGCAAGAACATATTCCTTTAGCACAAAGTAAGTAATTTATTTTTTGTTTACATTCTAAATAATACTAGATAAAGAGAAATGAAGAAAATAAAAATATATACAGTTCTAGGCAATTATATTTGCATTTTTTCTTTAGCTGTAGGAGGGAGGTAAGTATTCATTTTTTACTTACTTATCTCTTCGGTTTAATTTATGTTAAAAATTTAACTGCAGTGTTTTACTTTTATTTTATAAAACTGTTTATATGTACTATATGTAAAATATAAGTGTGTGTATTTAATAAAAGCATTGTTGAATAAAAACTGAGGTATTAATTATAATTTTTTTCCTAATTTTAGGAGGTAAAATTGAAAAGGATGAAGCCCAGGTTAGGCGGATAGCGGAAAGAGAAGGCAGGAGGATAAGGAGACAAAGGGCAAGAGAATTAAAAGGGATAGTCACACATGTTGACGGAATGTCAAGTGACGAGGAAATCACCGAAACTGAAATTGTCACCGCAAGGGCTCAAAGAGGTATTTTTCATGAAGATAATTTTACCGAAAATTACAGACAGAATTAATTACTCAATTAATTACTTTTTCACTGTGCGTAGAATCATTCAAACATATATCTACCTAAATAATTTTCAGTTTAGATATATATTGGGTATGTGTATAAGTTTTTTTTTGTGTTTAAAAAAATATCAAACCTTTAAAATATAAATTTATTTTATTTTCCATCAAAATCACAATTTCCTTGGTTTTTTATAACATACTGCCAATGTTCTGGTAGCAGAATCGTATTATTTTTTTATACAGATTTAATTAATTTGTTATTTGATTTAAAAAGGATTTTTTCAAAGTTATTCGAGAATATTTCTGCACAAAGTGAGGATAATGGAGACCACAATGTAACCCTTTCATTTCATAAAATTGATTTTTACATTTATGGTAATTAGGTACTTGGTCATGTGGATAAGGAATGTACAAGAAAAAAAAAAAAAAAAAAAGAAGAAAAATAACGTTTATAAGTTTGCCGAAGTTTCATTTGATTTCACAAAACCTCGGCCTATTTAAAAATCTAGTTTTCTTTTTTCTTTTATGTTCCATATCTACCTGATGGAGCATCGCAATTTTCAAACTTATTTAATCATAACGGTCGTCTACTCAACAAATAATTAAATTTTTTAGAAATTCGTTAATAGAGTTCTCCATAAGTTTTTGTTAATTTAGAGATTGTGAGATGGTGTTACCAGACTGCATCTCACGATCTCCAAGTAATTAATTATTGTCACTTAATACTACACATCAGTTTTTATTTTATTATTATTTTAGTACATTCTTTAATAGGGATATTTGTGAATAAATTAGGTTGAAATTGGTGTGGGTTTTAATTAATTTATTTTAATTTTATTTTGATTTGATTATTGATGTATTTATTTTTTTTATATATTTTTTGTACTCTGGTAGGACAAATTCAGAAATTTATCGCTTGATGAAACACATTATACCTTTCTGATTTGTCTCTTTGCAATGTTTACAAACAAGTTAAACTGTATTTCAAAACACTTTGTTATTTTTATACTTACAGAGGTGATTGAAAAAGACGCCAAACAAGTTTTTGAGGACACTCTTGAAGAGTTTTCTTCGATTCAAGGCGTGCTCGAAAGATTTGAGCAATGGAGAAAGAACGATATGGACGCTTACATAGAAGCCTATGTTAGTTTTTGCCTTCCGAAATTACTTGGACCCTTGATACGTCTTAAATTGCTCTTTTGGAATCCTTTCACCCCGGTAATTTTTATACTCTAATAATATTTATTTTGATACTTTATTGTTTTAAGTTTATTAGTTTTATCATGAATTTTTCTTTCAAGGGTAATAATGATATAGAAAAGACACAGTGGTGTAATAGTTTATTACTTTATGGATTGGATCCTGAAGAGACTGAAGAATCCTTGAAAAAAGATCCAGATATTCAACTTCTTCCAAGGATAGTAGAAAAAATTGTTTTGCCAAAATTAACTCGTAAGTTTTATTATGTACATGTGTTTATTATATTTTATTCCAATTAATTATTCTTTTCATTAAGGTTTTTGGCTGAGATGAAAAGAATAATTAATAGGCCAATTATTACCACTAAACAAATATGGATTATACTTTATATAAGTTTTATTACAAAATAAATTTATTTGTAGAACTGACATCACTATGCTGGGATCCTATGTCCAGTTCACAAACGGTGTCTTTTGTGAGCCTCGTTACAAAACTCATACAGGATTATCCAACGATAACTCATTCATCGAAGTTCTTAACGAATTTAGTCAGCGTCATTATAGAAAAAATGAAGGAAGCTGTAGAAAAAGATATATTCATTCCTATATATCCGAAACAGTAAGCAAGAAAAAAATTATTTCTTATAATAAATTTATATAAACCAAGTATATTTATTTTAGAAAACTATTGGAATCGAAAGTGTTCAGCTTCTTTTCAAGGCAGTGCACTGTTGCAGTAAAGCTCCTAGGCAACATTGTCCGATGGCAGGGTATTTTGAGCGATACAGCTTTGTCCGAGATAGCTTTAAACTCATTGCTGAACCGATACCTGCTATCTGCGATGAGGATCTGTCAGCCGATTCAAGCCGCAAATCTTTGCCAAATGGTAAATGATCGTAGTTTCCCCTTTTTGACAATTTTTAACAATCATACTGATTGTATTACAGATTGGAAATATTCTACCGCGCGTCTGGCTCCAAGTTTGTGTTCATCCACCGCAGCTCTTACCATTTTTGAATGAAGCCCATGCAATTGCTAGGCAATTAGACATTGATAAACCTATCGAAAGGTATGTTTTTTATATTCATTTAAATTTAAAAAATTCAAAGTTTTATGTATATTTGGAGCTGACGGGTTTTACAGCAGATGTCAAATTTTTGTGCAATACTAAGCAGAACCAAATATACTAAAACTATCATTAGAACCATATTGTATAAGGTGTGTGCATAAGTTTTTTCAAATTTAACCTTCACTTTATAAAGGCGATCCATTATTACCTGCTTGCCCCATTACCTCTAGGGTATTGAATGAAATTGTTAATAAAGGGGTAGTTGATCTCAAAATTCAGCCCAGCATAAACTGCAATGTGTTCAACATAAAAACAGATAAACCTCATTTGAGGTCGATCCTGGGCATAAAGTGACAGTTGCCTGTTGAAGTTTGTATGGAATTTACGGTGATGTAGTAACTGAACTGAGTCAGCAGTGGTTTAGAATTTTTTTGTAATGGGGAGAGACAAATGAAAGACCAGCCTTGTTTTGGAATGCTTAACTAGCTCAAAAGCGAGACTTATTACTGGAGATGATGTCAAATTAACCATTGCAGAGCTATCAGACAGATTTCAGGTACATTGCACAACAACAGCAGAAAGAAGAAGTTCACCATTTTTTCACGGTTTGTTGAACTTTTGGGGTGGAACTCCATTATCAAAGGTTGAATATCAATAAAGCCTTTAGTTCCGAATGTTTATTACTTACTACTTATAAACAGTCGAATGCTATATTGACACTCAACCTTTGTTGTGAAACTTGATTGAATTGTCCTTCAAGACCAAGGAGGACCGTATGGCTTGGTGCGTTTCACACTTGAGTTTTTCAGAGTAAAATTGCCAACATTTTCTTTATCGTGCCAATGTTTAGATTTTTATTGAGATAATCTTCAGAGCCTGGAATTTATAAACATTGTTTAAATTGTACAAATACATTATACATGTATATAAATCCCAGGATCATCTTATCTTAATAAAGATCGAAACGTTGGCACGATAAAGAAAATGTTTTTCTAAATCTACGTCACACCAGACCGCATCTCACGATCTCCAAATAATCATTATTATTTTTATTGAGTTTTTATTCATCACCATGGAGACAGTCTCCATAAAAATTTAAACTAATATTGTAAGTTGAAGTTCATGGTATTAGATAGTAGTTTATCAGTATTTATTGTATAGTTGTTAAAATATTGGAAATATGAATGGTTGTAGTTTTCAACCTTGAGTTCCAAATTTTTCAAATTTATAGCCTGACCCACTGGAACCTACTCAAAGTGTCATAAAACATCAATTTTATCTCTAAAATTTTTATCACAGTTCAACAAATTAAAATCAAAAATATAAATTCTTGATAGGGTCGATGAACAGTTGTAATTTTAATGATCAGAGAAAAATATATGAAATATTATATATATAGATATATATGCGTTATAAAATTAGTATTTAAAAAAAATTAATTAAACGAATTTGATTTCAGAGATGCCATGGAGAGGATGAGCGGAGTACTTAAAGCTGCAGCTTTGTTAAAAAACAATAATTGAGAATTTAAAAAAATATATATATTTATTGTTTGATGTTAACCATTGTATACTTTGTACAGATGTTTAAATTTGAAGGCCGACTTTTTATATATATAATAACATTGACTGTAAATCTTTTTTTTGTGTAAATTATCGCTCGTATCAACAAGTTTTTAGTACAAATGGCGGTTTAAGTTGATTTGTGATTTTATTTTCCAATCTGACGATTAAATTATTTATACAAGCATACAATTTTCTCAAGTTTCATTATCGAACAGTTTGGAATAAACTGTTTGCGGCTTTGGTGTGTTTCATCCCTCAACTATACCTTAATTTAAATTTTTCCTCTTGTGCAATTTTTTTACATGGTTGGAGTATAATTTTAATTTATTATACTTTTTATATATATATAATAAAATTGAATGTAAATTTTTTTTGAAAATGATCACTCTTATCAAATTTTTAGTACAAATAGTAGTTTAAGTTGACTTGTGAACTTATTTTCCCAATGTGACTATTAAATTATTTACCCAAGCGTACAATTTTCTCAGTTTTCATTGAAGAGTAGTTTGGAATAAACTGTTTACAGTTTTGGTGTGTTTCATCCCTGATCTATACCTTAATTTAAATTTCCTTTTATGCAATTTTTGTACAATAAATGGTTTGAATTATTTTAATTAATTCGATTTTTTTAATCTAAATTCTTGGTTGAGATGGGGAAGCTAGTGCCATGAGCAGGATTCGAACCCTCAACCTTTGGCTCAATAGCCGCTGCTGTAACCATTTTGTTGGGCTATTTTCTACTAGCTCTACTTGTACTAAATACATATATGGTTTGAATTTTATTTGATTAAAAATGTTTCATAGTTCTAATTTGCCTCGTTGAATACAGTGAAATGTGTTGGATGAGTTGATTTAACGTATTGACGATTAAATTTTTGTTTTTGATCTGAAGCACTACTAAACTTTGCATTTGTAGTGCCTTGAGGTATGAATTTTTGTTTGCTTTGATGGGAAGTATGATGAGTGGAAATATGCTGAATATGTCTGATTAACTTAGTCTTAGATTTAGTAACAGTTTCAAGGGAAATGAGGACAGTAAAAAAGGATAAGCGTAGAATTTCAGTTCTGATTTGTTTTTATTTTTTAAACATTGACGTACTTAACGCCTGGTGAGGGTGAAAATTCTAAATAAACTTTAACAAAGGGCAACCCACCCCCGAAGGTGGGCGACGTCAGCTACTTCTCCCCCACTCACTGTGGCCACCATAGAAAAAAACGCTAACCTGCTTCGTTGGAGAAGGAGAAAGGAGATTAGGAGAAGGGCCGGAGACCGGAGTCGTCGAGAACCCTTTCTGCCCAGGCGAGAAGCACGTCCGACAAACGGCCGACTCTTCATTGCCCGCCGGCGAGCCTGCCAGGATCCGTGGCATGTGAATTGGCGACCGGCGACCCCGGAGACGAACGCCCCTGATTGTATTTTATGACGGAATAATCGACACAACCGAGAGGTAGATCGTTATTTCATCAATTTCGTTTAATTACATTGAGTTTCATTGTTATAAATAATAAAATCATGTCCGTTACAAAAAACAAACATGAATAAACTACTAACTAAAAAAATAGTCAATACAGTCAAACTCAATTGACTAGTTTCTTTGACAGGAAGATTCTCTTCTTCCACGATTAATTCTATTAGCCCTACACTAACAGAAATGTTTTCATTATATAAAAATAGAACTTTCCTTGGGTCAAATCATTGTTTACCATAACAATTATAATTCAACTGGCAGGCCATAAAAGCAAAATTTGCAGATTCTGAAAGTCGTCAGAATAATGAAGTTTTGGATATTTTCATCTTTGACCAAAAAAGTTCTAGAAAAAAAAAACAATATTTTATTACCATATCATAATCCACATTTCAATTATTCGACTAGCCTGTGATATGAGTATATTTTTATAATGAATTTATAACTAAGAGGCAAAAAAGGCTCTTAACTCTCTTTCATTTTTGTAAATACCTTCAAACCTTATAATTTTTATTTTTTGTTGTTTACTGGATATTAAAAAAAACAACAAAAAACAGTAAAACAATTTTAGCAAAAATATTTGGAGATCGTGAGATGCGGTCTGATATGACGTAGGCTTAGAAAAACATTTTCTTTATCTTGCCAACGTTTCGATCTTTATTGAGATCATCTTCAGGGCCTGGGATTTACAAACATTTTTTAAATTATACAATACATGTAGGATGTGAAGAAAAGGAATTTATACAAAGTTAGAAATTTTAGACAATCAAAATATTTGTACTCGCTCAGTGTTTGTTTTGTGTGTAGATGTGTCATTATTATGTTGTGTTGAGAGTGCTAGTGAGATATTGATTTTTATATTTATATATGTTGGTATTTGAAGGGCTGGGGAAGGAAGTCGCGATAGAAAAACATTTTTATATGAGGAGTCGGCTTCTTTGAGGTGAAAAGAGCTGACAGTGGGGAAAAATGGGTAGTGGTTCGGCCTGATTATTCTTTCAGGATAATTGGAGAAAGGAAAGCCAAATTGTTGAAGAAACTAAAAATGTCGCTGTGTAAACAATGAAGAAAATATTCAATCAAGTACGGAGTATTTCCTTGTCTTGCATGGATCACCGATTGCTTTCGACGTCGCATCGATTTTATGAGGTTTTGAATATAGAGCTGTGTAATATATTCATACTCATCGAACCTCGCCATTCTTAATTCCTGCAAATTCTTTGGCTACGCTTGGCAACTTTTTACCCCTATTTGACAACTCAAAGGTGTTCGATAGGGTTTAAGTCGGACTACATGCTAGACTCCAAACATTGAATTGAAGCCCGTTCAAAGTAGACACCAAAATCCTAGCCACATGGGGCCTTGCATAGTGATGCATAAAAATAAAACTGTCATCATTTAGTGGCATACAAGGAACAACTTCTTCTGAAAACACATCTTCAATGTATCGCAGCTGTTAGGGATGAAGATAAATATTCAGATATCACAAGATGCGGTCTGGTCTGCATCTCACGATATCTGAATAATTATCGATTAACGGTCACTAATCACCACAGATGAAGATAAAGTTTGTGCGACCTTCCATTGAAAGGCCAGCACAAACCATATCATCAACACCTCCATAGCTTCTCTGGAGGGAAATTTTGTGGGGATATTGCACTCCTGTTCTTCTCCATACCTCTCTCGGCAATCAGAAGACCTCAAACAAAACCTTGACTCATCCGAAAACAAGATTTTAATCCAATCTTCCTCATATCAATTGATGTAATTTCTTACAAAAACCGAGCTGTTCTCTTCCTGATTTTCTGAACCAGTGGCAGGCCTTCTTATATGTAATCCACTTTCGCCTTACAGTGTGTGCACTGATATTAACATTTCTAACTTGTTGAAATCATTGCTTGATCTCAGCAGTGATAGAATGTCGATTTTGGAGTACATTCAAAATAATAAAATGATAATCTCTCTGAAATGTGACACGATAGCCTCCTAATCCATGCCTTTGAGCAACCTCCAGTATCTTGGTGGTGATGGAAGACCCTTTGGAGAGTTATTTTAAGAATGTTAAGCACCCTGGCCACATACGTTTGTCTTCTAACTTCCAACAATGTTGAACTCTAGCTTCTGAGATTCTAGTTGAATCTGTATCACTTAAAACCATCTCTCAAACAAATTTGACCCTTAGTATGGTGATAAGGATACTAGGATGCAGGGTTTGTACTCCCCAGGCACTGCAGCCTTTTGGCTTATTGTACCTTCCTAGTTTCCTAGTTCAGTGCAATAGACTCTATCCTTCTCCTTAGAAGTATCAGGTCATTGGTTATCGCTGCTACAATTTCATTCCCTAAGTTTTTTCATATGTTAGGTTGGATCTCCATTGAGCCGTCGCTTCGCATTCGAAGATGATATAGGTGGTTGTTTCCTCCTCCTCTTTCTGCAGATAGGATCTTCATTGTATATGCCCATGTTGTGTAGATGTTTTCTCAGATGCCAGTGACCGGTTAGTAGTCCTATCGCAACTCTGAGTTTAGCCCTCTCCAGTTGCAGCAGTGATCTTGCCAGTATTGGTGAGGGTTCATCATAAGTTGAATGAAGTTGTATGTATAGCACCGCTAGAGTTTATCCACTTCTCCTTTTATTTTGTTTGGATCCATTCTGCGATGGAGGATTCTATATTTGTTTTTGTTATTCCAAGTATAGGTTCGGGGCCTATGTATATCCTCCTCTGGCCAGACTGTCTGCTTTCTCGTTACCCAAAATTCCCCTATGCCCTGGCACCCAAGATATCATCAGGTTGTTGCGTTTACCCAGGTTTTGGAGATTTTGGATGCATTCACTGACTAATTTTGATGTGATTCTTTTACATGCTAATGCTTTAATGGCTGCTTGGCTATCAGATCTTATGAGGATTGTTTTCCCAGTGTAACCTCTTTTAAGATTTTCCAGGGCACAAGCATTGAGGACATGTATTTCTGCTTGAAAGACCGAAGTTTACTTCCCTAATGAGTTTGATTGCTCAAGTTTTGGTCTTGTCCAGAAAACGCCCGATCCGGTTCCTTCGTTTGTTTTGGAGCCATCTGTATACCGTAACATTGTATCTGATGCTCTCCTGTGTTCTTCCTCTCCTTTATTGTCCATTGAGACTTTGTTGGATGTTGTGAAGATTGTTTCCGGAATCATATAGTCAGAATCTGTATCACTCAAAACCACCATCTCTCAAACCAATTTGACCCATAAAAATGGTACAATTTAAGAAAACCCAACCATTGGAACATTAGAAAAGTGTCTTTACAGAAAAACCAACAAAGAAGAGAAAGACTATTTCAAATATTTATTTACAAAATCCAATTGTAAACCTAAGGAGATTTTATCTGTGTTTTTTACCCCTAATCCTTTACAACGAACCAAAGATTGTCAGAGGCAATTAAAAATATTAAGTTTGACCACTTTTTTCCTGCAGTATACATAAGATACGTTTGATAGCATTCAATTTTATAATTTTGAAGCATTGACCGAAGAATTATTTGTGGATAACAAATGCATCAGAACCTGTTTTTACTTTCATCTTACCAGGGGATGGATATTGGATTTGGACCAAATTGTTTTTCTAATTCTACACTCCAAAAAATATCAGATACTTCGCCACTTCTAGTGAATAGGCCCTGGTTTCACCCCTCCAAAAAAAGTAAATAAAAAAATAAAATAAAAAAAATTGAAAGTTGAAATTTTTTGTTTCGCCTGCTTGCTTGGTTTGCTCATATCAACTATGTGAATATATCATTTTACAGCATTTTTTAAATGTATATTGCAATAAAAATATATTAAAAGCTATCAAAGTTTTATCAATAATGAAAAAAAAATTTAAAACCAAATATTTTTCAGGTATACTAGGTCATAATTTTTTTCTTGAAATTAATATTATTTTATTTTACCACCTCTAGAGACCCTAAATATCCATTTTTGTTTGCATTTAAATTTATTGATTTTTTGAACCCCAAATTTTTTCCCATTTTTGACAAGTTATCAGAATATCTGATGGAAACGGCTATAAATCAAAAACGGCTGCTAGTATTTTAACAACAAACATATCTAAAAGAAAGGAACATAGCTTTTTAACACTCTATGTACCATTAAAGTATGCATAAAAATTTCTATAAGAAAATACACAAAATAGCAAAATTATTTGTCAGAAATTAACCTCGTTTTTAACTGGGAATAATACTCCGGTTTTAATATTTTATACATTTATAAAATAAACTTTACAATTTCTTTAAAACAAATTATTAACCATGAAAATTGATCCACTAGCTTAAAAAAAAAAAAAAAAAAAAAAAAAATGATAGTGCTTTTCACAAGGAATGTCAGTTAGACAGACAGGTCATTGAATTTATTAGTCAAAAAATTAATTTACTGTGATTTCTGCGAAATTCTGTATCTAAGGGTTTTATAAAATCATGGCATTGAGGTCAAATCAAAAGTTTTGACCATTTTCCGACCTATTTGCTTATAGAATGTTTGTTGAAATATGCACAAAAACCGTATATTGTTGGTTTATCTTTTTAAACCATACCAAATTAGAATTTTCTGCATTGTGGAACATTTTTGATTTTATGCTAACCAACAATGAAATTAATACACCAAAAATACTTTTTCTAAACCAGTAAATATTGATCAAGTAAGGTTGTTTACTTGATCGATATTTATTGATTTAAAAGAAATATTTGGTTTTTGGAAATTTTTTGGTTATTTATAAACTTTGATAGCTATGACTTATGATATAACTGTATGATAAGAAAGGACTGTTTCTCTTTAAGGTAGGATATTATTTGGGGTTAAGGTTCATATTAAATTAATTATTGATTTAATTAATTTAATATTATAGAGGCCAAAAAGGAGTAAAAGGTTTTATAAATTTAAAAGTCAGAGGGCCAATTAAAATTGACAAAGCCCACAGATAATGCCTTCACCTCTTCAATAAAATATGGGGCGCAATTCTTGTTAATTGAAAAATTTACAAGAAACGATGATAAAAATGAGCACCTCAACTTGAAGTAGTGGGGTGCAGCCAGGAATGAAGTATTTTAAAAAACACTTTTTTCATTTTTTTGCCAATGTTTTGACTTTTATTCGGATCAACTTCAGGTTCTGGACACAATTCAAAAACACATGTTGATTGGAAAAATAATTATAGAATAAAGAAGTAAAGTAATTGATATAAATGTCGAACCAAATATTTCATACTCACACAATTCTAATAAAGTCTTGAATTCATTTCCTTTTGACAGACATTTTGGTATAATTGTTATCAATCAGAACAGATCACGGATATTTAATAAGTACAACACTGTAAGAAAACAAAAACAATTCCTTTGTTGTCTATATTTACCTAATATAGTGTAAATGTTTTAAAGGGTAATGGAAGAAGGCCATATGAGTGTAGATTCTGATGATGGCGAGATAATAATTAACGAGGTGGATGGTTTGCCAAATCTCCATCCAAATTACGAAGGAATAGGACTCACTGGTTGCAATTCGCAGAAGAATTCAAACTGCATCGAGGAGTTGGTCAGCGATGAGGACCTTCCAACGTCACTCATTGTGACCAACCTCGACAAGGTTCTTTTCAAGAGTGATGAATTGAAGGTATATTTCTTATTTCTTCGTTCTTTTTAGTTTGTATTTTTATTTACAATTTAATATTGCAGAAACAAGTTGAATTATTATTTGCTCAATTTGGTGAGCCAGTTTCTTTTCAATACTTCCGAAGCTTCAATAGAATGAGAGTGAACTACTCCTGTCCTGCTGCAGCTGCCAAAGCCAGAATTCAGCTTCATCAAACGATGTTTCTGAACACAGTGATAAATTGTTACTTTGCTCAGGTATTGTGTTTTATAATTTAAATAATTTCTAGAGAAATTAGACTATGGTTTTGGACTTTGTTATTTAGCCTGTCACTCCAGTCGATAGTGCTGATCAACATTTGCAACCACCTGCCCCTGTAAAGCAATTTTTGATCTCCCCACCAGCATCTCCACCTGTCGGCTGGGAACCGAGGGACGAGTCAGAACCGCTTGTCAACTATGACTTGCTTGCGGCGATTGCTAATTTGACACCAGGTGAGATAGTAAATCGCAGATTCTAAATCAAACATTATCTAATTTTAATTGTTTTTTTTTCCTCAGGCGGATCACATGAAATACATGCCCCATCAGACAATCAGCCGGGCATTGTTGTACATGTCTGTGAAGAAAAATTATCCAACACTGATGGAAAGCCTCGTATCATCCACACGAGGTGCCCACAACATAATTGAATATTTTTGTTTATGAAGGGGAACATTAATTTTAATACAATAGAAACTTGAAAGGTTAGTAGAAAAACAATGGTAATGGAAATTTCATACCTCATACACTTTAGAACGTATTACTTAAATATGTATATTATATAATTTTAAAACAAATATGTGTAAACAAGTATAGTTCTAGAGCTTATACTAAAATTTCGTTTACACAACAATTTAAAACAACTAATTATAACAAAACATGGCTATACTATTTTTTAAAATAAGTAAAACAAACTTTATTATTCTCCATAAAGATGTTTGACTTATTGATTCAATTTATATATGTTATTTATGTAATCACAATTTTAAGTGTTTTATTCTTAGCACATAGCAATTTTTTAAGAAAACTCTTGGTGTGGTTTTTAAATGTTCTTGTTTTCATCCTCAAAAGTGTTTACCCTTTAAGTATTACAAAATATGACTAGATGTGTAAAAATCATTAAACCAGACTCAAGAAACCAAAATTGAACTACTATGTTTATTATCTATCATGATCATCTAATAAATAATTATCATCTTAATTAAAATTTAATTTTTTGTTTATAAATAACAGAGAATATTTACTTTTTTTAATGAACTTAATAGTTTCCTTTCTCTTCAACAAAAACATCCAAAAAGTCTTTAATATTTTACAAACTGTGGAAAATATTTGTAAATATGATAATTTAACTTACCACTGGGTTAAGTATGTATATATTTTTGTATCGACTATAAAGATACCTATTTAAGATCTTTTAATTTGTTGTTACCATTCTTATTTTCTCTCTTTAGTTTAAAATTGTAAATAAAAATATTTATTGTTAACTGTTTTTTACTCATCCTTTTTTTTGTATATTAATTATAGAAATTAATAGATACCTGCATTTCAATATGGGATGGTTTTTTTTCTATTGTTTTGTCTTATCATGTTAATGTATGTTAAATACCAAAACATTTCAGAAATAATAAGGCGATTTGAACCATATAGATGAGATTATGAAGAAAAAAATAGTAATTTGCTAAACTGAAAATCAACGAAGATTAGGTTATTGCTACATTTCAAGAAATGAGACAGATACGTACTATACACTAATAGTTAGCAGGTTAATTATTTGGTTACGGCCAAATCCTTCAGTCCATGTGGTGTTTACATTTCAGTCTTCTGAGGTGACAAGGGCCTTTGGTCTGTATGGATGAAATCAGGGGATTTGGGATAGGCATTGTTTTTTTTTTCTACCAGGACCTAAACCGTCTTTAATTTGAGGTCTTGGTGCAGAGCTGAGTTTTTCACGTACCATGGCGATGCATTTACTGGGCGACTATTTTGTGTAACTTCGACTCTATTGTGTTGTGAGTTGCATGCGAAACACGATATTTTAAATTTATAAAGCCAGATGACTTGTCTTCAGGTGTAGACACAGACTTGAGTATTGAGTTTAGTTGGGTCTGGTTGAGACTGCTGTTTTGGTGATATGATTCTTCCATGTTAGTCTTGATTTAAAGGATAACCCTAAATATATGACGTAGTCTGCAAGGAATTCGTGAACCTGCTAGTGTTATAGGTGAGATTAACTAGTTCTGCTGGTACGGAAGTGAGGGACAACTATAGATGATTTGCTGACATTACTCTCGATTCTCCATTTGCTGGTTCATTGATCTATAATGTCCATAGACACTTGGTCTATGAATGATACTTCTTCCCTTGAAAAAATGCCACTTGCAAGAACTGTGGCGTCTTAGTATTTGCTGTGTGAGAGTGAATGTAATCGAAGAAGTGGCAATGAGCAAAGGTCTAGTCTTTAGCTACAATTAAAAAATGAGGCATGTTCTTTTATTTTGGTTTCCTAAATTTTAAATATTTTTTACTTATTAGTAGAGTACATAGTTATGGTTTGGGTAATCCAATGAAAAATCTGCTTACTATTTATATTTGTTATTTGATATGTTTTGAAGGACAACTTCCTTCATTCTGAAATTTTTTATTGTACTTTAGCAATACTAATTTTCGGGGTGTTGGTGACGTTGACCATCTCTGTAAGGTAAAGGTCCCAGGTTCGAATCCAACAGCCCTGCATTTGAAACCTTACAAATGTTTTTTTCCCTCAAAAACACCGGCACCCTGAGGGTTTATATGACCACTGCTGTAGCAAACCCTCACTTAAAAAAAAACAACCTATTTTTTTTACCTTCTTCCTCTTCTGCTTCCTCAGTATTTTTTACTACTACTTAACTTTTAATTTTTTTTAAAACATGTAATGCACGGGCAAAGAGAGTTGGTGTACTATAGTGTAATAACCTGTACACCTCCACCTCACAATAATAAAATAATAAAAATGACAATGTTTCATAAATTTAAATTCTTATATATTCAGTAATTAATGTAGAACAATCAAATTTATCCCAATATAAGACGGCAAAGAACAACATTGATTTATAGTAGTCAAATTACACGTTTATCACCCTGCACACTGAATATGTAATGTACTTACAAAAAAATAAATAAATAAATAAATAAATAAAGATATACATAGCGCATAAACAAATTGGTGTTTTATTTCAACAAAACGAACAACTTATATTGAAAATTTTTTACTACCAAACTATTAATACATGAAAATATTTATATAAACAAGTTTAATATAAAAAGCCAAATATGTATCTTTAAAAGTAACTAAACATGACTATAATTTTATGAAGTTTAGATTATTTATTATTTAAATTATGTAGCATATGATACTTAACAGTTTCATAATTTATAAATAGCAATTCTTAAAAGCAATTGAACGATAGAATATAATAGAAAAAATAATATAATAGAACAACAATATAATAGAAACAATAATAAATATGATTATTCAGAGATCGTGAGATGTGGTCTGGTGTGACGAAGGTTTTAGAAAAACATTTTCTTTATCGTGCCAACGTTTCGATCTTTATTGAGATCATCTTCAGGGCCTGGGATTTACAAACGTTTACATTTAACAAATACATGTAGGATGTGGAAAAAAGTGAATTTATACAATGCAAAAAAATATAGTTTTTATATTCAATCAAAGTATTTCTACTCACTCAAAGTGTTTGTTTTCTGCGTAATTGTGCCATTCTTGTGTGTTGTGTTGAGAATGCCAGTGACGAAACAAGAATGGCACAATTACGCAACAAACACTTTGAGTGAATAGAAATACTTTGATTGAATATAAAAAATATTTTTTTGCATTGTATAAATTCACTTTTTTTCCTACATCCTACATGTATTTGTTAAATTTAAACAATGTTTGTAAATCCCAGGCTCTGAAGATGATCTCAATAAAGATCGAAACGTTGGCACGATAAAGAAAATGTTTTTCTAAAACCTACGTCACACCAGACCGCATCTCACGAACTCTGAATAATCATAAAACAATATAATAGAAAACAAATTATCCTGGAGATGGCCAAACAGCACTTGAAGTTCGCACCCTTTCTGTGGTATGCTTGCCAAACATGTTTCTGAGGTTGGGTGTTTTGCTCGGCATAGCAAAATATTGAGTCAACTCCCCTTGGGATATTGCTTGTTGATATTTTATGTCAGATAACAGATTCTCCCCTTAAAATAATGGTTTAATTAGGTAATACAAATATTTAAAATAATTAATAAACTAATCCATATCCAATTTAGTAGTCATAATTGACCACTTTAATTATTTTAAGTAGTTGTATTTTTATTTAAGGTTTTGGTTGAGACAAAACAGCTAGCGTCATGAGCTAGATTTGAACCCCCGACTTTCGGCTCAATATGCCGCTGCTCTAAACTTGAGCTATTGTGACCTTGAAGTCTTGAACTGAAAGTCGTGGGTTCGAATCTCGCTTGCGACACTGGCTTTTTTGTCTCAACCAATACCTTACATAAAAAGTATAGTTAATTAAAACACTTAGTATAGTTATCTCAAATACTTTTCGCCCATGTTGGTATCTTCTCAGTTGTAATATCGCCCTCTTCAAAATCAAGAATTCCATAGTTATCAACATCCACATTTTCCTAAGAACAAGAGACTTAAAAATTTTGAAGATATTAATCCAACAAATCTCTCTTTCTCTGTTACTCTAAATAATTCTGCATTCATTGTTTCATTCTCACAAAATATTATAAAATTGCATACCAACTTTTTTTCCTCAGACTTGGATGCTAATTCTTGTTTCCTATAACCAATATTGCGCATTAAGCACTCAATGTTTTATGTATAAATTAAATTGTAACACACCTCAAATTTTCTTCCATTTTTTGCCGTTGTTTAAATTTGGAAGCTTGTTCTTTATTTTTTTGCAAGAGTCGGGGTTTTTTAATCCCTGATTTCACTGGAATGGCCTATTACAATTTGCAAAAACTATAAAACATCTTCATGGTGAGCTCTATAAGGTATAATTTCTAGGAATGAATCCAGCGGTCCTGCTGGGGGGGGGGATATTATGGGCTTTTTTGACCACAAGTATTACTATTGTAATGTATTATCATAATGTTCAGAACTATTTTTGTAGATTGAATCCTCAAAGAATTGCCTGACCCCCAATTGACTTCGAAGTCACAATAACTCAAGTAGTTATTGTGTAGAGCAGCGGTGTATTGAGCCCAAGGTTGTAGGTTTGAATCCTGTGAATGCTTGTGATACTGGCTTTTTGGTCTCAACCAAGACCTTACATAAAAAAGTATAGTTAATTATAACAATTTAAACAGTTAGCTCAAATACATTTAGCCCAAGCTGGTATCTCCTTAGTTGTAATCTCTTCCTCTTCAAAATTATCAATTCCATAGTCATCAACATCCACTTTTTCCTAAGAATAAGAGTCTTTTAAAAATTTTTAAGTCAATAATACAACAAATCTCTCTCTCTCTCTCTCTCTCTCTCTCTCTCTCTCACTCTCTCTCTCTCTCTCCTGTTTATCCCATTGCTAGCTATACCTCAGAGCCACGTATATTCTAGATAAAATAACACAAATAACAACCGGATACACAAAAACATATTAAATAANCTATCTATCTACCTATCTATCTCTATCTATCTATCTATCTATCTATCTATCTATCTATCTATCTATCTATCTATCTATCTATCTATCTATCTATCTATCAATCTATCTATCTCTATCTCTATCTCTATCTTTTCCCTCTATTTCTTGATTTGTTTTTTTTATCTTTACTGTTTGTTTTATATGATTTTTTTTATTTCTCTCTTTTATATATAAATTAAATTGAAACACCACAACTTTTCTTCCATTTAAGCCCTGAATTCACATTAATGGGCAATTACAATTTGCAAAAATTATAAAACATCTTCATAAGGTAAAATAATTAAACTGAACTAACATTTAATGGGATTTTTTGGCTTAACAGGAGCGATTACGTTTTTTATCCCCATGTTGGTTCCTTTCTTGGATGATTGAGGTTCAAGCAATTTCTTAGATGATTTAATTTAAAAAAATAATTTTGAACATTATGATGATACATTTTATGTTATATAAAAATAATGAAATAGTTTTACACAGTTGTTTAACAATAATACTTGTGTTTTTGAAAAGAAAAACCATATGTATGTCGGGTTTGAATGCAGAGCTGCTGGATTTACTCTTGGGCCCTTTACCTTACTTTAAAGAGCTCCGTGACAACACCTAAACCATTGCGGCTATGGATGCCCCAATATATTTTATTTTATATAAATAATATATATCTGTGTTTGACCAACCCTCTCCTTAAGACATTAATCCAAAAAATCTCACTCTCTCTCTCTCTCTCTCTCTCTCTCTCTCTCTCTCTCACTATCTATCTCTCTTTCTGTTCCCTCTATCTCTATTGATCTTTTTGTTTGTTTTATATGTTTTTCTTTGATTTTGCTCTTCATCTCTGGTATACTATTTTATTGTAAGATGCATGCAAGCAAAATAATGCAATTGAACTAACACTTATGGGATCTTTATGATTTACTGGAGTAAGCTTTTTTTTAATTCCCGTGCTGATTCCTGGTTTAATGGATGGTTGAAGTTGATTAATCTTAAAATAAGATTTAAAAAAATATTACATTACGATATTGTTTGAAAATAAATTTGACACCAACTTTCTTAATTTTTTGTTTTGTGGGGTTGATTGGAGTCGCTAAGACAGACCTTTCCTGTAGCAATAAATGAATTATATAAAAAATATGATAAAGAAAATATTTAAACAACAATGTACCTTTTTTTGTGCCATAGTTCGTTGAGATCTGAAATTATACATTGTACATTAAATTAATATACAAATTGTAGAAAATCATGGCAACATAATGGTCAACTTGTTGCAGCAAACGAAGTAAAGTAAATGGCAACAAATTAAAGACAAAATGCATTTTAAATTTTCAGTCTATTTAGTTTAATTGGTACAGGGTGAAACCGGTTCAATTTGAAATGAGAATTAAAAGATTATTCCAATCCAACTACTCTTACTATAAGATAGATTACCTTCGAATGTCAATATAAGAAGATGACGGTACATTTTGTTCCTGTGGCTGAAGTGATTTTAAAGGATCTTCAATGTTCTGACCAATGATGTTCATTTGGTCTGAAGACAAACTTAAGTCTTTTTTACTCTGAAAATGAATAAATTTAAATTTAAATACGTATCCATATTTTAAAAATAACTCACTTTTTTGTTGGGGACTTCATTAATACTAGTAAGGCTGAAACAGATAGTAAAAGCACAATTTTTTTAAATAACAAATGTTGATAATCTGGTTAAAAACACGAGACATTACCTTTGTGAAGTTCTTTTGAAAGATGTGACGGTCAAACTGTCAGATGCTTTTATAGTCTCATCTTCTACATAAGCAAATATAATGATTATATTATACATTAGTCTAATTTTAATTGTACAATTAATTAGTATTATGTTGAGTATTAAATTCTGTTGTCACAACAAGATGCAAAAGAATTTGCAACACTCCACACTGTTGTTTGATTCTGTGTCATTATAATAAACATTTAAGTCTAAATAAAAATCTTACCATATTAGAATAATAATTATAATGAAATAAAATATGTGTGACCAAGAATAAAGTTGTTCAAAGTTAATTTTGTTTTCTGATTTTGAATTTATGTTCGCCGATTCAAATTAATATTAATGAGGGACATGCATAAATTTCATGTTTACTTTACCTACCTTCAATATTATAATCTTCTTTCTTGCACTTCGCGCTTTCTTCTGCAATGTCTTTTATAATTTTTATTTTAAAAAATAAAGAGAAAAATAAACATACAAATAACAAACAAAAATACCGTTTTTATTTTTAGAAATTTTGAAGTTTGATCCTAAGATATCTAGTCCAAAATATTGTGTACTGCTCATCGGCTCATCAACATCCCACTTCTTTAATGCTATTATTGATGCATACCATTATACACTATTTTATTTAAAATGGCAGTACAACAGAATAATTATTAAAACAACTAACCATTTTTATAATCCACAGTGTAAGTCTGTTGTTGTAAGTTTTCCTTTAAATTTTGACATGTCATGCTTTAGTACTACACTTGAAACATTATTTAAATATTTTAAAAATAAAATTTAATACCTCTTTCGCTTTTCGTTTTGGATTAGTGGGCATAGAAGTTTTTTGGGTAGATATTAATGAGTTATCCTCTTAAATATAACATAAATTAAAAATACACTCTCACTAAAAAATCAACAATTATACCTTTTGTGCAAGTTTTTGGCATAAAAGAAAATTCTGGTATTTTCATGTTTTTTTTACTTTTACCAGACTTGGACATTTTTCCAAAAAAATTCACTCCTTCCTATGAAAATTATATTATTATTATTGCTATCTTACATAATGTACATTATTATAAATGTATTGTAACTTTTTATTTTATTATTATCTATTGTTAAGGGTACCTTAATTTCATTCCATAACTTTTGTTCCTCATTTTCAATATCAGTTTTTATCTTCCCCCATTCATCTAAAAGAAGTAAAATTTGTTCCAAACCTGAAAGTTAAAATTTACTCCAGTCAAATTAATCTTCATCGTCTTATGTACGTACAACATTTAACACAGTACATAAAATGAATGTAAAATGATGACGTATCAAACCATAAGACAATTGGTAAAGAAAGTATGAGCAAATGGGCAAAAAAGCCAGACCACATCTTAAACCAAGAATTGGAGGACAATCTCTTCACGTTACCTTCTGCAGATGTGGGTGGTCTTCAGGAAAAAACCAAACCAAAAGATAAAACCACTCAAATGGAGGTGACGAAGAAGATTGAAAAACTCCACCTCAAACCCAAGAAAATATCAGGGGCTCAAAGCCTGCCAATAATGAAAAGAATCAGGAAAGGGAAGCAAAACCCTAATGTTCATTTCCTGACTCCAGCACCAAAGACCCACCACTGGAAGCACTGACTAAAAAAAAACTAGAGCCACACCAACCAAAAGTGGTAAAAGGGACAGGTTACTGGGTAGCACCCCCATCATCGAGAATTGAGAATTTTTCAAAATTTCATATTTGTTTTAAGAGAAACAAATTAAAACCTAGTTTACTTTAAAAATATATGGTTTGTAGAAATTTTTTGGCTCTTGATAAACTTTGAAAGCTTTTAGTATATTTTTATTGTAATCATCATAAAAAATGCTGTAAAATGATATTTTCATATAGATAATGTGAGCAAGTAGAATGATGAAATAAAAATATTAAAAACGATTTTTTTCTGGGGGGGGGGCAAAACCAGGGCCTATTCATAAAAAGTGTGCATATGTCGCAGATAATTTGGAGTGTAGAATCACCAACAATGGCGGATCCAAGAGGGTGTAAAAGGCAAATTTTTATTCTATTGCAATATGTTTATGATGTTATGTAGTTATAATTTTGTATAAAATAAATAATAACATATACCCGTTGTTTTCAAATTATTCTATAATTTTTAAAGTAGCAAATATTTAGCACTGTTGGATTGATTTGTTCATTTATGTTTTGTGCTAAACAATTACATTGCAGACCATGGTTTTTTTTTCGTGATTAGACATCTTTTTGGTGCTTTTCTGATTTCTGAAGCTAATCTTCTTATTCGATCTCTTCATGTGATAACCTCTAAGTTGGCGATAATTTTTTTATATTCGTTAATGTTGGTGACTAAAAACATTTACATTGCAGATTATGACGGAAAAACATTTTGGAAACTTATGAAAATTATGTGCCTTTTTTAAAAATTAAACATTCAAACATTTAAATTAAGTGATTTTTTTCCAGTTTTCCCTTTGATTGCTTTTGGACAAAAAAAGGATGTATAGCGTTTTCTCTCAATTTGCATATTTTTAGGTCTCCTGTGTAAAAAAAAAAAATCACAAATTTTTACCCCTCCCCCTGATGACCAAAAATAGTTCTAATTTTAAAAGTTTTAAAATCAACCAAATCTGGTACCCAGTAACCTGGTGTGAGTTAATAATGCATCCATTATTATTTATAATTAGTTATTATATTTATATTTATAGTTATAAATTAACTCTTGTCTCTTACTTTTATCGCTCATTGTAGAGAAAAAGACTGTTCACTTGTAAGGTCAAGTAAGAATGAACTAAAAGAAAACTCCTAGGTACAGGAATGGGAAGGTTGGCTTTATACAAGATTGGGGAAAGGATTAAAATGTTTTTATATTAATAATACAGAAGCCACGATAAAGTACAAAAACATTGATTTACTGAAAACAATTAATCTCATTTATTATTATTTTCTTTATCGTATCTTTAATTGGGTTCAAATTGATTGCTCTACTTTATTTATTGAACATTTTTTAATATTAAAAACTATGATACTAAAACAAAGAAAAATAAATTCATCTTATTTCTCAAAATATAGTACAACTTTTGCTTATTTTCTATTTGGCTAATGAATATTTTTTCTTCTTGGTTTTTATTGGTTTCAAATTGATTATTTCACCTTATTTCTGGAATGTTTTAACATTTAACGATGTTACGGAACTAAACCAATGGAAAGAGTATTATCTCTTCTTGAAATATAACCAAGGTTCTGTAATTTTTGGAATGCTGAACCCTCGTCTTTGGGGTTATATATATCCCTTTCATCCCTTAATTTTAAGCTTAATCTAGTTCTATCCCCAATAATCCTCCCAATAGATTAAAGCGGCATTATCCTCGTGACCTGTTGGGCAGCGAGAAGTATCCATAGTAGAAGGGTCACCACTGGGTGATTTTTCACATCCTAGCGACAGATTTTAATTCATTTTAAATTTGTACTTATTAACAGTTTTACTTATAGTAGCCTATATAAAAATAAATATTTTTATTAAAAAAATATTTGAAAGCTAGAAGAAAATCTCTTCCTTATTATTGACTTTTCAAATCAGATAGATATAAAATATTCCTTGGATCGTTATAAGTAGCAGACATAGTTCATTTTTTTTTCCTTTGTCCTAATTAGTCTCCGCATTGGATAAATTTAGTATACTTTCTGATAATGAACAGTGTGCATATCTGGCAAAAACAGTATTACATTTTTTTAAGCTACAGTAATGCAATTATCCTTAGAAATTATGTATATGTATGATTTTGTATCAAAAGATCAGGGATGAGAAAAATTGGAAAGAAAATAAAACCGTTCCTACATCGAGCTTGTCCCCTTCATCAGGACTTTGAAGTTATAATTAATAATTCACAAAGTTAACAAATATGAACAACAATTCTGAAATATATGGCTCAAACAGCATGAATTTTGATAATGGAACGAGATCTACATCACATCCGATGCAGAATGGATTGGTTGGGGAAAATTGATTATCCATTTCCCATCTTGTGTTATCGCTTTCATTATAAATATATTTTCCTTTATTTTCATTATAGTTTTGATTGATTTACATTACTTATTGAACATAACAAGTAAACTTGTTAATAATATTAAAATAAACTAAAATCAAAGAAAATGTTTTCATCTCAATATTTGACATATAGCGCAGATTAATTGTTTTAATTAAGCAAAAATGAATACAGGTCAGGTGTTTTAATACTTTTTCCTTTTTTACATCAGTTTTCACTTTACTGTAATTATAAATGTTAAATGTATGTTCTATTATTATTGTTTTATTATATTGTAATTTTTTACCTAGACAAATACCTCTTACTGGTGCTAATTTAATTTTGTATAATTAATTTTTTTAAGAAGTTTAATTAATAGTTTAAATAGTTAAAAATACTTTTAGTTGTATATCAAAGTGAGGTTGTAAAGAATACATGTGCAATTGCTTTTGTTAGTATTATTTTATTTACTTAATTTTTTAAATTGTATTAATTTCAATTTTTTTATTGTTGTTGTTGAATGGTGGATGAAAACAGTTGTTTCAAGGATAATCCAACTTTTTTTGACCTTTGAACCATCAATGTAATTTGAGTTTGTCCTTTGAAGCAACTTGCTTGCCTTACTGGAAATTAACAATTCTCAATTGGCCACGTAAGATAGTCCTACTTTTGACGGATGTTTTAAAATATGAACTGCTTTAAAAATAATATGAATACATAAATTAAGTTGGGATGGAATTATCTTCATTTTTGATATGGCCATTACGTTTTGTAATTAAAACATCAGTGTTCTCATACGGTTTTTAGCTGGTTATGTGTATTTTAACCACTCGTTTTATTATGTATGAAACACCATTATCAATTTACTATTTATACCCTTAATAAAATATTTATTTATTACAGTTGAAAAAACTGAAAGAGACTGCCGTGTTTCAACAGGTGTTAACTCTTTCTCACACCACGAACTTTTCGTAAGTAGACCTCATTTTTCAAATCTTTTGTAGAGGAATGATATTTTATTTAAATATTAAAGATCATCTTACGACCAACTTTATCATTTTAATATTTAATATTCTTGCCACATTAAATGGGGAAGAGCACAATTGTTTAAAATTCAACAATTATTCAAAATTCACCTTTCAAATAGTTTTTATTTTTATTTAAATTTAAATTGTATTTAATTTAATTTTTTTAAAGGACTTTTTAAATTTTTTGCTCTCTTTATGGTGGGAACTAGTTGTTATGTTAATAGTTGTTATTATTTATTTAAGACAATTAGAACTCAAATTTTAGAATGCATGTAGGAATGCCACCTGATATTAGAATGGTACTTGAATACGGCAGCAAGTCCAGGTCCTATGTCCTGATTAATGGAGGAAACATGGTTCTTTTATTGCATATAGTAATGATATTTTTGTGTATTTAGTGTGTGTTGAGAGTGAATGTATTTATTGGGGTGAATGTGTAGTGTGATATGGTTGAATGTTAAGTACCCACCGACCCACAACTAGGTTAGTTTAGGTTAGTTATATATAATAGGTGTAAAGGGTGATAAAGGAATATCGAGTATTCCACCACCCTAACTGAGTGAAAGGCATGTAAATAGGAAGAATGTATGAGTGAGTGAGGGTACGAATGGGTTTAGGAAATAAGTCCATTGGGGGCTGAAATAATCTAGCTGTTTATGGTACCTGCCTGACCTCGGCGCTGGATGGGCAAGACTCGGTCTGACTCAGACATAGTGGGTGAAAGCTGGAATTACCAGGTATGTGTATGTGCAAATTTTTTCTTATGTAAATCAATAATCAATATCAACTGTATTTACATTTTTATAAATTGGTTTTGTGCACATGTCGGTATTTTGTAAATTTGGCTTAATGATTATACCATTAGTTTATATACATGTTAAAATTATTACATGTTTTAATACATTATTAATTTTCATTTATATCATCAGGTTTGGAGAGTAGTGCCTCTGGCCTGAAAAAATAAGAGTTCTGGCTAAGGAAAATTATTGTTCACAAATAATTTCAAATATGTAAGTTAAGATACCTTATTTTGTTGAAAATCCCCAAAACATGGTAGTTTACTTGAAAACAACATATATAAATAAATATAATTCTTGCAGGAATAATCCCAGTTTATCGAACATCCAAAATGCATTAGTAAAATACCAATATACATATTATGGTTCTCCATCTCCTGAAAGCTGCCGTAAGTAATTGTACACTTTTTTGCAAACAATGCTTTGATGTCTGTTTTCCTTTTTGTAGCACTCCCTCCAGCAACTTGGGGGCAAAAGAATAACAACGCACCACTGGTCACAAGAGGTATTTCATACTGAAATTAACCAGTAGTTTGTGTAATTACTTGTGTACTTTTAATTTCAGAATCTAGAATTATTGTCGAAAGTCTAATTAGCAATTGGAACAGTAAGTGGATTTATTTTGTTGCTAATATTATTATTATTATTTTTTTTTTTTGTAGATCAGAATGTTAATCCTTTTCAAAATACTCAGCAAAACTATGGACAATGTTTTAGCGTACAAGGTAATGTTTAAAAAAAATCATTTTTTGCTAGTTAGGCCATGGGTATGATACAAGTGTCAAATAGCAGTTGGCAAGCGTCGGAGCAGAAGAGTGGCAATGCGATGTAACTCGATGCCACCTGATGCCTTGTCGCATGTCGGTGGGGTGTGCACATCCATTGGACTCAAGCACACACCATGCAACAGTGAGTTCGCATTGCATATCACAGTAGCATTTGCAAAATGGATAGCTCTAAGGAAAAATATGATGAAGACACGGAAGTAACGACAGCAGCAGTGATCTGCTTGCTTTCAACAGCAAACAAAAACTTCGGTTCATGAAATGAACCTCACTAGGGGTGTAACTAGTCAATATCATGTTTTTTTTCTATATTAGAAAAGGAAGAAATTGCTGATTGATTCAGTATTTTGTATTTTCGGATGATGGAACATTGATTTGATCATCTGCAAGGAGCAATAAAGAATCGGATCAGGATAACTAATACAAATTATTATATGCCCGTGTATTATATACCATTAACCAAATATAACATATATACATTTGAAGACAAAAAACCGGATACTGGACGTATTTTGCTGTTTATGTCAAACTATAGCATTTTTCAGTCAAATGAAACTTTTTTTCAAACAAATGAAACTTTTTTTCAATCAAATAAAACTTTTGTTCAATCAAATGAAACCTTTTTTCAATCGGATGAAACTTTTTTTCAATCAAATGAAACCATTTTTCAAGCAAACGAAACCTTTTTTCAATCAAATGAAACTTTTTTTCAATCAAACGAAACCTTTTTTTCAATCAAACGAAACCTTTTTTTCAATCAAATGAAACTTTTTTCAATCAAATGAAACTTTTTTTCCATCAAATGAAACCATTTTTCAAGCAAATGAAACCATTTTTCAAGCAAATGAAACCTAAAACCTAATGATAATAATTATGTAGAGGAATAAATAAATGACATTATAGTACTAACAATAATTTTTTATGATGATTGAATATTAATATTACAATAATTGAATCGTAAGGCTTAGGTACAAGAACATTTCTTGTGAAGATCCGTATTCATAAAACTTTTCTACATCCACCCCATTGAAGTTTAAGTAGGATCGAAAAGTGTTTTTGAGTGAGCACCAACTTCCTGTGATAGAAATTATGAATGATGGAGTGGGTGTGGAGTTCAATCCTTTTTAAAAAGATAGTTCCTACTCACAGTAAGTTGTTTTGCAACAATCCGGATTTCAAGCCCTTTAGCACATCATCAGGTTGAAGGGTTTCTACAAACACATCTGTTGACATGAATTGCAAAAGTGAACCCGCGGATACCACTGCCAACGCGAAAATGCCCTTCAAACTGATGATGAGCTAAAGGGCTCGAAAACCGGATTGTTGCAAGGCATTTTCACGTTGGCAGGGGTATCAGCGGGTTCACTTTTGCAATTGTTGCTCGCTCAAAAACACTTTTCGATCCTACTTGAACTTCGATGAGGTGGATGTAGAAAAGTTTGAAGAATACGGATCTTCACAAGAAACGTTCTTGTACCTAAGCCTTACGATTCAATTATTGTAATATTAATATTCAATCATCATAAAAAATTATTGTTAGTACTATAATGTCATTTATTTATTCCTCTACATAATTATTATCATTAGGTTTTAGGTTTCATTTGCTTGAAAAATGGTTTCATTTGATGGAAAAAAAGGTTTCATTTGATTGAAAAAAGTTTCATTTGATTGAAAAAAAGGTTTCATTTGATTGAAAAAAAGTTTCATTTGACTGAAAAATGCTATATATGTGTTTTCATCTTTATATTAATTATAATATACTTATATTAAAGTAAGCAAAATTAAATGAGATAAAAAATGCATGAGTTTTAATAAAAAATATTTAATTATGATGGTTTGAAACAAAATTCACCACTGGAAAATCGTTAAATGAATTAATAAAATGTAAATAACAATTTTCTTAAACTTAGTTTTGCTCTTAATGCAGTATTATGAGCAAAACCAGGTAATATATTGTTAGTCAAATTTATTCTATCACTTGATAAATGTGCAACATAATTAAATAACTTTTATTAAAAATCATGAAATTTTGATCTCATTTGATTTGGTTTTCATTACAATTCGGACGTTGTAATTAATATAATGACAAAAAATAAATATAGTTTGAAAAAAAAAATATGAATGTCTGTTCTTTTGTCTTTGAGTGTAAGCCAACTTGGTTGCATCGCATAGCATAAAGTGGTGTGACAGGTCAGTTAAATATGCACAAGGGTAATAAAATCTTATTGAAAATTGGACATTGGATTGGGTCATGACTAGTGTGTTCCCTGTTTTATGTTTTGCTTTATGTTGCTTTATGTTCAGTGGAAATAGGAAGCAACAGGCTCAACAAGCCTGAGCAGCGGTGTGAAACGAGTTGCTTCCTCTTTTCCACCACCTCCTAGACATTAATTTTTGCTCATTACTCTGTGTTGAGGGTAGTCTCAAGGCACTCAGAAATGGCAGAGAAGAGAAAATTGAGAGACCTCGAATGTGAGATTTTGATATCAGAGGTGCAGAGTAGGATATATCTGTGGAATGTCAGGCATAATGACTTCAAAATGTCATTGTGAAAAAAAAAAATGGAATGAACAAAGTGATGAAGTAATTTCTCTATACAATCAAATATTTGTACAGATATTCTCGTTTATTCCAAACATCGAATTTTGTCATTTCACAAATTGTTAAACAAATAGTGGCACTTTCCTTAAACTTTTCTACTGTTTGTGGGGTGGATACCATACTTCATCTTGCCTCTCAACAAAATTTGTTTCAAATTATAGTTTTATCCACTCAAAATGAGGAGTTGTGCTTGTTCAATGGATGATGACATGGTGTCAACTGAATCATACTGCCCAGCCCTGGTGCTATTTGCCACTCTGGTGTTTCTGCTGCTCGACCATTTGAAACTCACATTGTACCCATGTCATTATGGTGCTTTAAAAGACAATTACTAAATGTTAGTTGATACTTGATTGCATAGCTTACATTCTAAATTATGCTTTTAGATTACAATGATATAATAAGCAAGCAGTTGTCAGAGATCTACAACTATCAATATAATCAAAGAAATAATTTGAAAAACTATGACAATTTAGGTTTTAATCAAGGTTAGTAAAGTAAAAAAAGTTTTTAAGTACCAGTTTTTTGTTGGTTAACTATGTCAATTTTTAGATATGCAGAATAATTATGTCTATGGTTTCAATGAAAGGACACACAATTATTGGAGCCAAAGTGGTAAATCAATATTCAGTTTGTTCTTAATGTACAAATAAATACCGTATTTATGGTTGAATGTCTTGCTCATTGTTTTCTCACTTAGGCTTTGGTTAGAGCGGATGCATTTTCTTACGAACTTGACTTTGTCATAACTGCTCAGATTTATACTAAATAGAACTCAGTGGTTATACTAGGTGCATATTCTGATTATCAGTATGCCGCTGGTTTTTAGCGAAAATGGAAGACAATGATACTTATTTTTTGGAAAATCTGCCGTTAAAAGTTGTAGTGTCGAGTGGTTGAAAAACCAAACAAATTAATGAATTATTTACAAAAAGAGATGATAAGGGAGAGTAATAGTTTTACAAATATTTTAGAATGCTAACATGACTGTATCAAGGGTAGATATATAGTTCTACAACTTCCATTGTAGATTTCTCCTTTTTGGACTGAACATCAGAACAGATGTGAAAAATCCACCTCGTTTGAATGGCAGAACTATTCTGATGTGTTCATATGTAATATAATGTACTTGAGGCAGTCGCATGTATTATAAATGCTTTCATAACATTTACTGTGTTTGATTATTTTGACAGACCCATTAAACAAGGTTGTTCAATTATTGACCAACTTTGATTATAATCTGGTTTGGGATGTTATTGGGTATGTGGTCCTTCAATGAATCATACACTGTATTACACAGTAACGGGCAACTGTATACATATGTATAACATCCCAAACCAGATTAGACCCATTAAAAGCAATGTTTGTGAGAACCCCTTTTGTAAGAACACATCCACTGTAAGCACAGCCTTACAAGTATGTTATATATCGTTAAATTTTTAAAATATTGACTTTGTTGACATGCTGAAATGTGTTTGAGAGACAAAAACGACCAGAGAAATTATTTTGTAATCAATCTGAATTTGATTTAATTTACTCTATAGATCTATCAGAAAACATTTTATTGTTTTAATTTTTAATATTAAATTTGATTGAAAAAATGTTTCATGTTGTGACAACAGTAAAGTAGGGATAAGGATAAGGATAAGGATAAAAGAGGCGGCCACAAGGCCTACTGACCTCGACCAACCTCAGGTTGTAAATCAGCCTCCAAAGCTTGAGCCGCTGCTCGTTAGTGTAAGATCTTGCTTGCGGGTTTTCTTATCCTAGTTGCAAGAATCTGCACCTACAAAGACCTTCACAGAAACATAGAATGTGTTCTACAGATTTCCTCTTTTCCTGGCAGTATCTGCCCAGTGTTTTTTCTGTCTGTACTCCTATCCGGTGCATGTGCTTTCTTAAGTGCCATGTGAGGAATCCAACCAGAATCCTGGTTCGGTTGCGATTGCCTTCCAGTAATTCTTTTGTAAGTTTTACGGATGGAATGAATCTTTGTAACTGTCGTATTGTTCCACCAGGTTCTGGACTCATTAAGGTCCCATTTTAAGATGTATCCTCAGGTTGAATGTCTTGCTCGTTGTTTTCTCACTTAGGCTTTGGTTAGAGCGAATGCATTTTCTTACAAACTTGACTTTGTCATAACTGCTCAGATTTATACTAAACAGAACTGAGTGGTTTACTCAGTATATATCCTGGTGGCAGGATGATAAGATTCAGTAGGGTTCAAGACCCAGAGAGTCCATAGTGGCTTTCTTTTTGGCCAACATGTCAACCTTTTTGCTGCCTCTAAGCCTCGAGTGCCCAGGGACCCATGCCAGGGACATTAAAGTAGAATATGTTCAAAAAGATAGAACAGCCTGAGGCTTGATAGAACTGGGCATTTTAAAATGATACTATACAATATTTGATTTTATTTTCTGATTTTCAAACCAACTTTCTATTTATAATTTCAGATGAGATGAATTACCAAAATAGATATTTATATCACAAAGCCAATGATAGAATGCATTATTATGACAGGAACACTATGGGAGAAAAATTTCATTGCAACACCTATGGTAGAATGGATGGATATTATGGGAACAACATGGAAAGAAATATAAATTTCAATGCCTGTGATCAAGTGAATGATTATAACAGGAACAACATGGAAAGAAGTGTAACTTTCAATGCCTTTGAAAGAATGGATGGTTATAACAGGAACAACTTCGAAAGAAATGTAGATTACAATGCATATGATAGAACGGTCGGTTACAACAGGAACAACATGAATGAACGACCATTTGACCACCAATTTAATGGTGAATTGACAAATGGTTATGATCTCAATGGCAGATATGAAAATAGAATCAACTGTTATAACAAAGATTATTATAATAACTATAATTGGCGTATGGACAATCAGAACAGAAAAGAATGCAATAGATATGAATGGAAAAGAGGTGAATGTAACACTACAGTAAGCTGAATACGATAAATAATTTATACAAATTTTTTCCAGGCTATTGTAACAATTATAATCATTTCAACACGAAAAGACCTAAGTGGAGGAACCAGAGATATAAACAGAAGAATGGGCACCAATGTTCAAAGTGCAATAAAACGTTTCATAACCGAAGTCAAATGAGATTGCATGAAAGAACTCATAGGACACCGTCCCCCATAGAACAAACTGATGTTCAAAAGTCAAACGGCTGTGATAATATCAAGAAAGAGGTGAGCAGTTGCAACAGTTTTCAGTTTATGAACGGGAGGCCATCTTCACATTCAACTCCCAGAGACTTGGAATTGTCGAATGAAGAGAAAATGTTTAAATGTCCCCATTGCCCAAAGAGCTTTGCAAAAAGTAGCGAAATGAGCCGGCATTTGAATATTCATACACCTGGTATAGAGTATGTTTGCAAAGTCTGCTCCTCGGTTTATTTCACTGAAACTCAGCTGAAGTTTCATGAATTGATTCATTCTCAGGATAATAACAACAATAAACCACTAAATGCTATGAAATGAATCGAGTTGGTTTTTTTCGTATTGTGACAAAATGGACATAAAGCCATTATTTTATTTAATTTGGTACACTTTTTTAAATTAAACAATTTATTAAATATATTTTTTTGAGAATTTGAAAATTGATTGTATTATTGTTATATTCATGAAAAATTATAAGAACATACTGTTTAATAACAATGTTGCTATAATAAAAAAAATTATATTTGTTTAAAAAATAACTTTGGATTGTTATTCTGTTTTATATTATTTAGTTTCTATTATTTCAAAATTTTAATAATGAATAACATTTAAAAGTTGTGTTGTTTAGCTGTTATCCGTTTGTATATGATAGAAAAATTTAGCATAGAAAATTTCTTGTCTTAATATTATAAACCACAATATTTTATTTATTTTAGTATATTTTTTAATTAAACAATTTATTATGTAAATTTTTTTTGAGAACTTGAATACCGATAGGATTATTGTTATATTTATGAAAAATCAGAACAACAATCTGTTTAAAAACAATGTTGCTATAATAATAATTTACAAAAATGTATAAAAAATAAGCTTTGGATCATTATTCTGTTTCATATTATTTAACTTTTATTATTTCAAAATTTTAATAATGAATAACACCCATTTTAAAAGTTGGGTAGTTTAGCTGTTATCCCTATGTATATGATAGAAAAATTTAGCATAGAAAATTTTCTTGTCTTAATATTATAAACCATATTATTTTATTTATTTTAGTGTTTTTTTAATTAACAAATTATTATGTAAATTTTTTTTGAGAACTTGAAAACTGATAGGATTATTATTATATTTATGAAAAATCACAACAACAGTCTGTTTAATAACAATGTTGCTATAATAATAATTTAAAAATTATATAAAAAGTAAGCCCCTTCTATCATTATTCTGTTTCATATTATTTAGCTTCTATTATTTCAAAATTTTTAAAATTTGTGTTGTTTAGCTGTTACCACTGTGTTAACAATAGCAACATTTAGTATATTGACTACATATTATAAATCCCTTTGTTTTATTTGTTGTAGTACACTTTTTTTAATTAAACAATTTTTATTTGTATGTTTTTTTGAAAACTTCAAAGTTGATAGTATTATTGTTGTATTATATTTATGAAAAATCATAAAAAAACAATATGTTTAATAACAATGTTGCTATAATAAAAAAATATTTGTATAAAAAATAAACTTTGAATCATTATTCTGTTTCATATTATTTAGCTTCTATTATTTCAGAATTTAATAATGGTTAATAAACATTTTAAAATTTGTGTTGTTTAGCTGTTACCCCTGTGTTAAGGATAGCCAAATTTAGCATACAATATTTTTTAAATTTAATATTATAATGTATTAAGTTTAAAAAATCAAGGTATTATTTTTGCAGACAACAAAAGCAGCACTAATTCACAATGATTATATCACATTATACTTTAACAGTAAAATATAAAAAAACTAGTACCAATGGTTCATTGCAAAAAGAAAAATAAGCCCAATAATCAGTTCAAATAATTCTGAACAAACAACCTTTATCATCCCTGATGTTCAAATAAAAGGGGATTATCGATAATTCTTGAAGGACTTGCTTTTATGACTTCTAAGAGTGGTCACCAGTGTCCAGTATAAACTAAGTGGTATCAACAATAACATCTATAGGCACTTAAATCGTTTTGGCTATTTAAATTTGAAAGGAAATTTCATCTGAATCAGAAAAAAATGTAAGTTTCTTACTAAACCTTTTATATGTCTTACATGAGCTAAAACTTTGTTTCAACTTATTTTAATTCTTAACATCCCACAGTTATAACAATTTTTTTATTGTAAAGTGAAATTGCTTAAGATGTATGTATGAGATAAGTTTAATTTTCCATTTGATATCAAAGGTAAAACAAAAGCAGTGTTTTATTACAAGAAATTAGATGCAACGTAACATCAACATGAAGATTGAAGAGTAAAATTAAGTAAATAGGTGACTATTTTGTGAATATGAATCAGTTTTTTCAATTTCATGTTATGATTTAAAATAAAATCTTTTATGAGGTTTGGTTTTTAAACTGCACAATTCTGTGTACCATTGTGTTCTTCAGGCTGTAAAAATGTTACAGCATTATACTTTTAAATGCCTTATGCAATATGCAGTTTTAAAACACAACTAGACCAGAAAACAATGCAGAATTCTATTAACAAAAATGAAAATTTGGAGTATAGATAGAAACTCAAAATCAATTAACACTAAATAAAACATGGAAAAAATATGAAATTGATAAAATTATATCAAATGCCAAATTGTTAGCATTGGCAATTTTATTGAACTGGATCGCCAAATAAACTGTACTATCCAATTTAAACATTAATATCAAAAACTTTTCATTGCAGTTAGAACAGGTCTTAAATTTTTCCACTTTTTGGCTTTTACCCTAGCAAAAATGTTTGCAGCCTTTCTCCAACACAAAGTACAGCCAGTTTTACTGCTTACAGCTTTCTTAGCTAAAGAACAACAGATAATTAATAATATATTGCACAAACTAATAATTGCACAAGTTAAAATATCGGTTCTGTTCAACAAATCTCAAATTTTGGGCTGTTTATACTTGTTGTAAAAGAAAACATTAAGATATACAAGGTGAACTCATCTTTTGATTATCCCTGATCGTCCTGATTATCCAGACTCTAATTATCTATGCTGCTCATCTAGCTGAGTTCTAGAGAAATGTAGAAATGAGCATGTCCATAGAAGAAAAATGGGAGTGATAATAGAAAAATGTGAAGAAATCTTTCAATAGCTATAAAGTTGAAAGGCAAAATCATAGAATATGATCCAATAGTGGTCAATATAACACGATTGCTAACTCGAGCTCTCCAACAAAGTTTCCAGCAATTGAAAAACCAGACAAAGCAAACTCCTATAACAATGTTCTTTGATAAAGCCAAAAGAGCAAATTTTGCAGATTCATCACTTCTAACGGAGGAATTTAATTAATCTTTTTTAAAAATCTTTTAAGGCCCCTAATAATTTTTCTGATTGATGTATATATGTACTGTTTGATGTATGTACTTGATGTATGATGTATTGTTTTCCTGAGTGGAATAAACTTTATGTCTATTACCGTAACATCAACATATTGTATTTTTCTTTTCTTTGAAATATATGTGCATAAGTTCATTCATAACATTGACGATAGGCACTCGTGGTACATAAAGTATCTGATGGTATGTAGATAGAAGAAAATGCTTTGAAACCTGAAATTTGAAGTGTTTTCTATTATCCATAGTTCTCATTATCTGTGGTGATTCGTATATCAAATTGCTTTTCCTTCATTTGACCAAATTTAAAAAATGAAGTAATAATTTGATACATGTTATATAATATATACTAATTTTATATATATATGTATAATTACACACAGGATACAAGCTACTCAACATTAAAATGAAATATGTTCAGATAATTTTAGATTGTTGGTTTATCCTATTTCCAAATACATATTTTTAATTAGTTTGATTCTATGTTTATCTTGATTGCTGTGCAGACATGTTGTGTGTAGAGTTTTAGTTTAGTCCGGAGTCGTTTCTAGATCTTTCATATTTCTGAGGGAAGCCTGTTTTTTTGAATTTAAAAATATATTAAATAAGAATGTATATGAGCCTGATTCTTTTTGTTAAAACTAAAACCCTACATAGCTCATATTTTTAATTTATTTAATATTATTTAAGGAGGTAGCAAACCAGACTATTTTTATAATGTTGATTTGTATTAATCATCAACCTGTTTATTGGTTGATTGTAACTCTAAAGCCCTGAGCATAGTAGTAGAAATATTTTGATTTCCCAATGCAAAAACAGGCAAATTAAATTTAATGAGTAGAAATTCTGAGCAGTTAATTCCTCTACTCAATATGCATTGGATAGAAGCTTCCTTACTTCAACAAGTCCAGGAATTACAGTTGGAGGTTCTCGATGATCCTGGTATATATGAAATGAATCTCAAAAATTTATTTTCTACTTTCCCAATTTCTTTTGAGTTAGATGAGAAAGCTAGAAACCTGTACATCATATGTTAGTTTGCGCTATTGTAATACGCACAATACTGACCAGTAATATTAAACCAAGAAAAATGTGTAGTTGAAAAATAATTTGTAATTTGATTGTTACTGATCACTTTAGTTGACATATCCTTACTGGGTCACTAATAGATGGACCACACTTAGAAATCTCAAGAAAAAAAATTCTTGACTACATGCTTTTTAATGTAGTTTGCCGAATGGATCAATTCGTCAAATCATACAAATCAACAAATATAATTAGACACAAATAATGTCAAATAAACTATTAAATTGTTTTTGTGTGTTAAGGTGGAAAAAGATGAAATTCGTGCATATTTTGAATGATTTGTAAAAAATAAAATTCCAATACAGCGCTAAAATAAGGTGATCATTTATGCCATTGCAATTGGGGAAACATTGACTATCAAATAATTAATAAAAATGATAAACATACAAAAACAACTTTAAAGTATACTTGGAGATTCTGGTTTGTGTTCCTATTTGAAATTCTTTTATTCTTCAAGTGGATGATGACCTGCGAATTTATTAGCTTTTGAATTGCAAACTATCTCGCTAGCTGTGCGAGGCGAGATTTTGACAAAGCGAAAACCAGCGGACCAATAGACAGCTCTGATTAAAAAAGAGGCTTTAATCGGGTCGATTAATAATCGAGAGCATTATGATCAAAAGTATCTTCTGAGAGGATGAAAAATAAACAAAAAAATATTAATAATAGAATCTAGAACACCCGGCAAATCGGCAAAAATTACACGGTCATTTATAGTTATGCCTGACCAAGCCGCCATTTTCAAGGGTCTTCCGCTTGTGCTTCACGTCCGTCTCGCTTTTTCAATTTCTGTGGTAAACCTTGTCCTTTATTTATCTTAAAGAAACAGTGAGTTTGTTTTCCTACATTTCTCAGTTTTGCGATAGATGTACACGATGAAAAATCTTGGTGCCTTTTATCAACATCGGCACTCGCAAGCTAAATTCGGCTCAAAGTGTTATTGGCTATAATTTTCTAAATTATGAAAACGGGGGAAAATGTGGGGGATTTGAATAT